TGAACAGAAATGGTGACAAAGGGCAGCCCTGGCGGAGTCCAACATCCACCGGGAACAGGTCTGACTGTTCAGTGGCTTAATACGGCTCTGTTACATTGAGGAACTTGCAAACCACTTCAGTGACTTCAGCCAGGGTGATGGACGAGTTCGCCTCTGAGTCCTCAGTCTCTGTGTCCTCCTCGGAAGATGTAACGGTGGGATTGAGGGGATCCTCAAAGTATTCCTTCCTCTGCCCAATGACATTTCCCAGTCACGGTCAAAGGGCAACCCTTTGCTCTCCCCCCGCACTGTAAACAGTGTTGGTGAACCACTGCTTCCCCCTCCTGAGGCGTCAGGTGTTGCTTACTTCACTGAAAATGTAATTCCAAACCAGGAAAAGTACATTCACCAAAGTAAATCTGAAAATCTGAAATCAAATTCATGTGGCTGTATTTGGAGTGAGATCTGGAGCATAGGGACCCGTGGGAGGGGCCCCTAACATGACAGTTGGAACCGGCAAATGCAGCTCGAGCCTGGGGAGGTTTTTGGGCAGACAGGGCCAGAGCTGGAAGTGCCCCAGGGGAGACTGACTGGATAAATAGTTCACTTAGACCCTCTTGCTCTCTAAGAGGTCACCAAGGAAATCCAGGATGGAGAGGGAAAATAGAGAGGTTTTATGGGCTCTCACAGGACCTGGCTGTTTGTATTTGAGCCTGCCCCATAAATACTGCACAGACTCAAACGCACACATGAAAACAGATACACGCAAGCTTATTTTGATCTAAGTCTCAAATAAAATCTAAAATCTTTCAAAATGTTTTTTCTAAACAACTAAAATTGTGTTATGAAATAAAGCTGTGTTTAGTTATTATTTAGTCACTTAGCTTCAACCACAAAACACGTTACTCCATTGTGTTTCGGGATCGCCACAATAAAATATAAATGGATATATGATCCAGGGGCTGGGAGTGTACTGAAAGCTTTACGCAGTAGCGTACACAATACACAAGCTGTAGATACTCGTAAGTAGATACTTTTGTTCATTCTAATGTGTTTTAAGTCTTAATTTAGATTTAGTCTAAATCTTATAAGTCATCTTCAGTACATTGCAATATATAAGCCTAAAGAAGCCTAAGTCTTTGCTGTGATGCAGCAGTGATGTGAGTAATAATAAACAGTGAAAAGATAGTAATAAATACATACTTTAATTGTAAAGGATACAAATAATATTGTGGGACTGAATACAACACAAGTAACAAGTAAATCTGAGGGTCTACATCCAACCAGTGATTGGTGTGAAGTTGCTTTCTCACTTGTCAGTGAGTCAAACAGTGCCCTCCAGAGGTAGAAAATATAAATACCACAAATTAAACTTAATCATCTGGCTTAGTGTTTCTTTCAGGAATATATTTTGTTGAAAATATTGTGTTTTCACAGATAATAAAATGCTATGACAATGTACAGTGCTAGTTTATTGTTTTCAATATTTCCATTGTATAGTCAGCATCTTTGTAGTAATATCCTTAAAAAGTCATATTCAATCATTCAAAAGAGGGCTGGGCAAGTAATAAAAATAATGCCTTGCACTTTTAATGTTGGCTTAACAAAGCCTTTCAAAGGGCTAGACTGTAGTCATTCTTTCACTCAGCACTTGGGGGGTAAACTATGGATTTATAATTGTAGCCACAGCTGCGCTGCCAATCGGTCATCAACCGTTCTGACCACCACCACATCACTCACACACATACTAGGCAATATGTGTGAAGTGTCTTGGCTAAGGACACAACAACAGAATTGGTTTGAAGTGTTTTGTATTAAATAGCACTGATTAATAGTCTGTCTTACTTATGTTCACGAAATCAATACTGAAAGACGTTTTATTTTTTAAAAGAAAATATAACAATGAATTAAAATTGTACATATATATATATATATATATATATATATATATATATATATATATATTTTTTTTTTTTTTTTTTTTTGCCTAATCACCCAGCCCAATGTAACTATCCAAATGTACATTGATATTAAAGAGCAATCTTTTCAGTATTACATGTTGTATTTTGCGAGATACATGACAATAATATATAAGTGAACCGTGTAGTACAGAGACCACAGCACACACAAGCCTTCATCAGTCTCTCATTAGACTTGACTAAATCAGGGATGACTCTGTGGGCCTTATTTACATTTGAGGCTTTTGTTATGACTTTTCAGCACGCTTCAATAGTCCAGGCAAACCACAGCACACGCAGGTGTCCAAATCCTACTGTTCAAATAAGCTCTGCTCCTCACTGTTCACAGATGAGGGCAGTAGAGTTACATTTATTTGGTTAAGTAACTTTTTATGTAGTAGTAGAGAATCCTTTTCTTACTAACATCACACTAACTTAATACTACAGTAATGTTACTACTAATGAATAACAATCATTTTGAGTATTTTTGGTTGCTCTCTTCACTTTGAGACAAAGCCCACTGTATTGACAGTTTGAGAAGATTAAAAGTTTGAATTTTCTGTACCTTTACATAAAATATTGTTTATTTTCTTAGGATTGTTTATTTAATTTCACATTTAGGTTAGTAGTTAATTTTATTTATTTCTCGATATTTCCATTGTATTCATGTGTATATTTTTTTCAGTACAAATCTGTAATTTTTAAAAATTGTCCTTCAATTTTTCTTCCTTGATTTCCACTATTGTGTAGATACTTTATTTGAAGGGAAAAAAAGTTTATGCTTCTTGTACCTTACTTGTATATAGAGGAGCAGATGTTAATTTTTCAGATATTTTTTACTGTTATTTAGAAATAGGCAACAAAAATATTTGTCCTTGATTTATTTTATTTTGTTTTGACCATGATTTATTAAAATTATTTTGATATGACAATGCTTTTACTTGAAGGCACTGTATCTGATTTTTACTGTCTTAATAAAACAGTTTACAGAAGTCCAAAGTTGCATTGTGAGCACCATAATTACTCATCACAATTAGATTATAAGTGTGTTCTCCAACTTTCAGAGACCAGAGTGATGTTTTGCTATGACAGTACAGCTAACAACAACCAGCATGATAATTGTACAGTTCATGATTTTTGGACAAAAGCACTTTATAAGTAGCTGCAGGCAGAACACAAACTATTGCTCAAATAGACGGAAAAAATCTGGTACAATGCCTTAAGTACATTTTTTGTACCTACCTCTGACCGTTTGCTTTAAATCTGAATGTAGGTGCACCGTCCCCCGAGGCTGGAGTCACTGATTGTTGTTCCATTATGTTCTGTGCAAACCCTGGGGGCCAAAAGATGATCCCGTCCTTTTGAAGCCATTGTGCTGAAAGACATAGGAGCAATATGCTGTCATTAGGCTATTACTGAGAAAGCATGTTTAATCCTAGACTACACAACAGGTTCCACGCATCAGTGTAATTACAGCGATACGAAAAGCATTTTTAATTAACTATGACTGAATGTAATCAAATGACAAATATATTTAGGAAAAGGTTATCTCAGAAAGTCACTGACATGAGATAAATCATTCTAAAACATTTGTCCTTTTCATAAAATTACAGTGATGAAGCCATAAAAAGTTGAATTGGCCAAATCCTGTAATCCAGTAATGGGAAATAGACTAAATAAAAGCATAAAACCCTCTGTCTTCATGGAGGATGGTTTTAACTTTGTATTTTTGTCATGCAGACCTCCAGAAAGACCATCAGAATTTCTGATGGTTCACAGGTTAGACTCACAGCATGGAGCCTTTCGATACAGACAAATAGACAGCAGAATAGAAACGATAGCTATATATTTATTATTTGTAGTAATAATAGAGGAGACATTTAAGTTAAGGGAGGCTCTTGAGACTCAACACAGATTCCATCAAAAACAAACTGTGTATAGAGTAAAAAAAACAAAACAGTAAAATCCGAAAAGACAAGATATGACATTGATTGATTTGTTTTTGTCCCAAGAGAGAAATAACAATCATACTACATACACAGTGGAGTGTGTGATTTTTAAAGAATTTATTTGTATAATGTATATTTTTTGGGGGTTATTTTCATATTCTGTCTTTCACAGTTGAAGTGTAACAGAGTGATGAAAATTACAGACCTCTCTCACCTTTTTAAGTGAGAAAACAGGCACTTTCTGTAACTGCTAAATACTTTTTTGCCCCACTGTATATGTAGCATGATTGTTGTTTCTCTCTTGGCACAAACTCAAAATAAAAAAACAAATCAATCAATGTTATGTCTTGTCTTTTTGTATTTTACAGTTGTTGTTGTTTTTTTACTTTTTTATACACAATTTGCTTTTGATGGAATTTGTTTTGAGTCACAAGATCTTCCCTGAAATGAAATGTCTCCTCTATTATTACTACAAATAATAAATACTTTTTTGCTCCACTGTACATTGTAAACAACAGACAAGCACATTTCTCAAAAAGGAGTGGGAAGAAGAAAAAACTTATTTGAACCCACTGCTGTTCATGACATAGTTTAAAAAATGATGTGGTTTCTTATCTACATTGATCATTGAATTTTACAAATATTTACATATAGTAAAATAAATTTCATACTATGGTCGTACAAACTAACAACAATGACAAAGAAGGCACAGAAGTCCATAATCGCATCAAAATAAGCAAAAAGAGAACGAGAAAAATGCAAAGACTTGTTCTGTGCATTGAAGCAAAATATAAAAACATGATAAATAAACAAATGAAAACAAACTAAACTTGAAATCACAAAATGTACCACTTATTTTGACTCTGTACATCTCAATTACTGAAAGCAGCTCCTTCTGGACAGTTCCACGCCTGCTGCAGCCATAGACGCACTCTGGTTTAATCCTATTACACAAGACTCACAAAGGGCCTTAAGAGGTTTAGCCATAGAAGCTCACTAGACCCAATCTCGCCTCTGTCACTCGCCTTTGGACAGACACTGGTTTTGACAGCGATACACGGCAGAATCCCTGTCTATTGTCCGCTCTTAGATTGAAGATAAATATAGCGTAAGGATGAATGAAGCGCAGGTGAATGACATGATCCAGCGATGGGTGAGTCAACATAAGTCTCCATATGGATAATGCCGGTCATGACAGACGTATGCTCGTACACAGTCTGAGCCATTCAAAATCATTACTGCAATGTTAGCAATTTAACAAAGGGAGTCAGCCTTGTGCAGCTGTTACTGTTGTAAATGTTTTGTACGACTGCACTTGTAGTTTCCATTGTCTGTAATTACACTTTGGCAATATAAGCGGTATGGATATTTTACATATTCACTCATCTAGCAATACAATTAATGCAGTTACTTTTAAAATACTACTGTTTCTTTCCAAATATATATTAAAAGTGTAATTTGCTGTTTACAGAGAACAACTCCTGATGATGTCCTGAAGCCTGAGGACTACAAACACTTCCAGAGAATTGGATCGGCCTGTATCTCTCAGGGCGAAACTTCACAGCTTCTAAACTTTATTCAGGATGACAACAATAAGGTATTTTACACTATCCAGGTTCCACTCTTTTTCACTGACAAAATTTCAAAACTTTTCCATGACTTTTTCATGACTTTAAGGCACCTACATGTGTAGAACCCAAAACAACCTAAAACATGCTACATAAGCTGATAGCTGTCAATTAAAGCTGATAAAGTAAATTAAATAAAATCAATCAGTCAATCAATCAACTAACCTGCCCAGGGACTACAGGCGGAAATTAGGACTGTTGCTACAACCTAGTACAATGCATCTCTCTTGTTAAGGTTAATATATACTGTGCACTGACCCTGCCTCATTCAATAAATAAACTAAATTAAATTGAGCATACTTTTAGGGTTAAATATGAAATGTTAACCCTTTCCACTCACCTTATGGTTTGGTATTATAGTTTTTTTACATTCAAAATACTGTTAGTGCATTTATTGTTGCCTTTTTTAAACAAAAGGAACAAACGTTCACAAACTCCTAACTCTGTAATTGTGGGAAAGAGATACTAAAATTCCATGACTTTTCCAAAACTTCCAGTGAATTTACAAAAAAAATTAAATTTTCAAATATCACAACTTTTCCAGGATTTCCATTGACCGACTATCGATAATTTTATACAGATTGCTAAAATGTAGGGACGCAAGTTAACGATGTCCAACTCTCACTGTACGATATTTATTGAGATATTTAGGAACTGCAGAATTGCTACTTTTTCCTTTTCTAAATACTTGTTAACAGTTATTTCTTCATGCTGTCTGCATTGTTACTTAGATTAAATGTCCAGTATGTACAGTATGCAAATTTTCTGGTGAAGGGTTGCCATTTTCTCTCTAAGTATTGCCTTAAATGTTCTGTATGTCTGTTATGTATTTTGCATTTCCTCAATTAGACGCATTGTTAGTGCTAAGAAAATAAGAGAACAGCTTTAAAACATATATTATTATTCTGAGTGAGGTTGCCCTTCCATGGAACTGACCTGTAATCTGGCCTGTTGGCATTACCTGTTTCTCTTCAGACAGTGGAACATCTAGGCAAAAACATTTCCATCTAGAAATCCAACAGGAGGACCCTAAACCAAAATAAAAATCATCATTAGTACACCTCAGTTTAAGATATTTTAGGATCATAATACAGAATGTGGTGATATTTTTTAACAATCAGCCATTCTCAACCCTCTGTGTTTTATCAGTTTTTAAAAGGTATCACAAATGCAAACATTGATTACAGGTAAATGTTTATTCTTTGTCTACAGTACATACATGTGCTATTTGTAGATAAACACCAGAAAAAGTGTGAATCTGTCAAACCAAACTACGATAGCCTCGAGGGACCACATCTCCAGTGAAGCGCACGGCATTAGGGCTCCACACTCACACACTCACCCCTGACCCTGAGGTGTTGGAAAAAACAAGCAGATACCAGTCAGATGTGTCCCTCCTCCGCTCAGGGCTCCTCTAAGTGCCCTTGGACATCCCAGAATAAAAAAAAAGAAAAACAGTGTGTGTTAAGACTTACTGAGGGCAAGGAAATCATCTCAAGGGTTTAAATTGATTGATGATGAGATAAAAGCATTAAAAGTAATTAAACAGTAAATTAAAATGGCATCAGTTGGTATAAGAATGTATTATTGATGCATTACGGTAATAATTATTTGCTGAATGTGTCTCCCCATTCATTCATCAACCTCTTTTTATATTATTTTATTCCTGCCTAATAAAATATTATGTAAACAAAATTTTGTATAAATAAAATTAGTGTTTTTTTTTCTTTTTGTGGTCAACCCAAAGCAATGAGCACTAGGGCTGGGTATCATTAAGAAGCTGCTAATACGATACATACATACGATACATAGGCCACGATACAATACATATCTCGAAACAGTGCACTTTCGGTTCGATATAATATATTTCAAATCGACTCGATATGGTTCAGTAAAAAATAAAGGCTAAATGATGGCTGTGATACTAAAAGTCTTTGTTAAACCACTTCTTGTGCAAAGTTTATATGAAACACAAATATTTCATCAAAACAGTGAAAATGTCAAATATGTTGCATAAACGAGTTTCCTTCCTCTAAACAAGCAACAAAACTCTAGCACTGTAACAAAATAATTTTGTAAAATATACCAAAAAATACTCTTTGCGAGTGTTTGCTTTTAATACCGCGTGAGTTGTGTGGTCTTCTGTGTTTATTATTTTATTTATTTATTTTATTTTTAGTACTGCTTTTATGAATTTATTTTATTATTTTTGTTCATTGATTTAATTATTATTTCATTTATTTTTCTATTAGTGTCTTTATTAAACATAATTCTACAGATTTTTTTTTTCCTTTTTAAAGTAAAATGTTGCATTGCTATGTGATGCACTTTGGAAACAGTTTTGTTTGTAAAATGTGCTATACAAATAAAGTTGGATTGGATTGGATATATGACCTAAATGGAAACTATGGAGTAAGAAAGCTGTCAAAAATATTCGTGCGCATAAAATAGAAATCTGTGCGTATTTGGGAAATCCGTGCATATTTGGCTGTAGTTGCGCATAAAATAAATATTTGTAAACTCTCAAATGAGTCCAGTCGTACATAAAATATATTGTGTGTATTTTATCCATCAGAATACGAATTGAAAAATTACGACGTCACGAAATGAAAATTTACGATTACGCTTTCATCAGTACGAATACGAATTCACAGACGGAACTTTACTGTCAAAAATACGTCATCACTTCACAGACATTATTCATCGAGCAGAAGAAACATCGATCAAGATCAAGACTGCGCATGCTCAAGTTTGTAGCAGAGGGTAAAAACAGAGTAATAGCACAAGAAGCTACAACAGCGACCAACAAGTGGGTTAATTAAAATCTATTGTAAAAATGTCTTGAATTCGGGAACCGAACGCTGCTGTATAATATTGTGTAGAAACACCTCCTTTGAACGGGAAATTGCACCTATATGTTAGATAACATAGTGGAGCCAGTTGGCTAACATCCGACGTAACGTTATCCCAGGGCTAATTAGCAAATATCAGGTTCTCTGTATGTTTAGATTAAAACATTCACGACTACAGCCACAGCGAGCATCAGTCAGTCTTCACTTCAGCTGCATTTCTCGCATGAAATGCCACCGAAAGTTCCTCGGGACGCTGAAATGTCCCAGTTTACACCAAACACTACCAAACTGTCCTGGTTACAGACGTCACAGCTAATGAAATGTTACACATTACAGTTTAATGCAGTTTCCAGCATCAATTAATGTTCGTGTTTACAGGCAACACCTTGGTATGTTTACAGTATTTACCGGTAAGTATAACGTCACCGTGACGTGGATGGATTTGCTCATTATAACCCATTATAACTCATGAAAAACCCATTGTCTGAAATGCAGCTGAGATGAAGACTGGCTGATGCTCGCTGTGGCTGTAGTCGTGAATGTTTTAACTAAACATACAGAGAACCTGATATTTGCCATAACGTTACGTCAGTTAGCCAACTGGCTCCACTATGTTATCTAACATATAGGTGCAATTTCCCGTTCAAAGGAGGTGTTTCTACACAATATTATACAGCAGCGTTCGGTTCCCGAATTCCAAGACATTTTTACAATAGATTTTAATTAACCCACTTGTTGGTCGCTGTTGTAGCTTCTTGTGTTTTTACCCTCTGCTACAAACTTGAGCATGTGCAGTCTTGATCTTGATCGATGTTTCTTCTGCTCGATGAATAATGTCTGTGAAGTGATGACGTATTTTTGACAGTAAAGTTCCGTCTGTGAATTCGTATTCGTACTGATGAAAGCGTAATCGTAAATTTTCATTTCGTGATTGTAATTCATGACGTCGTAATTTTTCAATTCGTATTCTGATGGATAAAATACACACAATATATTTTATGTACGACTGGACTCATTTGAGAGTTTACAAATATTTATTTTATGCGCAACTACAGCCAAATATGCACGGATTTCCCAAATACGCACGGATTTCTATTTTATGCACACGAATATTTTTGACAGCTTTCTTACTCCATAGGAAACTGCTAATACTAAAGAAATCTCATAACAGAAATAAAACACGGTGATGTTTTCAAGGCATCTGTTTCACAATAGGTCTGTGTTATACTGTAATTTCGAAGACTTAAAAAAACTGCATGTTCTTATAGCTAAAATTTGTTAATCACAATTGTTTTCTCATGTTAATCAGTCACAATTTAATATTTTATTTTGTCCAATTAAAAACATAAAAATGGCTTTCAATATACATTTCCTCAACATAAACAATACATACTTTTTATCCTTGCCATTTAACATAAAAAGTAACATTTCTTCCTCCAAACCGTGGGTGCTTTTGACATAAGGATCGTCTGTCTTTGCCTTGTGCTCGCAGGGGATTGTGACGTCTATGGGCTGCACTCTTCTGTCCCCTTTGCTCTGTCAAATACTCACCAAAGGAAAGGACTGGGACCGCTGTCAAACTGCATTCACTTATCTGACCCAGGTATGAACCAGCGAAGAGTTGTTTTACATATTTCTCCGATAGACTACAATTCACTTACTTGTGTTTTTTCAGACCTGCTGTCCAAAGAGGGCCTTCCACAGTCTGTTGGATCTGATCAAAGACACTGATCCTGGGGCCATCTCTGAAACTATTGTCACTGTCACTCCACATCTGCAAACAGGTCAGTATCAGTTAGAATTACAATGTCTAAAAAGCGCTCACAAAAACTCACATTTTTGATTAAACACTACCGGTCAAAAGTTTTAGAACACCCTCATTTTTCCAGTTATTTATTGCAATTCAAGTCGTGCAAGTCCAATGAAGAGCATGAAATGGTACAAAGGTAACTACTGAACAGTCAGAGGTTTAAAAAAATATAAAAGATCAAAACACAAGTCCAATTCTCTGCCAAAACTACCTCAGGAAAAAAGAACAAGATAGTAAGCTTGAAAACATGGAGTGTCCAGCACAGTCTCCACACTTAAACCCCATCAAGCTGGTTTGGGATGAACTGGACAGAAGAGTGAAAGCCAAGCAACCTACAAGTGTCACATATTTATGAAAACTTCTGCATCAGACTTGGGAAGAATTTTCTGAAGAATATTTGATTTCTATTGTAAAAAGAATGAGCCTCGAGTGTGTTCAGCTGTTATATCTGCCAAAGGTGGACACTTTCATGAATCAAAAGTTTAGAACACATTTTGGTCAACAGTAAAATACTGGAAAAAGTGTGGTGTTCTAAAACTTTTGACCGGTAGTGTATGTCAGTTTGACCAGGAAAGGTGTGTAAATACCAAGTACTTGAACAGTGCTTAGTGTAGAGCTATTATTGCTGATGCAGATAGGGGTAAAGTTGTCATGGTTTAATGTTAAACTACTGATATTTGGTTTCACCTCAGCGATATTTAACTCAAAATACTCTAGGCTATATATTGTTATAGGTTGTGTATAATGTAAAACTGAGCTGGAGGGCAGGTCATAATTCATTGTAATTTGCTGTTTAACTGCCAGATTGCAGATGAGTTGGTTAAGTTGATCTGGTTTCTAGTTAATATCTCTGTAATTACTGGGTCAAGTCACATGAAACCAAAACTGGCACAAATAAATTCAAGAATATGAACCCAACCCTTCAGCCTTCAAGTTGTAATAAAGGCATTCTTGGTAAGGGGTGGGAGATGTTGCTTAAATATTAACCTTATTTCAAACGACTTATGCATTTTTTGCAGCTTTTGGCAATCTAGGTCATTGTTTCCAAAAGACTGGGTCATGACCCTCAACTACGTCGCAAGAGATTTTTTTGGGGTTGCCTTGTCACGATCTGCATGTAGGTCTGCAATATACAGTTATAGACATGGACCTTATCGTCATTCTGGAAAAGCATTTAATCAGAATATCCTGTTCTCAGTAGGGTCAGTATTTCTATGCATATTCCTTTCATATATATATGTGTGAGTTGGGACATTTTTAGATATTTTTTGTATAATTTCTAATCTTAATAATCTTTTTGTAATTATCTTATTGACTATTTTGTTCCAGTATTGCTGGTTCAATTGAATGTTGAAAAGAAAAAGAAATGGGCTTCATTTAATGTCCAAATAGGCGACTTATGGATCCTTTCATTGCTGCTTCAATTACTGTTTTTCATTGTTTAAAACTTGAGTAATACTAATTGTTCAGAGAGACAGAATCACTCAGTCAACAATAAAATATCCTCATTAATGTGTAATCCACCTTTAATTTACGAATATTGACTTGGGTTACAAAGATTTGTGACTTTTAAAATATGGTTCCCCAGAAAAAAAGTTTGGGAAACACTGCTCTAAGCCCTAGCTGATTTTCCCCACCCTCTTTTGCTGTTACTTGGCTCCCCCTAGTGTTCAGTTTACACTTTTCCACTCTAATCGTTTTACCATATTTTGTTTGTCCATTGTTTCCCCAGTTGTGCTCCGGCTGGATGCAGAGCAGGCAGTGTGCGTGGGTCAGTCCCTGTCCTCCCTGCACTCCCAGATGTCCCGCCTGCCTGTGCCCTACACCCCCGAGCAGGAGCAGGAGGATCCCTATGACCTGAGAGGCTGCCTCTCCTCTCTCATTGCATTCGCCAGGCCCTTTGTGGAGAAGGTGAAACTCAACAGCAGCAAATGGGTCACGGCCAAAGAAGACGAGGAGCTCAGAGTGGAATTACTCAAGTTGTGAGTTCTGATTGATTGTTATTATCATGTTTTATTTTGTTTGTTTATTTTATTTATTTTTTTGCTGGGGCCATTTAAGGGCCTGTTGGTCTGTTCATAGGTAATATTTTTTTCACTTCTACTGCCCATTTCAGTATCAGTAATGTGGCTTGTGATGATGAGAAGGATAAAATTGTAGTAATAGTTTATTTGGTCATTTTGCAGCACTACAAAACAAAACAAAACAAAACAAAACATAGACTGCAACCTCATGGATCATGACCGAAAGGGTTTAGGCTGAAGTAAAAAGTACTTATAATGCCAAACCCTTTTAAACAATGACAGAATTCCAAGAAAGAAAAGCATCATATGAAGTTTGCATTTACAGTTTCACTTACAACTTACTGTATATATAAGAGACAAAATATAAATAAATTAAAACAAACAAAATTTTATGCATAATTCATTCATTCCAGAGCTCTATATAGAGCTATATATAAAATTGTCTTTCTTATTTTAATTGTCTGTCTTATCTATCAATGATAAAATGTTAGATTTAAACATTTTGTTAGAAATAAATATCCAAATATCTTTTTGTAATAACCCTCTGAGTTTTCTTACTACTCTATAAATTTGTGTTTTGAACTTCTTCCTTTCATTGCTGCAGTCTAGGTGAAGAGCAAACAATGAAAAGTGATTTTGATGCCTTATTATAATAAAGATTTTAAAAGGTTTTTCTAATATTTGTCTTTTACAGCTGCATGAGGAGCCTGCGGGAGCCATTACTTGAAGCCCAACTGCAGAGGAACAACACATCTCCACTTTGGCTGTTTGCCAATGACATAATGGTACAAAACCCATCTCGGCTCACGGTTTTATCAGACGTCTTTCGCTCTAACTGTAACTCTTTTCTACAGATGATTCTTTGTGAAGTCCAGGGCCCACTTCCAGACATTTTATTTTTTAACTCATTGAGGAAACACGTCTCAGACAATGATCAGTCTGTAGATTCCAGAGCGTGCGTGGCCTACCTGCTTTTTGTCCAACAGATCACAACAGACAGCTTTCCAGCAGTATTCAGGTGAGACACATATCAAAATCCCTGAAAAACAAAGCAAAAAATGTTACGTCATGAATTTACCTATTTACTTGCAGCCCTGTGTTTATTCTCCAGTGCAACATGCAGTACATTGACCAAATGCTAAACAGGTAAAAATTTGTTGATCAACGCAGCAATACACACAGAGCAATAATACTTTTTTTACTTTCAGCAAAAAAGAATCCTACGTACTCAAAGGACTGGTAAGAAACACTGCATAATTTCACTAGGATGAATTTATTGCAAACTAATCATAGATCATAAACCATATAGGATTGGGAAGAGACACAATTCCCATAAAACAAATTACTAGACATGAGATCGGATCCACAAGAATAAGACGAGATTTTCACATAATTTGTAAAAAAAAAAAAAAAATCAATTGTGCAGTTCAGTTCACTCTTGAGATCCACAATTTTACTACTTCATTAGTTTTAAAAAAGTTCTGCTTTTTAGCTTCTCAAACACTGACCAACACAGAAAATATCTCACACAAACAAATTTTCACATGTGTGCAATCTTGTGGTAACTTTATCTTGCAAGAATTAGACCTAAATACATTCTTGTCAATGATAGCCATCTTTGTCACTTTCAGGCCCTTTACAAAATCACATTAGAGACTATTGAGGATCGCAGTCTCTCAGTGAAACTACTAGAACTCAGCACTTTCTGCAGTGTTTCACAGGTATGGTCACTATTAACACTAACATTAAAAAATAAAATTGTTCTTTTGATAGATTGTCTTCCACTAATTATTTTTTTACATCTAGAAACTTGGTTATATTCTTCGCGAGTGCCCAATTAAACATCTGGTAAGTGAATAATAATTTAACACTACAGTCATTTTAACGCAACTAAACCCAAAACAAATTTGTTCAGTAAATGTGTCATTTTTATTTTTCTAGAAAGAATCCGGACTGCAGATTTTACAGATGTTCATCGACAAATTAGACGCTGAAGCAAAGCACAAGTTTTTTAGGTAAAAAGAAGTACTTAATTTTTTTTTACGCCGAAATTGTAGACCAGTGGTTTTCATCTTTTTACCCCAAGTACAATCTTTAAAAATAATTGGCCCTCAGAACCACCAGGACTACCGATACTCTGGGTCTAAAGCCAAATTAACCTGCAAATAATCCACATACCAAGTTAAGGAGCTTTAGTTTGAGAACCAATAAAGTTTACGAAATGTCTTCTGTAGATGTATGTTGAAAACCAGCAACCACTCAGGCATAGAGGGCTTCATAGTGAAAAACATCAGGAATGAAGTCGAATTCTGCTTAAAGGTAAAGAAGAAAACATTATGTACTTCTGTTTATAATAATACAATGTACAAGTCTGAAGTATTTTGAGTCAATATTTTGGTTCTGCAGTCTGGAAATGAAAACAAATGGTTCATGGGACCTGAGCTCTCACCACTGTTGGGGCTGGTGCTGTGTTTGCCTCATGGTTCAGAAACAGACCTGCTCAACAATATGGACAAGTGAGTAAATAACAAAATTATAGGAACAAAAAGCTTAAATAAGTCATGATTATGTGTAAAAATCGAGAAGAATACCAATACTACAGGTATCTACTAACTAAAGGTTAACTAGAGCTCATGGTGCATAGTTTTAGGGGTGGTTAGTACTGCTCCTTTTACTTGTGTTTCTAATAAAATTGCACTTCTTGAGTAGTTCTTGAGTTCTTGAGTACACCATACCCTTAACCACTACTTTACTAATATATTTTATAGTTTAACGATAGTCTTACCTGAGTAAAAGTTTTAGTTTCTCTTCCCAAAAAGTCTACAAGTGACAAAAGCCAGATTTGTGTATTATTATATGCCGTTCTGTTACTTGAAAAGTGCTTTTTTACTTACTCAGGTATTTTGTGAACTCCTATGACTTCCTAAAGTTATTTTGAAATGACAGTACTCTTAGTTGAGTACAATATTTGGCAACTCTGTCCACCTCTGTTCACAATCACAGTGCAATAGACTTTATTTGAGCTTTCTTCGTCCTCGTACATCAGTTTGTTCTGGGTAAATGCTCAATCTGATTTCCTTGTCTGCCCAGGATCATGGAGAGCCTAAATCTTCTGCGGTACCTTCTCCTTCGAAACAACGAGTTAGCAATCCATGTGAGTACAAGAGAATGTATGCAACGTTTGTGTAGGTAAAATAAATGTCCAAAAGCCCTTAACAGAGTGTATTTTTCAGACTGCAGTGTGGGCAGAGCTGTGCAGGTTGAGAGATGACTATGTTAAAATGCTGCGAGTTTGTCTCAGCTTATCCAGAGGCTACTACTCCTCTGAACTCAAGTCACTGCAGGAGGACCGCAAACTACAGGTTCAAGGTAAAACATTTGGTCATTTGTTCTGTGCTCTTTTCTATCACAAAAATAATCAATTAACCTATTTAAAAAGTGTCCAACCAAATAATAAATGCTTTTTCATTTCGTCAGACCAAAGAAAGAGTTCATAAGAGTTTCCCATTAAAAGACAAAAGATAATACCCCCCCATAGTCCAAATCTCTTTTTCCATAGTGTAAAATAAGCAGGACAATAACTTAATTATACATGTATTAAAGTTATATACTTATAACCTATAACATATATTATTCTAAACGATTACGACTTAAAGACTAAATGGAAATACTGAAATATCTATCTACACAACATGGTAAAAAATATAAATCAATAAAATCAAATCAACACAAATTAAAATAAATAAATTACATAAACTTGGTCATTTCCTATGTTGTTTCTAATAAAAAAAACAATATAATAAAGTGTGTTTTTGCTTTTTCTCTAGCTAAAACCTAGAGTATATTATTGCCAGTATTAAAAGCTTTTTCTTTTTATTACTGTCTACTCCAGAGGCCAGAGCTGCAGCAAGAGACAAAGCATTACTTCAGAAAATCAAATTGAAACAGGAGAAAGTATCCAGTCTGTCTCCAGAGGTCCAACACCAGGTAAAAAAAAAAACACAAATCTATTTAGTTCATGTACGAAGACAGTTCCTTGTGTTACTAATTTGACTGTTGTGTGTTTCAGGTTTTACAGAGTGCCATGGTAACTTTTGACCTGATGGAGAGCCTTATTTTCCGCATTGAGGAGATCACAGAGGAAACAATGAAGATGTAAAGATGCACTGTTTAACATTTCTCTGACATCTGATTGTCTCCATGGAGATGTTATTGCTCTTGCTTGGAATGTTCCATGGTATGGCATTTGATTGATTTACTTCCATGGAGACGAGCAGGTGACGACACCAGGCAAGTTTTAGATGATATTTGTGGAGAGGCGACCTCACCCTTACAAAGAGTGCATGTTTTTAAATCCCTGTTTGAGCAATAAAAATACTTGTAAGTGAATAAATGATTTTCTAAATAAAAAAAACATAGTGCATGTAAATTTTCCAAAATGTGGAGAAAAAAAGTGTGTTTATTATAATTACTTTGTTCATTAAAAGAAGTTTTTTCACTCCTAGTTTTACAATCTTTTATAATTTTACAATTGTATATTGATGGTGATTTCTGACAATTTTTGGTTAACATATTTAGAATAGACTGTTATTTATTTTCCAAGGACAAAATGGAAAATATTATAAGGATAAAGCAACACAGAGACTGTGGTGGTATAAGCAAACCTTATCCTTATTTTATTGAATACAGTTTTGAGAGAATAAACATCATAAATCGCCTGACCGTAGATTCTAACACTGGCTAAAGAAATTTATGGCTGAGTGAAAAAGTTAGTGGAAAATTTAGCTGCTTTAATCCTTCTCTCCTTTGCTCCCTAAACTGACAAACTTTTTTTTTTTTAATAGAATGTGTTATTTGCACTAAAATGAACACCACAACTGACATAGTCTATGAACTGACTCTAAAATAACATTCAGGGGATTATTAGTGTTTTATAACAGGTCTCTGAGCATCTCCCAGACTGGGCTGTTCTCTATGATACGGCTGCGGGCCAGGGCCAGCCGGTCTCGAATGTTGTCCACGTGAGGTTTACTAGTCACCTAAAAGTGAGTCTTGTCTTAGTTCAATTAAGAAAAACAAAACTACCAGGTAAATGTAAAAGGGGAAATGGACTTACCTTGGCAATTGTAAGCATTCCTTTGACTATATTTGCATTGTTTCTCACAGGAAGAATCCGCAAGTTACTCCCAAAGAAACTAAAAAGAAAAACAAAAGTATTATTTTCAAACTAAATAGAAAATTCTGTGAAAACTCAACCTCTTCTGTGGCCATTTGTCTTCTGTGGCGTTAGTATAGCTTAATTATAGAAACATATTTTTTTACAAGACCTTTTAAAGCACTGTTTCTCAGCATCTGCTCTTATTCCCCGTTATAATGAACTGGTCTTGTACCTGTTTTGGATCAGTGAGAGTGTTTCCATCTCTTTGGGTCCGTTGAAAGGGGCGTAAAGGAGCACAAAGCAGTTGCGATGGACTTCAACAAATTTATTCAGATTCTCAACCAAAGCAGACTCCTGATGCTGTGGGTCTTGGGGGTCAACCAACAGAAATGCCGTCCCTGTGAAAAAATACAAGACAGAGGACACGCATGGCTCTGAGCTCAAACTGTGAATTAAAAGTTGTTCTTCACATTATTATGGAAGAGAGACACTTAATTGATGTTATTATCCAGAAAGCCAAGAGTAAGCTCCTAATTTCTTTCTTATTTTTAACACAGATGGATTTCTTATCTGAATATCCACAAATGTTGAGCCACCTTACCATTATTTATTAGGAATCTGTAGGGATGTAACAATAACCAAAATATCGTGATATCGTATCGTCAAAAGTCTCACAGTAATATTGTGGGCTGTCACAGTATATTGAATTACAAGTTCCTTTGCTTAAATGCATGGTTTTATAGTAGCAACAATTTATGAACAATGGAAACTACATATGCCAAGATTCATTTCAGTGCAGACAACATGAAGAGATTTGTTTTTTACTTGAATTCTTGGGATTATGACAGAAATAATTCACACCAAAATTTTGTCAAGGTATTTTAAAAGCAGAAACGTGCCCTATCTATAATTATATTAGTCTCTTCAAAATATCGCAATAAATATTGTACCGTGAGATGCATATCGTGATAATATCGTACTGAGAGATTTGGATATCGTTACATCCTTAGGAATCTGACATTGTTATAATTCATATATATATTCATTAACAAAAATATATCATTATTTTCTCTCGTTGTATTACTGTGAATTTTAATAACCAAGAAGTAATGAGTAAAACCTTTAAATATAAAAAGAAAATAGAAAACAGAATGAGCCTCGTTTAAGTCTGGGGAGCCTGTTTCAACGCAGAAATCCAGTTGGTTTAAACCTAAAAATAATATGAGTGGTCTCTATCTGAACCCCAGCACCTGCAGCCAGTCATGTTTCAGTGCTAGTGCAGCTCAGAGAGGGAATTTTGGAGGCTCTGAGCTTTCACATGAGGCCTGGACCACCTGTATAAAACAATATGTGTCCTCTATCTGCAGGTTTTATGTATTTTATTTATTTTATTTATGAGACAGGGGCAGTGCACAATATACTTTAACCTTGTGCCAGGTTGTAGCAGTAGAGCTAATGTCCACCTGTAGTCCCTGGTGCAGATTTTTTAGGTTTAGACACTAGCAACCCAAATTTATTAATAAACAGTGACAGTACAGGAAACATATTTATTTACTTATTTTAATCATACTTACCTGAGAGAGGGAAAATAAAAGCCCCATTCTCGACACTGTTTGTGAATCTGATGCGATGTTGTTCAGCTCTGAGCATTTTAATAGTGTCGTGGTTCTGGTTAAAAATGAAAAACAGCAGCTTTTAAACTTTTTTACAACTAGTTAAAAAGCTACTTATCTCAGAGTTACTTAGCATGTATTAGCTTGTTAGCAAACGCCACATTTGTAGTGTAACAAAAATACGAACATTTTGACGTTTACCTCCAGAGAATTGCTGACTATTATAGTTGTCTTCCACTGAGTCACATTTTCTTGATTATGTGGTGTGGCCATTTTAAATATACATCAATTAATTTCAATAAACTAGCAGCAAAAATATAATAAGTAAAACTGATAAATTCCCCACCGTAAGAGCGTGGATGTGCTAACGTAACCCGCTAGAGGGCGCTGTTGCTTCTCTGTTTATTTTTATAAGACCTACTATAAGATATACAAATCATTGTTTTACATTTTCTTTTTGGTTGCTCGGTTGATCTACACCAGCTTTGTAATAAAAATATGTTTATTGACCTGTACAGAACGTTCAAAACTACTGAAATTATGATTAGTTATGTCACTTCACATCATGGGCCTTTAAACCAGAGGTGGGGACTTGGACTTGAGTCAGACTTGAGTCATTATTTTAAGGACTTGAGACTTGACTTGATAAAATGTACTAAGACTTGGGACTCGACTTGGACTTTAAGGTCAGTGACTTGGGACTTGACTCGGATTTGAGGCCTGTGACTTGAGAAGCACTTTTAAATCTGAATTCTTTCTATTCTGACTATAATGATTCACACTAAGATCTTGTCAAGACATTTGAAAAGGAAAAATTAACTAAATTGATTTCTACTCTATGAATACTCATAAATATACAATGACTTTTTAAAGTACAATTTAGTTTAAAATTAATCTAAATTACAGAAATTTAAGATGTATTTGGTACTTTGGTTTAAAGACTTCAAATGACTTGAAGCTCAAAGCAGACAACTTTGACTTGACTTGGACTTATGGGCCAGTGACTAAAGACTCAACTTGGATTTACCTGTATTTGACTTGGGACTTGACTCAGATTTGAGGTCAAAGACTTGAGACTTACTTGAGATTTGCAAAACAATGACATGGTCCCACCTCTGTTTTTAAACTTGTATTATACTTATGTCCTTCACAGTAGCAAAGGCTTTTTATTTACTTGTTTTTATTGTTGAATGTGATTTTTTGTTTTGTTTTTTATGTGCATGACCCAGGGGTGGAATTTATAAAATATTTGTAAGGTTAGAGCAGTCGGCGGAGATAGGGTTAGGTGAAAAGTACAATACAGGATTTCTCAAATATTCATCAAAATACAGTTTCATTTTAATGATGAGGGAACACTGTTATAGCATGTTAAAAGTCAGTCAAAAAAAATCCAGTTTCAATTTTACATAGGCCTAGGTCTCCTTTAAAAGCGAGCCTATTGATAGTTTTTATATTCTTGAATGTGATGATGTTATATTTCCAAATAGATGGCATGAGCTAGTTTTTCCTATTAATTACATTGTAACTTGTCATGAAATACTGAAAAGGCAAATTCTCAAATGTGGAACTTGATCATTTCTATTATTGAACAGACCTAAGATGATGCTATATTACAACAAAAATCTGCAATTGAACAGTATTAATTTTACCTGCCCCCATCTGTATTAAATATTATCAGCCTATAGAAAAAGATGACCACATTTTCAGAAACATGAACTTTATTTTAAATATCACATAAATACAAGCCAAAAGGAAGGTGTTTAGAAACTCCAATTGACTTTGAGGACGCCCATGAGAAAAAAGTTCTTAAGCTTTAGTTTTTTTTCTAGAGACGCAAAATCACATCTATCGAACATTCAAAACATACAAAAATATGTGCATGCAGTACATCTTATTTGTGTCAAGAAAAATCCACTGAGATCTAAATCCAAATAGTTCAAATTCTACTGTTAAAATGGCTGTTGCTCGTATTAATAGATTAAGACATTTTTTTAATTAAAGGCGTCGACAGTGTAGGCTCTCAAAGGTTTCTCTAGGGTGACCACCTATTGGCATCTCACCAATTTTGTCCCACGTTTTCATCAAACTGTGAATATAAAAATTAGATTATTGTTTTGTGAATTTTGGGTGTCTGTCTAGTTACAATGAGAAAATGATTTATTGCCTGTTATTTGCCTCTTGGTGTCTGCCAAAAGAATGATATAGGCTGTCGTGATAATAAATTACTTCAGTATTAATATCACAAAATGCTGTATTGAGACATTGAGATATTTTTGATGGACTACATCCACAAAACAAAAATGTGGCAGCACTAAAAAAAATGTCTTGCAAAATTTTTTTGATTAGCCATGATTAATTGTGAGTGCGGTTGGCATTTGATTATAAAAATTAGTGTATTTCCGTTTGTGTAGTGCAGGTATCTCCAACTTGTAGCTTGGGAGCGACCAGGAGCTCTTCACCCCCTTCCAATTAGCTTGCTTAAGGATTTCTGAATTATGTGTATTGCACTTAATTACTAAAATCTGATTAATTACTAGGGATGTAACGGTAACCGAAATATTGTGATATCGTATCGTCAAAGTTCTCACAATAATATCGTGGACCATCACAATATATCGAATCCCAAGTCTCTGTTTAAATTAAGAGTTATGGTGCAGCAATAGCTAAAAAAGACAGAGGGAACTACATAGACCATGATCCTTTGCTCCATTTCAGTGCAGACTACAAGAAGAAATAACAGTTCTAAGCACTTTCACGTCTTAGTTCTTTGGATTAAGTCTTGACAAGGCATTTTAAGAGGAAAAAGTAGCATATATCGCACAAAATATCACAGTAAATATAGTACCGTGAGATGTATATTCTGAAAATATTGTACCAAGAGATTTAGATATTGTTACATCCTTAATCGTGAGCCTCCCCTCCTTATCGTGAGCTTTCCCACGATATCGCGTAGTGAGGTTCACACTGTGACGATATCGTATCATGAGACTTGGGTATTGTTACACCCCCATTAATTACCATTGTAAAAATGTCATTTTGATGCCTAACTTGCACTAATAAATGGATAATGTTTATGTTTTAGAAGTTTGCCGTGGCTCTTCTACTTTCTCAATTTCTTGTGACCGCTAAAATGAATAGCTCTCTGGAATTTACATTTTATAAAGGTAGCTCACCAGAGGAAAAAGGTTGGAGATTCCTGGTGTAGTGGTTTCATAAAGAAAATAAGCTGCTAACAGATATGGCAGAATATCATGGATGGATTGATTATGCATGTTGACGGGCATGGACAGTGTAGGATCGCCACTGGCCATGTACCACACAGAAACGTGAGGGACAGTTGTGATTCCAAGCCCTATATGTCATGGCGTTTCTATTTACTTGAAGGAGAATCTGCTTATTATTACTCATGTTTGAGGTGGTCACCCTATTTGTCTGTGCTTCTCTTTCAGTGGTGCGTCTCCAGCTCCACGATGGTCCACTCGCCCTGGGGTGACGCTGCATCCTCGGGTGAGAAGCTCGTCACTGTGATGCTGGTAGAAGAGTCCTCCAGGGGCGAAATCAATTCTGCCCACCGCTTAAACGACTCCTTTTCCGGCGAAAGAAAAGCCTGAGTGTCCACACAGTCCCGAGATAGAGACAGGGTTTGTTTGATAAGATATTGTGCCAAATTAAGCTCCTCTGGCACCGGGTTTATTACGCCAAGATTGGACTCGTTTTCGTTCAAGAGCTGCCTAAGCAAGCTCCAATCTTTCTCTGCAAATTCGCTATTTATTTCGCATTCTTCGTCTTCTTGGTTAGGCTTTTGCGCGCAGTTCTCAAAGGATTCCCCCACATCCATCTCGTAAATGGGAGACAACGCTTTGGCAGATGGCCGACGGTCATGTTTGCAGATTTGCTCCGTTCTTTGACAAGCACTGTCTCCTAAAAATAATTCATAATACTGCGAATGACAAGCTGTTTTTCACAAGTCCATAATTTCAGACAATTTGGGAGGGATTTGAACAAGAAAAATAACCAAAATACAGTCAAATGTACCCTTAATGCAACTGCTGCCTTATACAATACATCCATATCTTGACATTCATGGTCATGAGAAAAGTACATAGTGTGATTGTACAATAACAACCCTGCTAAACCATTCAGAATTAAAGGTAGACAGTTGCCCTAAAGGTAATTCACAAAAAAGGAGCATTTTTCAGAGTATCTCTTTGTTCACATAAAATAAACTATGCACCATAATGCCAGCACCAATTAAGTTGCAGTTCTTATAAAAACAATATATCTTCAAGTAATAAAATATCAAGACTAAACTCTCACAAAACTTGCAACAATCGTGCTTCACATCGCACAAAAATAGTTCACAATGTCATGTTTTTTAGTTGTTTAGGGGATGAAAACGATGAAATGTTAGTAAAAATATAATGCAGAACTTAATTGTATTTTAACAGGTGCAGTTTTGTTGTTCTTCTTAATTTTTCAGTGAAAAAAGAGACACATGACTTCTAAGTAGAGACAGTTCACAAACTATTACAGACAGAGGAAACTACGGATAAGATACAAACTCTACTCAACTCAAACTCTACACATCTTAACACAAGAAAAAGAAGGACATTGTTTTCTAGCACAACCTACTGGGTATGACACAATGAATAACACAAAGAACATAAAAGGGTGTAAAACAAGTTTAATGGCTGCATGCATGGTGCAAAAGGAACAACAGAACAGAAGCTGGGGATGGGCGCATTGTCAGAACAGAAAGCAAAGGGTTCATTCAGTTTAACAGGGTTTCAAAAGCAGTGGCAGTTTTATTCTTTAGTAAAATTTGTGACTTGTTTGGTCCAATTGTGTTATGTACAAGTTTAGAAGTTTGCTTTAGGCACTTTAACATCAATAGTTCATTTAAAAAGTACAGTTCAAGTGCTGTAAGTACAGACAGAGATTTTGCCCCTGAGAAATGTGCACACTAAATCAAAATTATTTCAAGTGGCCGTGACACAATAATGTGTTTACATTTATACAAAAAATACATTCAAATTTAAGCATAACCTGCACATAAATAATGGCACATAAATTAATACATAGTGAACTATTGGTGTTAAATTGTCATATCTCTTTAATCATATCAAATTTGTCATCACTGCACACTGCATAAAACAACAAAAATAATGTGATTTTTTTTATATACATAAAAGTGCATTTGTTGTAATGTCAGAGCCTTGTCACAAGGCATTTTTAAATGGTACAATTATACAAGTCCTGGTGCACATCGCACTGTACTCCCTTTTGTTAAATTATTTGACTGACGAACGATCTGTGGTGTAAATGCCAAGGTCGGTCTAACTTTATTTTATTTTTATTTTATTTATTTGAGACAGGGACAGCATACAATTTTAACATGAGAGATGCATTGTACCAGGTTGTAGCATCAGAGCTAATTTCCACCTGTAGTCCCTGGTTAGATTCATTAATTGATTGCATTTATCTGACCGACTGACTGACAATATTTTGGATGTGTTTTGGGATGTGAATGGGCCATGAAAACCCTTTCTGGAAAGGGGGGGGTGTTAATGGACAGAGATAAGGCTAGTGCAAAAGAGGGTTTAATTTTGCAAACTAAACCTTAATTTATGGGGAGAGAAGATGGGATTGGATTTAAGTGGGAGAATTTGGGAGGGGTCCATGGATATTTATACATTACCTGCTGGAGACTGTGCACCTTGTTGTGAGGTCAGTTGAGGTTCGTTTAAGTCTAGATGCAATTCGGCTTTCTTGCTTTCTGTTGGATTTTTACGTGACGACCCATTGGTGTAGTGTTCAGTGTTTCGTAAATCGAGATGGCACGGTCGCTCTTGGGGCGGGTCCTGGGGAAGGCAGGGGGATATGTCCGCTTGGGTATTCTTAACCTGCTCCTGGAGTTCAGTTAGAAATACAGACTTGTCATCCTCATTAGTTTTGTGCTCTGGTGAAAGTCCAAGGTGGCCGACTTTCTTGTCCTCCTCCTCCTCCTCCTCATTAACTGTAGTGTCTGGTTCGAAAACATCACACGGTGTTATAGCTGCATCGGGCTTTTGCTGAGCAGTTTCGCCTCCTTCTTCTCCCAGTTCTTCACATTCATCGACGGAAAGCAGCACGGATCTACGGAAATTTGAGGTCTGGTACTGCTCCTGGTTTTCCTGGTCTATGCTTTCATCATCAAAAGCCAGGTTCACAATTCCTTGAAAATGTGGGGAAGTTTCTGTTTTGGGGATAACTTCAACTTCAGATTTTTCATCCTCCGTTTCTTCCTCCTCCTCCTCTTCCTCCTCCTCTGATGAAAACAACTGATGCTCAGGAACGCTTTTCACCTACACATAAGAGAACAGACATCAGACATAAATGTGGGGTGTTAAGATAATAAGAAAATAAGAAAATAATGATTGAACACATGTGAAAAAGGCCCTATGCAATATTAATATAATTGGAAGGCAGCAATATTAAGTTAATTGCTTCTTTTTTCTTCTTTTTGACTTACAAAACACTTGCACTGTTTAAGAGCATGTATCCTGTGTTGTTATGGTTTTAAAAAGGTACTATACTCACAAATGAATCTGGGTTGCCCCTGTCTTAACCTAAATGTTTGCTCATTCTCAGCATTTGGTGTCCCAAACCAACTGGAATTCGGCATTGAAATGAGACATGAGATATTTTGTGATTGGTGAATCGTCTTGAGATTCAAAATGACAAATAGCCTACTTTACGCCACAAACCGGGAAGACGTTTGGAAAGATGTGATTACACTGGGCTCACCAACCGACGGAGATAAAACCCACTGAAGTAAATGTGATCAGTGGTAAAATGAGGACTGCATACATATGTGTTGTTTGGAATCATCTTGAATTTGGCGCCCTCATCTCTTCTAATTGCATGTACCCAGTGCGCTTGGAGTTGTGTGTCAGTGGGGAAATGATGACAAATGAGGTATGGTTGTAATTGTTGATTAGCTGAACATAACAGAACGCTACAATGACATTTAGATTAAGAAAACTGGGCCTGGGAAGTTGTAATCGCATCTTTCCAAACGTCTTACTGGTTTGTGACGTAAGCGTGAATAGAGCCTATGAAAATAAACTTGGCCCTCATGCCCAAATTATGTAATTGAGAATAATAGCTATACGTGACGCATCTGGGGACAATTAATATCAAAATTATTCATACTCTTCCTTTAACACTGTGAAATACTACAGCTCAAATAAAAAAAAAAAAAAATGACCTTATTTTGTGGGAGCAAGCATTTTGAGCTCAGTCAGGATAAAGAGATGAACTAAATATGCAGGATTACTCAAAACAAATGTATTATTGATGAGAATACAAAATTATACGAGAGAGAGAGACAGTTTTACCGTTACTGTGGCTTCAACTTCAGAATGCTCCTCCTCTGCCGCCACAATCTCATCTTGATGCAACCAAGACCTCGGCCTTTGTCTGATGGCCTCCTCATCGCTGGTTGTCTCCATATCTCTTCCTCGCATCCGCACCTCCACTCTTAACCCGCTCTCGTACATTTTGAGCTCCTCCGGCGTGCTCGTATCGCTGCTGCTTCGGCCCAGGAAATCGTGGCACCTCATTGTACCGCACTTGGACACGCCCCTATCGTTGGAAAAATCATCGTCTTGTGAACCGCCAGCATCGTAGTCCTCCGACCGCGGTTTGATGTCATCTGATGAGGTCGCCTGGCTTCCCGTTTCCGATTCGGGCGTGCATTGAGGGTGCATGCTGCTCCAAGAGTCTTCCAATGGAGTGCTACCGATACTGCAAGGTGTGCCTGTTAAGGGACGGTCTATCTCTTTTGGTGAATTAGTGTCATTGACTTGATTGGAAAAGCTTGATTGTGTTTTTTGCTTGGCATCTATAGCAGGTTTAGGGATCTCTGCACTGACTGGATTTACTTGGGGCGTAATCTTAGATGCCTGGACATTGTCTTTTTCAGCTTCATTAGTTTTTTCCAAATTTTCTTTTAAATCCAATTGCAAATCTGCATCGTCTTTGCTTTCTGTCTCCATACTTGGTTCCTCAACGGGTAATTCTTCTTTAGGTTTCTCCTCTTCAGCATCATCAGTCCGAACAATAGCTACTTCAACTTTAGTATCCTCATTTTTAACATTTTCTGTCTCTTTCTCTTTTGTCACTAATTTCTTGTTAGCACTGGCTGTTGTTTTGGTGTTTGGACCAGATTTTGGTGAAGCTGTGTCAGTAGTTGCAGTCTTAGATTTTGGTCCTGGTTTGGCAGTAGGAGCTGGAGATTGCTTAGCGTTGACTGAGGGAGTCTTGACAATAGGTTTAGCGCTGGGTTTAGCTGAGGGTACTGTGGCTGAAGCTGGTTTAGTGGTTTTCTTCTTTGGAGTTTCACTTGCCGTTTTGTCCACAGATTGTTTGTCATCTTTCTTGGGAGATGGGGGCTTTTTTGCAGAAGTGCCATTTCTGTAGCCTAAAACAGATTAGAAGTCAGATTTTATCATCAGCGAAACTAAACACTAAACTAAATCCACTTTTTCGCTACTAAACTGTTGTTGTTATTGTTTTCAAATCTTTGCACTCTATGGGTCCAGTCTATTTGAAGGAATTACTGCAGCCCTGTACTCTGCCCAGGCCCCTGAGATCAGCCGACCAGCTCCTGTTGGTCATACCCAAAACGAGGCTCAAGACGAGAGGTGACAGAGGCTTTTCTGTGGCACTGCTCAGACTGTGGAACAACCTTCCTCTTCCTGTCAGATCCTTTCAGTCTGTAATGCAATTTAAGACTAGATTGAAAACTCACCTCTTCTCCCTGGCATTTAGTACAAGCTAGTCAGGTTATCTTGGTGTTTTTATTGTAGTTTTCACATGTTATCTGTATATATGTATACACTACCAGTCAAACGTTTTAGAACGCCACACTTTTTCCAGTTTTTTTTTTACCAAAACTTATTCTAAACTCTTGATTCATGAAAGTGCCCACCTTTGGCAGATATAACAGCTGAACACACTCGTGGCTTGTTCTTTTTACAATAGAAATCAAATATTCTTCAGAAAGTTCTTCCCAATTCTATTGCGAAAGTTCCCATAAATGTGTGGCACTTGTAGGTTGCTTGGCTTTCACTCTTCTGTCCAGTTCATCCCAAAACCAGCTCGATGGGAGACTGGAGACTGTGCTGGACACATGTTTTCAAGCTTCCCATATTGTTCTTTTTTTGAGGTAGTTTTTTTTACCTCTGGCTGTTAGGGTGGTCTAAAACTTTTGACTGGTAGTGTATGTAACAGTTTCTTCTGTTTTTGTTGACTTGCATGTGAAGCACTTGTCAGCTGTGTGTTTAAATACTCTGTAAAAGGTGTTTTAATAACATTACCTATTGCTCCTAGTCTTTTTTACACAAATTTAGTTCGAACTAGGAAAATTTATAGTTTTATAGTCAAAAACATTTAAATCTAAGTGTGTGCAGTGTTCAGTGGCCATTGGAAACACACCGAAGCATTTAAGTATGGATTGCTGTTAGACAAATCACCCTGTTCCTTATACCTGCAGGCCCTGCCCCTCATTTCTCCTCACTTTTTTTACTGCCCAGTTTAGCTTCCATTTGAAATGTGGTCGTGGGCAGAGTTTAGGTGTTTAACTGCACTTTAAAGGACAGTACAAGCTTTTATAACATGACTATTTTAGGGGGAAATAAAGATGGGTAAATTTAATCAACTAAAAGCCAGTAATACTGAACTAAAACTGCCTGTGTCCATGTTCACAGACTTTTTTTTTTTTTACTGTCACTGTACTAAATCAATGTGGTTTACAGAACAGATAAAATATATTGTACCAGTACCATTAATAAAAATTAATTATCCACATGGGCTAATGAATTTGTGTTATATGTTTTGATAATTTTACCTAAAACAACACTTGTAGCTGTTAATTTACAGTAGTCAATGTAAAAAAGTATTTGGATCATGATGAATGCCTAACCATGGTTGTCTGATGGTCTTCCTTTGGGGTCTGCTCTCGTCACTGCAGTGGTCGTTTTCTCCGCTCCAGCGCTTTTCACTTTACTTGTCTCTCTTACACTTGGCTTGCCTGAAGAACTACGAGTGAAAAAGGGTACAGTACATTACAATAAATTAAAGATGGCAATGGCAATGCTCAAGGGGATATTAATAAGGTAATTTAAATGTATAATTTTGAAATAGTGTTTTAGGCCACAAATTCTGACAGTATCCTAAGGAGCTGCAGGAATTATAGAAATAAAAATCATATTATTCTGAGTCATCTCCTCTATTCCAAAAGTTTGCTTTGCAGAAAAACGCTGTCATCTGAAAAAGCTCGGCCTCTGAAATGCCTTGACCCAAAAATGAGAATCTACTAATATGAATTGCTGATTTCAGGGACACTATGAAATATTAATGTGCTCTTAGCGGGTGATGGACACTAAAAAGACTGTACTTTTTTTTACAATGACAACACTTTAGGACCAATAAAAACCTATCTGGTACTTAAATCCCTTTGGCAGGAAGATGACAATATATTATTTACAGTTAGTCGTTTTCGCAGTATTAATGCAGACTGCAGTCTTGATCTGAGAGTTGAAATCTGCACTGAAAAAGCTTATACGCTGAGGATTATATAAAATGTAAAATATTAAACTGAAAAGGGAAAATATGTAAAAAAAATGCAAAATATTCAATTGGTCCATACTGACAATTGCTTTAATGCTTACCAAGATTCAATAGACCATTTTAATTACACAAAAACATTACACAAAAATATATCTCAGCAAACAAGGCAAGGCTTAGTATAACTGGCAGGAGCAGAAATTATGCCTGCTGTATTCTAATGATTTCCATGAATGCTGAAAACTATGGTGCTCTCTATAAAATTGGTTAAAAAGTAAGATACTGATAAGAAACTACAACACTAAAATGCAGCTTATCAGAGTAGGTTTTGAAATATTTAATATGTGATCTCAAGTTTAAGATTGCACGTTTTTCTGCTCCTTTTCAGACATTTTCCGTTTGTTTAACTTTATTAAACTGCTGATGGCTTTTATATTTTATCAGAAACACTGGTTTAATGTGGCCATTTCATCACTGCAAACCTTTAAAATGAAAAGATACTGACTGTACAACTGTAAAAGTAGAATAATGCAGAAGCAGCATGTGTGAGTCTACAAAATGTTATGAATAATTAAACAGATTTCTCCTCTCTCACCTGCTTGTCTTGGCTGGCTCTGTTTTCTGAGGAGCTTTTGTTGGTGCAGACTTGTTCACTGTTTTGACCTGCTGTTTCGGTTTGGCACCTGAAACATAATATATTCAAGACATCTATATGAAAAACCTTTGTGCGGATGACATGTTCAGAATGACATATGCTGCTTTTGAGCGAGGGATCAGAGCACTCCCGCTGTGGAACGCTCTGCAACTGTCTTTGTAACAGTGGGGTAAAACAGCTGAGCCCTCTGGGTAAAAGTCAAGAGTATAACCTCTCCCTACAACACAAGCCCAAAGTGATTTGTCAAACCCAATGCACCACAAAAGAGGGAATATACATGACTGAAAAGTACTTGAATTCAGATCATTATTATTGATTTAGGATGTCAACTGTGTTAGAAATATATCAAATATTTTCCAATTACAGCATCATGACAAAAACTACTTCACACCTGTCATTTGCTGTGATTTTGGAGACATGTTGAGTTCTATGTCAGTCCTACGGGGTACCCATTACCGATATTAAGCTTTTAAAATCCATAGCGAGGACTAAATTAAGTTATAGTGAAGTATACAAATAAACTTTTCACTTTTGTAAAAATAACACAAATAATTTAAAGTTTAAGAGAATTTAAGTAATTTATCCTCCACGTACATCTCTTAGTTTAACATTGACTCACAAAAGCTATATTAACATCATGATTTTTCCTTGGCATACCATCGGCATACCATTATCTAAATTGTGGCATACTGCTGTCTAACTGGTGCCTACTGGCCTTCATAATCTTATCACACTTGCTTTATAAACCTCCTCCTTTGGAAGCAGAGTCAAGGGGCTTGAACACTCAAAGATCAGACTATGTTCACTTTTGAAATCCCCACGGACTCGTATTACTGGTGGTAAACAAATTTCTCCTGCTTACATCCAGCTGTCTCCAGCCTTTTACTTCTACCGTTTCTTGGACAAGCTGAAACCTTCAACAACCAGGGATATTAATTCATATTTTCCTCTGATATCACCAATAAACCATCCCTATAAAAAAAAAACACAACTGCTGACATTCTCTATAAAAATACCATGAAAAAAGCCTAAAGCTTTGTCTCACCATTATATTGTTTAGTTAAAAAAAAAATTAACTGGTCAGAAATCAAAAGTGAATTCATCTTAACAAATTAACAAAGGGTGCTGGTGCAAACTTTTCCTAGTTTGAGTCCAGTTTAGTCTTGGTATAGCCTTCGTTTGGTCCAGTTTTGTTCTAGTTCAGATCAGAAGGTTAAATTATTGTTTATTTATGACTTAGACTCAATTATTATGCAATATGTGTTCATTTTTGTTGTTTTAAACAGATTATAAGGAAGATAATGGACATAACAATATAATAATAATAATTTAGAGGAGAAAAAAAAAGACAAAAAATAAAAATTAAGATCATTATCTACATTTAAAACTAAATCTAAGACCAATCTAATCAAATATCTGTATTCAAGTCATTTCACACTTACATATTCCATTTGCAGTGCGTCTTCTGGGCTCCGCTGGTTTGCACTTTGATGCTAGCAGCTTCCAAGGACAACTATGTGCTCTCTGTTTCTCTCAAATTATTATGCCCACACTGCCCCTGTCTGCCCAAATGTTTCCCCCGACAGAAGCTCAACATTCATCAGGCTAATTAGCTGCCACTGGCCTCGTGTCCTAAGTGATAATGCGAAAAGCTGTCTGGCTGGAACACTGGGTGTTAATCATAGAGCAGATAACAGTAAATCTGGCACAGTATTAAAATACACCCACAAGTTATAGACCTGTTTAAGTTTGAAGAGGAAATGGGAACTGGTTAAAACAAAATAAAGACGTATGAATGCTTTGTGTGTTGCTATATTTTGGGAGGCTTTGGCTAATAAATCTGATCAGTTGTAGCCAAATGAATGAATTATAATTAAAAATGTAACCGAAAACTTAAACGTGACTAAACTAGATCTGAACCAGCTCATCAGGTTTAAATCAGGACCAACTTCAGCAACCTAATTTGAGTGGAAAATTGGTACGTTTAAGTTCTAGGCACCACCAAAAGGATGCATGCCGTAGTTGTAAAAATTATATCTCAGAGAAAATCAATAATGTATCATTTCAAAACAGTACAAACCTGACACCATTTGGGCATCATTTTTTGGGCTGCTGGCTCCATTCTCTGGTGAAGCACTGCCTGATGTGGAGGTCTGAGCGGTGGGGCCATCAGGTTTCACTTTCTGGACCTTGGATCCTGGTCCCTGGCCGGAGGATGTGGGGTTTGGAGGAGAGGTTTTTGGTCTTGCTCCAGGATTTGCCCGCTTCTCTTGGTCTTTGGCTCCTGTTGTACTTCTTGGGCCATTCGCACTCACCTAGGGAAGTCATAATGTCAATTTTAAGCACCATGAAAAAAAAAAATCTATAAAATGTATTATTCTTGTCATTCGAGTGAAGATAAACTACTTCAGTAGCCCTTAAGTAGCTTTCAATCTATGCTTACTCTGACCACACAACTTACAAAAACTTGGAGTAAAGACACAGTCACTGGACTGATTGGAGAAAGGATTAAATTGTCAAAATTTGAGTTTGTGTGAAGACAATTTTTTTACACAAACGTAAGAATGGTTGGTTTTGGTTAGGTTAAGTTTTGTTGGACAGGGTTGTAAGATTAATGGTCATTTAATCAAAACCACCAATTTTAATGGATGCAATTAGCAAAGGCTGCAATTATAGTAAGTAACACTATAAAGTACCATTATTCCCACCACAAACAACATCATAACTTTCTTCTTCTAAGAACTACTTAGTCCTTTTCTTCTAAGAACTACTAACCTTGAAGTTTAGATCTGTGATTCTTGTAATAGCTTGTAATTTAAACTTGAATTTTTGTTAAGATTGTGTTTTGTTCATTCTTCTAGACACTTTAAAATGTGAATTTTGAAGAGAATCCTATTATAAAACAATAATCGCAAGTCTAACTGCAATCACAAAGCTTGGAGGAAAAATCACAATTGGATATTTTTCCAGAATTGTTCAGCGATATTGTTGGTTAGTTATAGAACAATGTGTCTTGCTAAATACTATACGGTAAATGTTGAGTGTAAAATCTCATCAGTCCACAATATGAACCAATTTTAAATTGACATTTTAAATCCTAATCCTAAATTCGAAATACCCTGATACTGACCACATCTCGCCGAATGCTTGTCCCATTGGCAACAGGCGTAGCTCCTGTTTTTGTTTTCGATGCGACGCCGCGATCTGCTGGCTTCTTCACACTTTTCGTCTTCGGACCGTCACCTGTTTTGGGAGCTGTCCCAAGTGCATCCGATTTCATGGCTGTGGCTGAATTTTGGGAGGAAGAGGTTCTGGCAATATTGGACACTTGTTTACTTTGTGTCCTATTGATTGAAGGACTCTCAGGAGCAGGGGAAGGGCATTTTACTGCCCGGGGCTGTGGAGACAAAGACAGGTATTAGTCATTAATGTGTGAGTCATCTAAAGCAGAGGTAAGAAGCTGTTACTGGGCCACATGTAAAATCTATACCTCAGTCTTTTGCATGTATATTGTTCTTTAATTATTCTTGTTGTAAACCCGAGTTAAATAAAAAGGTACAGTAGAAAAATACATAACACTAAACTGTATCTGTTGGTGTAGATCTGATGATGCTACTACTGCATATGAACTGCCAGGACTCCGTACTATAGTTGTACTGTTTTTTACTCCGTTTTTATTAATATCTTGAATGAATTTGGCCACTGTAGTTCAGATGCTCACAGCTTAGAGCTTCATGATGTGACAAAAATATGCAACAGTACTTCATTCAGAGTATTTTACAGGATAATTGCACATGTTTTAACACTTTTATGTCTTTAATCTGCAAATGTTTCACTATCTTATATCTCTATTCACTGTTTCATGTTATGGTCGACGTGTGAGTGTGTACTGCCCCTTGGCCAGGTCGTCATTGCAAATGAGAAGGTGTTCTCAATTGACTTACTTGGTAAAATATTGAATAAATAAAAAATAAAAAATTAAAACAATCAATAACATCAATGTATTCAGTATTTGGTTAAATGCATTGACTAGTCAAACTGTGTTAAAAACTTATCAGACTCAATCAAGACTAAACCAATTCTAATGTATTAATAAGGAAAAGCATAAATAAAACCTGCCTTTTTGTACTTTTTACTTAAGAAAAAAAACAAAACAAAAAAACACATTTCTGTAGAATGGTGAAATTTGTGTTATTGTGATGTATTTATTGTGGCAGCCATATATTATAAAATATAAGATAATATAAACTGGGAATGAAAGAATATGGTTTCTTTAACAATCTTTCCTTATCTTTGGTTTTCTGAATCAGTTGGCAAAACCATTGATTTACTGTACGTCAATAAAGGAGACACTACATCCATCAGATCTTACTTTCCTGAGCTATTACTTGCTACAATAACAATATTCTGTTCTGTTTTGTCTCCCTTCCTCTTATATGACTCACTCACTCCACATGGACTAATACAAACAAAAACAAAAAACATGAACTAACTAGGTTTCGATTCAAGTGCCCTCTTTTCATTCATTCAATCAATCTGTGCTTCTCTTGTTGAACCCTTGCGTAAATCCCCTCATGATTCACTCTGGCTTATGGGTGAGGGCTGTACATCTGTTTACACTGGACTGCTGTTCTTTTCACGCTGTATAGAACATTGCGTCAGTCTGTGGGGGTGGTGCTTAGGGACATATGGCGTCCGGTGGTGACTGTAATCGCTCTTGGGGATTTAGTAAAACTATGCAAACTATCTGTGAGTTTAACAACACATACACACAGCACACGCCATTAATGGAAACAGGAGAGTGACGCTGGATAGGGGACAGTTTCTTTATGTTATATGATGATACATCAAAACAAATCTACTAGGGGTGTAACGATATCCAAATCTCAGGGTACGATATCATCACGATATGCATCTCATGGTACGATATTTATTGCCATATTTTGAAGAGGTGCATATAATTGTACATGGGACACTTTTTTGCTTTTAAAATACCTTGACAAGATTTTGGTGTGTATTATTGCCATCATAATCCCAAGAATTCAAGTAAAAAACATATCTCTTCATGTTGTCTACGCTGAAATGAATCATGGGATATGTAGTTCCTGATGTTTATAAGCTGTTGCTACTATAAAACCATACATTTAAGCAAAGACAAACTTGTGATTCGATATATTGTGACAGCCCACGATATTACTGTGCGCCTTTTGACAATACAATATCACAATATTTCGGTTATTGTTACATCCCTAACAACTACAGATATCATTTAGTTAACAAAACTGTTACAGCAAGAATAAACCTGGCTTCTAGAAGGATTACAACAACCCACCAATAACAACATTTATAATAGCAAAATGGAAAAATGATTAAAAAAATAATAATAATAATAATAAAGTAAAATTCTAGTCTCAGAAAAGGCATTTATTAGCATTCATGATAAACATTGTGTGAATATATGTAAACAAATGTTCAAAGTTCAAATACCTGTGAGCTAGAAAATACTGGCTTCTTCCCAAGTCTTCTATTGTCCCCTTTATCAATCGCATCTGTCAGACAAGGTGAAAAAGAAGAAGACATGAGCCAAAAATAGCACACTCCACACCTATTTATAAACATTGCCAAAAACACAAGGATAGATATTATTAGTACAAAACATAGTACAAAAACATAAAATTCTGGTGTAGTATTTGACATGTATATTTAATACGGTGTATTCTTGGCATAGGAATATGAATATTGAATTTACGAGACATGCATTCACAATAACTGTCTCGTTTTTATTTATTTATTAAAAAACAGGTTTTGTGCAAAAGCCAAGCCTGTGGTATTTTCTGTTTACCATAAAAAACAAAACAAAATCAGATCAATGCATTGATTTCTTTGCCTGGACAGGATGATTACAAATAGGTGTGTAATTGTTAATATATGAAAAAACTGAGAGATATTTTAATAATTGTAAAGCATCTCACACAAAAAAACAAGAAACAATAATACAATTTGATGAAACATCACTGAGAGTAGTCAAATTAATCTTTTAAAGGGACATAATTTCAACTAGACAAGGCAGCAAAGCCCAGGTGAAGCCACAGCATTCCTGATAGAATCCTTATAAATTATTCATGTACTAGATTGCAACACATTGTTAGGTCTATAGTGGAGGAAAACAACAGACTATTTGTTTTTATCAGGGACATTAATCATCTGCAGTCACAAAGACGCGGCTTCTGCTCCTCTCCCACCCTTTAAAAACAAGCATGGCGCTGCTGTGCAATCGGTATGTCTGAGTGCCCCCACATCTGTACAGCTGTCTTCTCAAATACAGCAAAACATATAATTTGATGAGGGGATTACTTTTCAAAATTGCATTAAGTGTTCAGTGCAAATGACTTAGAAACACACGCGCCGAAGATGCCTGCTTAGATCAAATGATGCAGAGCTACGATAGCAACGCTGCCCCGGTTTGGAGGGAAGAAATATGCAAGCCACGCACCATTTGTACTAGCCTGTAAGCATGAGTGGACACATGTATTTAAGATGCTCATTCTCAATTTCCTTACCTGCTAATATCCTCTCTCTATGCTTGGGTGATAGGCTCTCCCATCCTTGAGTGTGGCGGACAGCGTAAAAGGTCTGTAGGAGGAAGGTCCAGAGCCGATCGTGTAGGCTGCAAATCTCCTGCTTGAATGGCTTTCGGTAACACAGAGGAGAGTGAGCGAGGGAAGGCAGGCGGGGAGGGAGAGGGAGAGGGAGAGAGGGAGGGAGGGGGGAGAGAGGGGAAAATTGGAGGGATAACGAGGCAGGGATAGACGAGGAGAGAGAGAGCGAGAGAGTGAGAAGGGAAGGTGAAAGAGCGAGAGAGAGAGGAGGAATAGACAGACAGAGGGAGAGAGAGGGGAGAGGGAGAGAAGGGGGCCGGAGAAGAAGAATGGAAAGGGGTGCGCTACAGCTCAACGAATCAGCAGCTGTTTCAGGAACCTTTCACCATGGCAACAAAAAACCCCTCCCTTTCTCTCTCTCTCCCCGTTTGTCAAACCGTAAATCGACTCGGGATCTCAGGAGAAAAATCACTGATGTCACCCAACCCAATGTCCTGGTCTTTACATACAAATAAAAGAGGATTTGAAGAGGGGTTAAGGAGGAGTAAATGTCCACCTTTCACTACTAAAAAACTTGAACAGATTAAGAGGAACTCACTGCTGGTCTCTCTAGCTCTAATCCATTGTGCCATACTGTACAGGATTTAAGCAGCCAGGTCACTTTCCCCAGGCATAATCTGCTCCCATCATACTCAAATTTAAGCCTACACAAACTGAAGCAATATATATATATATATATATATATACATCCACACCAGTTAACAAAAGACTACACAGATTCAAAACGTAGCAAGAATCAACAAATCTCAACAATTAAACAATTATCTATGTTCATTGAGAGAAGCAAGCGGCATCACCAGGCAAAGATACAGATCAGATTCACAGTAAGAATGGATGTTTTGCGAGCTATTTTTGAACAAAAAAGTGACTGAAGTTAATAAACCATAGATAAGTTTAATGCCATATTGTAGAATATTCCAGGCAATAGGGATGTAGTCAACTAAAAACAGGTCCTGCCGATCGATTAAACTACAATGGGGGTGTGGCAAAAGCTCTAAAAACTAGTTATGTATCTATGTCTCTGACCCAAACTGCACTCACTAGACTACAACTGCACAAGAGTTCATACAAAAATAACTATATATGCAGAAAAGAGTGCTAGGAAATATAAAATAGATATAAAAACAGATTTAAAAAACTAGTGAGTTTAATCTGCTTTTTTACATTACACCAAAAAATGCAAAATCTTCAGCCAACTCCCTCACTCACATCTCCTTTCTGTCGTAAAACTAAACTAAATAAAACACCATTAAGTCACCATTGACCAGTTAATCGACTAAATGACTAAAGGACTACAGCCCTGCAGGCAAACCAACAAACAAATGTGTTAAGAAAAGTTCATGTCCAACAGAAAGCTTACATATAACAGCATCTACGAAACTAGGATCATGGCAAGTCTAAGTTAGAAGAAGCTATCAGACATACACAATGCACTAGTGACTTCACAACTTGTTAATTAACCAAAACTAGAATAACGCCGTAACTAAACCACAAACCAGAACTGAACCAGGACTAGTACAGGACCATCTATGGGACCCAAACTTGGCCCATGATGTGATTCACCTCTTGTTGTCTCCGCTCGGTCTGAAGCGGACCAGACTCCTCCAGGTCATCCCCACACAGCCAGTGCACTGCAGTGTAGAGCTCACAGCTGTTTTCCACGGTGACGCCCTCTTTTATGGCTGAACAGAGCTTCCGCAGCAACATGGGCTCTGTAGTGAACTCTTCTCTCTAAAAAACAGCAACATAAGTCGAGCTGCAGAATTAATCATTATCAAATCAAAACTGCAATTTGAATGGACGCTTTTTCCAAATTGAAAACACTGCAGTTTTATTCTATATAAAAACTACTAACCCTTTACTTTTGCTCTGTACAAGATGTTCTGAAATATGATTCTTGTGTTAGTTTGTCTTTTCTGTTATTCTAGTATTAAAACATCAATTTAAAATCTAATCGTAATCGCCCTAAACATAAGATCTCTACCAAGCAACCATAACATTATAATTATGTCTATTGATATAAGGCTGAATTTCTTTCCCGATATAAGAGCCCACTCAACATATAGCCCCATACACAACACACACAAGCTATGCAATGTATGTATATGGCATGCTTTTTTAGAACCAGAATCAACTTTTTCAATAATCTGAGCTTCTCCGATTACACTGTTGGATTGGGCACAGAGAAAACCTAAATTGTCTAAATTTTCTTCCATTAACTTCAAACTTCGAGTTTTGGATTATGCTTTTGTCCTATGAGTATATCAGGCATATTCATATTCTTAAAAAAAATGGGGCTAAAAATAAGACAGGCGGTCATATTTTTTGCATATACATGTCTATAAAAGATTTTTTTGTCTTACTTTTAAGATGTTTACACCAGATGTTTTTTATGTTATTTTATGTTTTGTTATTCTTGTGCTTTGTTTAAACTGAGTGTGTCAAAAGTACTGAAAATCAGATACTAATCAATACTAGTCTCGGAACGAGATAGTCATTTGAGCAGTTATTGATACTTAAAAATGTCATTCACTTGACAGAATCTTTCCTGAATAGTTTTAGAATGATCTTGAGCTGTACTAGCACAAGTATAAGAGCACATAGTCTAGTATACGCCCATGAACCATTATGGAATGTACCTGAACAATTACACAGCATAACATAGATATAAAATAAAATAATGGTAAAATAAAAGAAAGTAGTACTATTTAATGTTGAAAATTACTTTCTACTGTCTAATTAAAGAGTGTTTTTAATTATTATTGGAGTAGGAGAATCAGTGTTGAGTATCGAGTCTTTTCTTTAGACACTATCCCTATCGAAATACAGTTTGAAATGTTCTATGCCATCTACAGCTCTGGATATAAGAGTTAGCAGAGCCCTACCCTGCGTAGATCCTGGAAGGCCTGAGTGCGTATGACTTTGGGGAAGTTTTGGACGATGAATTTGAGGCTGTGGTCCTGGAGCTCGGTGACCAGACTCTTGACCTGCTGAGCCCACTTCACCTCAGGCAGACTCCCAATCAGCTGCTCTGTACCACACAGCATGGTCACTGCATTCTGGACAGTCTGAAGGGAAACAATGTGAGAACTGAGATTAAAATAAAGAAATTAAAAAAAGTCCAGCAGTCCTTGAACAAAAGCTAATCAGCAGCAGTATAGTCCTTGAAAAGATGAAGATACCACTCAAAGCACAGGACAATACACAAACAGGTCTGATCCAGAGGCCGGCATAGACTGTCAAACCACTGGTATTGGAGATGTAACTGACAAAGACAATGAGAAACTGTCCAGGAAGGTGCAGGAGCTGTCTTTTGAACTCTTCTCAGCATGAGAGGAGCTGCGTCTCTTGAAGTTTCATCGTTAAAGTGAAAGAGCACAGCCATTCTGCCACTCAAAAGGAGCAAACGTAAAGGAGCAGAGGAAGGCACTCAGGCACTACTAGTGGTAAATCCTCTCCAAACATTACCCTTTACATTGTGAAAAAATAAAACACAAATTATTCTAACATTATGTTTTTAACTTAAAAGTCTGTGGTAGTTATTCATGTTTATTGTTTCAGATGTCAAAACTTGAATTCACATTCTAGTCACAGCTGCAGTCACTTGATTTTTATTAATTGGTAAAGTGGAAATAGAAAAGATAATAATATATGTAGAAAAAAAAATCCAGGGAAAAATGCTTTTACTTTTAATGGTTCATTTGCATCCCCCACTGGCTTGGGCCAAATAATCATCTAAAATAACTTCCGCTGACTTCTGGCTAAAAACTGCCTTTTACGGCGCGTCAGAGTAAATGTCATCACAACAAAGCACCTTACTCCTGCCAGCTGGACCATGCTGATGGCACCGCCTAGGCAACGGATCTTATTTGTGCAGAAATTTTAATTCAATGCTTCATATAAGCAAAGGCTCTAATAATTATGTAATATGATGCTCTTTGTTATAAACTAAACATTCTGTGTTCATGGGGTCTTATTATGTATGTCCTTAGTTTCAAAAATTGATGTGAATCTTGTATTTGTTTAATTTAATTTTAATACACAAATCTAACTAAAAAAATAATGCACAAAAATGTAACATCTCACGAAAACGACAACACAGATGCACTGTAAAAGCTGTAAACATGAAACAGTTCTGAATAGAGAGCTCAATCTGTTGTATAATGCAGGTATTACAGACTTGCTCTAAAACTAGGTTGTTTATATTGATCAGCGGGTGTACGATCCAAATAGTTTTCTTGGCAGACGTGTGCTAGAGTTTTGCCAAGTCTGTACAAGTGTTTATGTGTCTGCCTTCGAGAACACAACGCTCCACTTGGATGTGACGAAAGACAGACTGCATTATCAATTAGGCCTCTGGTTCCCTCCCCATCTGTCTGTAGCCTCATAATCCTAAATTAGCTTGTCTTTAATAACTGAGAATTGAATAAAGCGTTCCTTAATTAGATCACATTCAAATTTGCTTCCTGTGGACAAATCGCTTGAGGATGAGTGGAGGATAATTCTGCGATTGCGAGGAGGAAGGAGAGGAAGTAGAGAGGGGCAAGATAGAGAGAAAGAAACACGAGGGAGGGGAGACAGAAAAAAAGAGAAAGTTGGTGAGGGAGGAGACATAAGGGGAGAAAGAGAACAGAAGAGAAAACTAAGAAAAACTAAGAAAGAAAAACAGTTCAGAAGAGAGAAGAGAGGGATAGAGAGTGCAAAAGAGGATAAAAAGGAAAAAAGATGTAGAGAAAAAGAAGATATGGGGAAAGAGAAAGAGAGGAGCAAGGGAGAGAGAATGAGAAAAAGAGGAGAGAAGGGAAAAGAAGATTAGAGAGAAAGGAGATAGAGAGAAGAAACAGAGAAGAGATAAAATGGAAATAAGGGGAGACAGGGAGAGAGCTGAGGGAGGAAGCACTGACCATAGTTTCGGCTACAGCATTAAAACAGACTCTCTGAAGCTCCGGAGATAAGAGGGAGAAGTTTCGCTCTGACCACGTCTTCACAAAATGCTCTGCAATCCACCTGGAAATAGAAATGCTTATTTTAAACTCTTTGAACATCTTTGTCAACAGTAGCACAGCAGGGTCATATCCAGAGCTGTCAGCTAAATCTGCAACTTAATATGTAAATCTTTCCTGACCTGAATTTGCAAGGATACAGCCAACTCAGGGCATAAAATGACAACGCTAAATAGAACTGAAAATAAGCAATGAATAATGAATAACTAATAAATTAATCACTGTTTACATGAATAATGCATAAAAAGACAAAATAAAGACAATTGAGTACACCGGGGACTGGTCACCAAACTTTTGGTGCCAAGAATCACAAATCTTAAAAAGAGATGCACCAATCCAGCTTTTTCAGTTCTGATACAATATTCATATTTTGGGTTTTGGTATTTGTCAGTAGCTGATATTAACCAATATTCAGCATAGGGACTGAAAAAGGCAAGTACAAAATTGTATGTCTTATCCAGCAAGTAACTTTTAAACAGCTTTGTATGAATATAAGTTCAAACATTATGAAACGTTTGTCAGTAAAATAGTCTTATTACATCCAAAAAAGCCCTAACCAGGATATCATGGAACCAATACCTACTCCAGCGTCAATATTCAATAGCAGTATGGGTATCGGTTAGGGATGTAACAATAACTGAAATACTGTGATATCATATCGTCAAAGTTCTCACAATAATATCATGGACCATCACAATATATCAAATTACAAGTTTCTTTGCTTAAATGAAGAGTTATGATGCAGCAATAGCTAAAAAAAAGACTACATAGGGAACTACATAGACCATGATCCTTTGCTCCATTTCAGTGTAGACTACAGAAAGAAATAACAGTTCTAAGCACTTTTTAAGTCTTAGTTCTTTGGATTAAGTCTTGTCAAGGTTATAGTTATTGTTATTGTTGTATTATTGGATATTGTTACATCCCTAATCAGGAGCCTCCCCACAATATCATGAGCTTTCCCAAAATATCACAATAAATATCATACTGTGAGGTTCATACTGTGACGATATCGTATCGTGAGACTTGGATATCGTTACACCCCTAGTATCGGTGCATCCCTAAATATTACCTCTTGTGTCAATAAAAGCCAGTATGCTCATTGGCATAAGTGTTATGATACAACATTGGTTTTAACAAGTATTGTAATGTCAATGATACTCTCAAATTTAAGAAGTGCTCACAAAATATACAATAGCAATAACGAGATAAATCACGAGAAGAATGACAATGTAAGCCGAAAATCTCATTTACAAAAGAAATGCAAACTACATCTCATTTTCTGCCGAACTAGTTGCGAGGATGTGGTGCGTACAGGCCATAATAACAGTTCTGATGAGCTTGTTGTTAGGGAGTGCTGCATGTGTTTAGGACTAATGAAACAGTAAATGGACAAGCAATCACGGAAAGTCAACCATAAATGTGATGTTATCCCACTTAACAAGGGAATAGGACTAGAGGCTTTAATGCGCAGCTGATACAGTAAGTGGTGAACAGACACACTCTACTCTCTCATAAAGACTTCGTATCAACTTGATCAGCTACTGCAATACAGCACAAAATAATGGAGTGAGACTTGTATAAGACCTGCTAACCCTATAGTCTAGAGATCTTTATAACATACTGTATTTGGATCCAAATTTCTGATATTTCACTTGCATTAATTGAATCTATTATTATTGATTATTAGGGACAACATTTTTCATTTTGATTTAGTCTATAGAATTATTTGTGATTTGAGCAAAATTTGTCTTGCCCCAGTACAGATATACTGTATAAGCAGCATCTTTTGAACTCGGAACTTAAAATGAACTTCTGTTTTTTACATTATTAAGACGGTAAAACTCAGGGACAGTGCCTTTAATACATTAGCTTCTTGTGACATTGAATTAGCCAGTGAGATAACAGCCCTTATATATAAAGTTTGGTAGTTTGGTGGCTTCTATATCAGTCCCATCACTCTGCTTATATGTGCTCTTACCTCTTACACTGCAGGTTGAGGCTGTGAAGGCCTAAGGCATGGGTGAGGCACAGGCACTCAAGGACACCCTTCTGGACCCCTTCACTCGGCTGCACCAGAGACAATACAGAGATCATAAGATAAATGAGTTCAATGTTAGCTGTAAAATGAAGAACAAAGACCATATCATATTCTGAAAGAAAAACTGATGTGTTACTGACGTTTTCCCTGGTAACTATGAAACAATGTTTTTATAGCACTGAACCAAGCTGTAGTCACATAATTCAGTCTGTAATATTATAATAAATACGTATGAGATAAAGAGATAGTAGTGAATACAGGGATTTATTGTCAAGCTACTTAGAAGATTATTTTATCGGATTAAGTGATTTATTTTTGCTTTTGGTAGTAGTGCTGTTTTTTCGGAATATAAAGCACACTTAAAATCCTTTAATTTTCTCAAAAATCAACAGTGCACCTTATAATCCGGTGTGCCTTATGTATTATTTCTGGTTGTGCTTACTGACCTTGAACTGATTTTATGTGGTACACTCAAAAATCTGTCAGAATGTTTTAGTACGACTTTAGTAAGCTACCAAGCTGCACCGCTTGATGGATTGTTGGAGCATTACGACTACCGTAGTCAGGACTCGTGTCCTTTAGTCTGACAGAAGCTGAAAGCGTCAGTGCACAAGGAGCGAGCTGTTTTTTTCAGTGCTTATAGTTTATGCAAATGAGCCATGTGGTTTTAAGTTTTATTTCTGCAAAACGTAAACAAATGTGCACAAAGCTGCATTAAACACATTATTACTCAATGTATATTTGGGTCCTCCTCGTAGGAAATAAAAAAACAAACTTAAATTATCCACCCACATTCACATTCATAATACACATTCACCAAGACAGGGAGGCAACGCTGGGCGAATTACGTCACGATCTGCCAATGGATCATGGATGCCTAGGCTAAGGGATCAGTCTCAAGTGTCATTCGTTTATTTCGCTTACTGTGCCTTATAATCCGGTGCGCCTCATGTATGAAAATAGACGAGAAAATTCAACATTATTGATATTGCGCTTTTTAATTCGGTGCAGTTATAGTCTGAGAAATACAGTCCCTGACAAAAGTCTTGTCGCTTATCCATTTTGTAGAAACAAAAGCTTATAACCTGACTTTAAATTAATCGATTGGTTTTAGAAATGTCTCATATGAAAGCTAAAACCCTCCCAAATTATGCTCAATATACTAAAATAAATTTGCTTCACTGAAGAAAGATTGATCATTTAATGAACACAGAAAGGTCAGATTTTGGAAAGACAAAAGTCTTGTCGCCTTGTCATATGATGCACCCAATCCTAGATTACAGCCTCACCTGTGATCAGTTACTGATCAATCAATTAGTGGGTGTGTATAAAAAGAACCCCAGCACACCGGACCTTCACATCAACTGCAACTTGACCTCTGACAACATGCCTAAGATCCACCCTGAGACCAAAGCGTTAATTATCAAGAGGCTGAAGACCAGATCCACTGCTGAGGTGGCTGACACCTTCAATGTGTCTCAGCGTCAAGTACAAAGAATAAGAAAAAGATCTGAAATGACTGGAGATGTTTTTGACAAGCCCAGGTCCGGCAGACGCCGCAAGACAACTGCTCGGGAGGACCGTTTGTTGATTCAAAAATCCAAGGCCAGCCCCTTTTCCACTGCAGCAGAGCTCCACCAGGCCTGGTCACCTCAAGTCCCTGTGTCAACCACAACAGTTTGTAGAATTCTGTCTCGAAATGGCCTCCATGGTCGAATCAGTGCACAGAAACCAGCACTAAACAAAAGGCAATTAAAAAAACCGTGTGGCATTTGCCAAGGCCCACAGCCTGCTAAAAGGATGGACACTGGCAGAAGGTGGATTTCTCAGATGAATCCTCGGTTGAAATACATCACAGTTGCCACAAATATTGCAGGAGACCTACTGGAGCCCGCATGGATCCAAGATTCACCTAGAAAACAGTTAAGTTTGGTGGCGGAAAAATCCTGGTCTGGGGTTACATCCAGTATGGGGGTGTGCGAGACATTTGCAGGGTGGAAGGCAATATCAATAGCCTAAAATATAAAGAAGTATTAGCTACCTCTTACATTCCCAATCATAAAAGGGGTCAAATTTTGCAGCAGGATGGTGCTCCATCGCATACTGCTATCTCTACATCAAAGTTTCTCAAGGCGAAGAAGATCAAGGTGCTCCAGGACTGGCCAGCCCAGTCACCAGACATGAACATCATTGAGCATGTCTGGGGTAAAATGAAAGAGGAAGCATGGAAGGCAAAACCAAAGAATCTTGATGAACTCTGGGAGGCATGTAAGACTGCTTTCTTTGCTATTCCTGATGACTTCATCAACAAATTGTATGAATCATTGTCGAACCGCATGGATGCAGTCCTTCAAGCTCATGGAAGTCATACAAGATATGAAATATGGATCTCACAGCACCACTACTTAATTCACTGACGTTATGCAACATATTTTTGTATTTGAAGTAAATTATTTGCTCAATTTTCTGTAGGCGACAAAACTTTTGTCTTGCCAAAATCTGACCTTTCTGTGTTCATTAAATGATCAATCTTTCTTCAGTGAAGCAAATTTATTTTAGTATACTGAGCATAATTTGGGAGGGTTTTAGCTTTCATATGAGACATTTCTAAAACCAATCGATTAATTTAAAGTCAGGTTATAAGCTTTTGTTTCTACAAAATGGATAAGCGACAAGACTTTTGTCAGGTACTGTATAGTACTTGTATAACCACATAATATTTAAATTATATACTGATTTCATTATCAGAATAAAACATACATCTATGATAATGTGTTATACATTAGGTTTGTCTGACCTTGGGGAAGAAGCGGCAGTAATCTCTGATCAGAACCATGTCCACCACATCTTTAAGTCCGTCCAGCCCCAACATGTCCGCCGCCAGCGTCACCTGACTGTGGCCAGAGAACAGAGATTAGAAAGGGTCAGATGTGTGATAATAATACACTTTGGCAAAATTTAAACTCTTTTTACCTGGCACTGGCCCCTGATGGTAAATCCACAATAGCCCCGTACATAAACTGTAGCAGTATCTCCATCTCTTCAGGCCCCAAGCTATAAAAGAGTTTAAGTGATACGTAAACAAACAATGCAATTAGACCAGAGCAGAAACATTTAAGGCCCTGTGCCCATTTTTTATAGAAATTTCTAAATGTGTCTTGCCTCAGTACAAATATAAGCAGCTCTTGAGGTCAAACTATGTCTCCTGCATCTCTCAGAGCTACAGTTTTGTTGGTGGTTTAGAGGAAGGAAACTCATTTATGCGGCACATTTGACATTTTCACTATTTTCATGATTAAAATCGGTGTGTTTCATATTCACTTGGCACAAGAAGTGGTTTAACGAAGACTTTTAATATCACAGCCATGATTTAACCATTATTTTTATTTAACCATATCGAATCGATTTGAAATATATCGTATCACATCGAAAGTGCACTATATTGACATATGTATCGTATCGTGGCCTGTGTATCGAGGTATCTATTGTAGCAGCAACTTCTTAATGATACCCAGATGATTTAATAATCAGTGCCTTTAATCTCATAATAAACCATAATATTGATGGTTGTCTTTGCTGCATCATTCTATTTGATGGCTGCTGGTTGGAGATCGTCTAAATGTAAACAAATATAAATGATTTCACTTATCCTGTGAGATAGGGGGAAGTGGATAAAATCAGTAAAGTTACATCACTCTGGCCAGTCCAAAGTCAACCCGTTATGTATATTTAATGCTAAACAGATCCCGGTGCTTACCCCTGCAGTGTGATGCATTGCCGAGAGCTCTCCATCCAGCTCCCACTCAGCATGGCCCGGAAGTACTGAGATCGTGCACACAGAATTGCCCTAAAACATTAAATGGAAAGAAATTATAAAACCTTGGACCACTCTTAGGTCGTTTTCACACCGCTAGTTCGATTATTTGGTCCGCACCAGGCAATAAAATTGTTATTATGTAGCAAATACACTCCAGTGTGGTCCGCTTTCACACCGGCAAACAAACCAAAACTGGTTCGATTCACGTGTCTCTGTTTCCCCGGTAAAACAGCGATACTCCAGTTATCAACACTGACGTTCCTGTCAATACCACGGGCCGTCCTCATCTCAAATTATCACCATGAACTTATAAAACAACAACATGTAGAACTTTGTACAAACTCATCGCATCAGCCCAGAGTTCGGGTAACAGCAGCAGCCAACAGTGCTCAAAGTAGCGCGCAGCTCCTCAGGACGGGGCTGGGGTCTGGTCCTTGGTCTTCTGTTACAAGCTCGTTGGTCAGATGGTCCGGAGGCTTCATCCTCCATGTGCTGGTTCCAAACGGTGGCGAGCAAGACCAGTGCGCAATGACTGGGTCTGAGCGGGTACGTTCCGTCGTCTGCGCGCTGGTTCTGTGCGGGAAAGCGAGAATGCGCTGTGGACTACAGGTCCAGGCGCGCTGCTCCTGTCCTCCGCGCTCAAGAACCACGGCTGGTTCCGAGGTGGTGCAGCATCCGGACAGAAGCGTGAGTCCAGTTTGGTTTGTCATATGTTGTTCTGAGCGTCCGTCCTTGGCGCATTTGGTTCTTCCCGGGGAAAGGGCTTCCTCAGGTCGAGGCTCCCCGCTCCAGCTCCTCTGAGCCCGGACTGAACCGGAGCTGCCCCCGCTGGTTCGGGACTCTGGTTTGGATCTAGTCCGACTGTATTTCTCACACTAGGCTAAAAGCAGGGACTTTTTTAAGTTGTATCAATTGAATGGGCGATTGCCTATTGCCATAAAATTATTTGGTTAATTAAAGCCTAAAATAACAAATGTTGGTTGCTGCGTGATCACGGGGAACACCGGGACTTCTCTGTGCGTGTAGGTCCCGAACAGGGGTACGCACCCCCAATTTTTACTCACTCTGGAGCCACACGTTCGCACGTTCTTGCTCTGATCTTCGTGTATTACGTTCTCAGTAATGGCCATTGTTGGTAAATGATTCGAAAATGAATCGCGTCTGCATCTTGACAACAATCTGTTACTGCGCTGGAGTCGTACAGCGCGTCATTTCAGGCAGAGGAGACGCGTGTCCCTCCCATGATGCATTTCGAATAGTCCGTTTGTCCATACTGTCTATGGTTTGGACCCGGGTTCGCGTTCACACCAGAGGAACCGCACCAAAGTTGGTCATTTGGTGCGGATTCAAGCGAACCGAGACCACCTCTTTTTTGCGGTCTCGGTCCGCTTGATTTGGTTTGGGTCCAAGTCCGATTGACGCTTTCACACCAACGCAAACGAACCGAACTAACCACTTCTGGTTCGAATGGACCGTTTGGTGCGCACCAAATACTGTCGGTGTGAAAACACCCTTAGATGAACGAGGGATTACAGGATGTATAAAACAAATATTTTAAAATGAGATTGAACTTTTTACACCCCATGCTAAAAGCTTATGTTGTTAGATTGACCAGACAGAGGTCAAACAGGGCTCTGGAGATTATATTTGTTAAGTGTTCAGTATTATAATAATAAACAGTAGGGTTGCCAAAAGTATAGAAATTCAGATACAAAATCCCTAGTTTTTAGTATTGTGACAAGCAGAGAGATCTAATCATTTGTTCATAATAATATCACAGTAGAACAAAATATAGGCCTACAGTATAATTATACATCATAAACTACAGTCTGTGTGTTATGGATTTTGGAGTTTGATTTCATCTAGACAATTTCCCCTTTAAAAATTAAAACACGTTAATTATCAGAGTGAGGCAAATGTCATGTCAGGAGATTTAAGAAATGTATTTTGCTGCCCACACATGACGCAATGTGAAGCGTAAGTTAATGTAATATCATTAAGATTACTCAACAGTTCCTCTTAATAAGGGAAAAAATAATGATTATGACTAAATGCTGACACAAAATCAAGTACTTGCAGATGTTAATTTGTTCCAGAGGGTGACATTTGCCAATTATAATCTTGAATAATCAAGCAGCCCTCATTCTAATGTTTAAAATAGCTACAAAAAGTGCCACACTGTCTAGTGGGTAAAGATGCCATTTTACATAAACTCACAGATGCAGCGGCACAAGTCAAACAAGTGATTTGATCTTTAGAGGAGTTTTTATAGCCCCACTCAGGTATAGTGCTATTTTTAGCCAACCTTTATCATTGAGGAGACATGAGACAGGAACTATATATAAAACGCTGTGCACTGTGCATAGGTGCCACCTTGACAAATAAAATGTAGACATGGCTGTTACTGCCCTGATCTAATATTAGATTATTGTGAGTCAATATTTCATGGGAAAGGCACTCTAAAGTGAAAGCAGCAGCAGCAGACTCCTCTAAAAGGCTGTCATACACATCACTGCAGCAGAGACTGAGAACCAGGCTCTGCTCTGACGTGGACCTCTGTGGACTCGAAGACAGGTCTCCATGGAAACTTGGTTCTGACAAATTGCTGCTGGATAGGTCAACATCCAGTTTAGGGGTGGGCAGTATGGTACTAGAAATTAGAGCCCGACCGATATATCGGTTGACCGATATTATCGGCTGATATGGGCAACTTTAGGCATATCGGCTATCGGCCGATATGCTTGCTGATAGGGGCCGATATTTCACGTGGGCATGTTATACCTCGTTATAAAGCTTAGACTCTCTACATTCTGTTCATTTAATCCAATTTACAGACAGATAAATGTCCTAATATGTGGCTCCACATCAGTATTTATCTACGGAGTCATTTGTCTGTGTGTGTCCGTACTGTCCCTGAACACACCACAGAGTCGCGTCACTCACGTGTGTTTGTTTACACCTGCAGACACAGATCCAAACACTGAGATGATATTCTTTTTACGGACAATCGGTTTGAGTCTGGATTAAAAGGACATTTATTAGTGCAGATTTGTGATGTGAGGAGGAGCCTGTATGAGCGGTGAGTGTTGGAAATATGTTGACTCTGAAGCTAGTTTTTGTCATTTGTTATGGGTTAGCTGCTGTAGCTCCCGCACATAAACAGACTGTTTTCTATTGGTCTGTTCTAAAGTGACTATATTAGCCGTATATTTGCTACTGGACCTGCACTGATATGTAAATGAGCTGTGAACAGACGTGTGAATTATGACATTTGCGCATATAATTAATTACCACGGCTAAAGGCTAATAGCGCTACTTTCTTTACTAGTTATGGGTCCGTCGCGAACGAAATGACTCTTAGAACCGGCTCTTTGAAGGGAACGACGGGAGCCTGATCCTTATTGGGAGCCTTGTTTTCTCTTTCTCTCATTTCTCTTCACGCCGCGTGATACGTGGTTTGACAGCGGCAGCGGCTAAAAACGAAACTTTGAGAAATTTACGTGTACGTAGGATTAAAAAAAAATAAAATAAAAAAACTAGCATATTTGACTGTAGTTTAGCATAAAATAAATAAGTCCCGGTTTTGTCCTTTTTCAGTCCTGGTTTAGACCTGGTTCAGTCCTGATTCAGTCCTGCTTGCAACAAAACAATCTGAAGAGCCACTTGGGAGCCAAAAGAACCAGTAGCTTTTAGTGAGCCGAGCCAAAAGAGCCGGTTCTCTAAAAAGAACTGGAATACCCATCACTAGTGTCTAGAATGTGATGCAAAAATGCCATTAAGTCAACCTACTGTCTGTAAATATGATGTAAAGAGGCAGAATAACAATAAATGTTGCCTAAATAAACCCAATTTAAAATCCACCAGAGCCAAACCTAAGTTTTTTAAACAATTCAACATTTACAGTGAATTTTTACATCACTAAATATATTGGCGATTATATCGGCTATCGGCAGCGCCAACTCCCATTATATCGGTTTCATATCGGCCACAGCAAAATCCATATTGGTCGGGCTCTACTAGAAATCATTATTTTTTATTAAGGTGCTATATTGTACCACATTTATGAACATGTCTACTGACTGTTGTGAGCTTTAAGCCATGTTACAATGATGTTACCACATCAAAAACATACCTGGAGTTAGGTTTTGTTTCATTTACAAATGTTTGAGTAATCCTGGTTTATTAGTCTGTCTACATCTCCAAAGATCAAAATTCTCTGTTCCACCTTGTGATGTTATGAAGCTCCTTTCACCTTTTGTTCAGTAGAGATTGGTCATTGGTCATCCAAATTATTCTATTGAAGGTGCATGGAGTTTAGTGGAGCACTTCCTGTATTACCACAACACATCACAAGGTGGAACAGTGTTTTCAGTTTGAGAAAAGAACTCAGCTCAAATACACATGATTTGGGAGTTGAGTGTGTATTAATGAAACAAAAGACAACTAGGGGTATGCTTTTGGTGAGAAAACAATATTACAACATCGTGTAGACAACAGACAGACAATAGTGTAATAATTCAGAAAGTTTTTATGCTTCATTGTTTGGCTTATTTTGTTTGCATTAATTTGTGTATTACCTGTGGCAGGGGAAGAGCTGCTCAGAGACCTGAATGGTGATGTCACACTGCTCTCCTCGCTGATACAAACCCAACAGGTCGGCCCCAAGTCCTGAGGCTGGCTCCAGTCCACCGTCTGGACAGAGGGTCACAACAATTTGAGACATTTGTGCTAGTTTAATTTGGAGATGTGTTTTCATGTAAATTTACAAATCTTAAAAACTAGTCCATATTTTGCTCAGTAGTTTACAGCACCTTTTTCACTTTGGTCTAAGCAGACTCAATATTACTTACTTATAAAAATGTTTTTGTGCAATTGAGCCAGTAATTTTCCATCTGCAATAAACCATTTAAAAACAATTTAAAACCACGTGAGTTTGTCAATACCGGAGTTAGAGGAGCAGTGGAGGTCTGTAACATCTGGGGCAGCCCGTTCCACATCTGGGTTAGCCCGTTCCGCATCTGGGAGGATTTCCCCTGAGCGCATACTCTGCTCTGCTGTGTACACGCGCCTGTGGGCAATATGGGCTCATTTAGACCAACTGTTCATCACTAATTACGACAATTCTGTCATTACCAAAAGGATCAAATGTGTTGCATTTAGGACCACATCAGAATAAGAAACATATCATAGTTTCACGATTACTGTGAAAGCAAATATTTAACTAGTATTAAACTAGTCTGTGATGACAGAAATGCCAGGCATACTCATAATGATTAGCTTTATTCTATTTAACTGTTCAGTCCCTCTTTGATTACCAATTAGCCTGTTGCAAGCTTTGATTAGGTTATTTTTTGTCATTATTGGGAAAATTGGGTGTGTTGAATAAAGTAATCACATTTTATTTTGAAAATGGAAACACAATAATTAAATAATAAACACAACTTCTTTTTTATTTTGTTGACCACTCCTTGAAGATCTTAAAAAACACACCCTCTGTTTCTCAAGCAGTGAGCAAAGAGAGAATTAAACAGTTCGCAGATCACTCCTTTAATTAATCATGATTAATTAAATGATGCGTTAACACACTAATATTGCGCCAACCGTAATTTTCATAAAAAGCTGTCAAGACATTCATTCCAGGTGCATTCCCAAGCAGAGTGACATAATTACACACTCATTCACTGTTAAGATGTACACAAGACAATCATTTTTAAAACACATGCTCTACCTGATGAGTTCTCTTGAGCCCTGAGAGGTCCAGTCCCGGCACGTGGACTGTGGTGGGATCTTTGTGGGACTGTCCTTTCAGGAGCCGAGGCGCCCGGGCCAAAAGAACCGCTCTGTGTGCCTTGAGAGAACCAGCGCTTGTACACAGGGTAACATCAGTCTCCATCTCCTCCTGCAGCAGCCTGGGGACATACAACACTAGGGTTTTAGGTCAGCAATAATAAAGTCAGTGTCTATCTGAAACTAATTAGAAATCAAAATATTGACGTGCACTTTCACTGACACAATTACTGTAAAGCATAATAATAAAATAAATACCTTTCCCAATTATCTATATTGCAAATAAAGCAATACAGTCTACAAATCTATATTTAAAAGTGCATATTATTAAAATGTGTGCATCTATGGGGTTTAGATATAAAACTTAGTTAGTTGAACATATTTGTTTCATTTTTGTATTAGTTTCGCATTTTTTTTATTTCACTCTGCTCTCAAATGTTATTGCCGTTTTAAAATAACAACTATGAACTGAATCTAACAGAATATACATTTTAAATCAGTTCCAATATTTGTCACAGAAAAAATTCAACTCTGCAAGAAACCACATACCATAACATGATAAATCTACTGTGCCAAATGGATTGGATCTGATGACCTATTTCCTACTTCTTGGCTCTTCCTTATCATTAGCTCCTGCTTCAGTAGATAATCCTGGTGACCCGAAAGCACTCAGCTCCAGGCTACTGGGGCAAGACAAGTCCAAACACTGTCTATAATGTCTAAACTTTGGACACACTTTAGACCGCCTGACCTGATAAGATGTCTTGTAACTTGAAATAACACATTGCGTGCTCCATGTGAGCCAAAGAGCTTTAGAGGTTGGTTTAATATGGAAGAAATAAAAATTTAATACATATTTACAACAATAAGGGCCATTGGTTGCACAGCATACAGACATTTCGTAGGGTTCTTTATTGTTGGATAAAATGTGTTTTTTTTAATGTCCTAGCTGGCTCAGGTCATCCCCCCAAGCTGCAGCGGAAATGAGGGAAAATAGACAAGTAAGCATTCTTTCAGGAAGCAAAGCAATTTATCATGATTGTGACTTTATAGAGCCTACTAGTGGCTTAATGAAGCAACTGCAGACACAAGGTCAATTAGTGCAAGTCATTTTTGAGCTATGATGGCTTCTATACCACATTTATTAACACATCTATGAATGGTTGGTCATTTTATTACAGTTGCTTTGATTTGGTATTTCAATCCCCATTTTGTAGTTATAAAGCAGATTTTCTTTTCTTGTTGTGTGGGGGTAAGTCTTGGTTTCATTGTACAAATACCACATTTGAGCTACAGTGTATGCTCAATATATGCTCAAATAAAACTGGTGGAAAAGAATGAACAAAAAATTTATTTATGTGCTGCAAGATTAAAGGAAATCGCATTAAAATCACAATTTGAATGGCTGCAAATAGAAAATCTCAAAGGCTGCTGATTTTGATGTACCATAATTTCCTCCACAAACAAAATATCTTGTCTTATTCTGCATACAAACTACTAACCCTGAAGTTTAGATCTGCTCAAATATGTTCTGAAATACATGTCTTGTATTAGTTTGTCAGTTCATATTTCAATCTTTTGCCAGTTCTTCAGGACACGACAACAGAATCCTACTATCAAAAAATAGAACCAATGGCAAGTGCAAAGTTTGTCAGAAAATTTGCAATTAGTTACTGTTCCCAAATCGTTCAGCTCTAGAATAATAATTTTGGGCATACCTGTATTTATGTGTAATTATAATGTATGTGTACTTTCCTGACCTCGTAATACACTGTTACTAATAATACTGTTTTATAATGGAATGACTAGCTTATTATTTCAAAGTCCCAAGTCATCACCATAATACGCTTGCATAATGAAAACTAGAGGACTCTGGCTACTGACGTCAAGCATTTCCCTGACCAGTGCTTATCCCGTACATTGGGGAGCTCCTGTCAGACACTTCACCTGAGGAGATCTGCAGACAGCGCTGAAGAGAGACATCTCCTCAGCTGCTCTTTGAACCTCCGCTCTTTGGCATGGAACTCTCTCGCTGCCTCCGTGGTGAGCATGACTTCTTAAGGTCTCTAGGATAAACAAAAATGAAAAGAAATCATATTATGGAAGGATTGGGGGAAACAGAAAGCGATGATGCATAATAACTATTCTATTAAGGCTGCACAATGAAAATCTCAATTTATCAAATCCAAAAGCAGCAGTTATTTCGATTATAGAATGTACTCTGCAAAGAACAAAATATCCTGTATTTAATAGAAAAATCTTGTTGCACCTGCAGTTAAGTAGCCCCCTACAGACATGTTCTGAAATGCACAGGATTTCTGTAATATCAGTTCATATTTCACTTTTCTCTAAATGTTAACAGTCCCGGAATTGTTTACAATGTGCACTGCGAACAGAGACATGCTTTTTAACATCAAATCTAATCTCACTCACAATTAGATTTTTCCCCAAATCGTGTGGCCTGCTCTACTTAGCAAATATTATCCACAAAATTAAATAAAACTTACTTTGGTTTGATTTATCTACCCATGACTGTCCAAAATCAGAGGTGGCATCAACCCCAGAAAAAAATTGGTGGTGTATTATTATATGTATGTATTATTCATAAACAAACATAAACTTACATCCTACCCATTGCCACAGTCCACAACGTCTAATTATCAGTGACATATCTGACATCTGTGTGGTCAGCTCAGTGGGTAAGTAAATATAATACTTTTACTGTTGAAAAAACACATGGTGTAAGACCTGGAGCACACAGTTTGCTTTAGGACACAAAGGCTCTTTCATGAGAATCAAAGGACATGAAGATTCTCTGAAAAGTGAAAGTTGTGACAGTAACAATAGTTATGATCCTTCTGGACTAATCTGAAAATAAAATATGAAAAAAAAAAAAAAAAAAAAAAATGATGAGAAACGTGATCATAAGTTTCCCATTGGTGTCTGTTACATCTTTTTCCCAGGTGGGTCGCTGTTTTACAATACAACAATGAAAAACTGAAACGTGCTTATCTGATAAGCAACACCAGAGGGAAAGATCACATTTCTGAAACTATTTGACCTAAAACTGCATTGAATAGATATCTATACAAATACAGCTTAGGAAAAACAATAAGCAATACAATTATGGCTGCTACAGACATCACAATCGTCAGTTTTAGCACGGGCTGTGGCATAGAGGAACCCCTATTAAAATCAAACGCAATATTTCAGTGCTCTTACACGCATACCTACCAGGCCATTGGAAAAAGGCAAAGTTCGTCCTGATCCTGTTAATCCAAGTAAAAATATAATGCAACCACTCTCATTTTTTTGACAGTAGCTAGCATGCATCCTCCAACTGCCGACTAGCTACATTTGCTAACATTAAGAGCTTCTATTTTGACTGTCTGCGCAAAAATGACAAAAAATCTGTGTATCTGTGGTGTTGGATGAAAAGGTTGAAGTTGTAGAGGTTCTTCTTTAGCCTTTACAGAGGTGCTGACCCAGTGCCCGCTGTTGTTGACATCCTCCTCACGCCTTTCACCGCGCGCTGCCTCCAACTCAGCTCGGAGTCTACGGCGCATGCGCAGACTCCCAACAGCTCCCACGATCGCTTCAAGTGTGACTCGGAATATGTGGTACTTTGTATTTGATAAAGGCTTTTGTTTATCCAGCAAAATGGGCTTTCGTGCACAAAGCAAATTTTAATCGATTAACACTAATATAACCAAATGCGTCATTGAGTAACATTAGATAACAAGTACATTTTAATTTTCACTCAGTTGCACGACGCAGGATAGCAACGGTTACTTTAAAAACGTTCGCTTCAATTAGCACGTGAATGCAACAGTAAATTGGCACGTCCAGCTCATGACATCACTGTGTATCTGGTTGTATCACTTGGAAAATATATACGGTGACCAGACATTGGATTTATCCAAACCAGTGTCCCAGGTGTCCCCATTTTTGACCAATTTGATACCTACCAACGGTGAAGAGAAGAATAGATTGTAATGTGTGTAGGTAAAATCCAAAAATATCAGCTTAAAAACGACCAAAACACAAAGAAAATGTGACTATACTGACTCACATGCGTCATGAACGGTCTCTGCATAACCATTTTCCTGAACTATGCACTCATTTCACAATTGTATTATTACCAACCACCATAAACCAGGGTGTCCTTTTTGTTTATTTAGAAAATCTGGTCAGCCTAAAAATGTAGTTTTATACAAATATTTAGTTTTTAAATACATTTTATCTGTTTGTGTGTGAATATGATGATAATTTCAAATGGTGCGCAGATGAAATATTGCAAAAACGTAAATGTTGAACTTTAACCTTTTTGTTATGGAATGGGTTCACAAATTTTAGTGAGGAGGCTAGCAGTCTACCAAAAAATTGCAATCTGCTTTCAAAATATGATTAAGCCTACTGACTGTACACCATAGAAAACATGTATTTAAATGTATTAAAAATACAACCTTCTAATGACACCTACTAATAAAAATACCTCTTTGTTGAATGGAAAATGCTACAATTAACTACAAGCTGTTTCTATTTCTGCTCACTTTGATAAATTTAGAAGCCTGGGGTGACACAATACCTCTTCAAATTTAGCACTGTCATTTGTGTGTATTTTAGAACAAGAAAATGACACTTCTTTGTTTTATTTATAAAATCAAATGGCATTGTTCTGGCTCGAGTTTCCAAAATGCAGTGATACAAAATAGTTACAGAAGTCCATCACTAATGTCTCTACACATAAACGCCCTATGTGATTTTCTGTGTATCTGACTTCAGAAAAACATCTTTCTATTTGTAACTCCAGGACCACATGAAAACAATGAGCTGGCATTATTAAAGCTATTATGTCAAACAAACTGAAGTTTTTTCACAGTTAGTTTACTGAGTTAGTTAGTTAGTTAGTTAGTTAGTTTACTATAGTTATAAACCAAGTTCAGTATTACTAAACATAGAAGAAAACAGTCCTCATATGTTGAACACTAAGACTTATTAAAACTGTACTGGGCATATCGATAAGTGGGCTAAATTTATAATAATTTGATCCTCAATCATAGGTGGTACAAAGTAACTCAAACTATTATTGTTCATGTTCTGTGTAAAACACCATCTCTTTCATATAATTTTGCCTTTAAAACAAAAAATTTATCTCATAATAAAGTCATTGCTCCTTGGGTTTGTCCTGGATTCACAAATAGAAACACATTTCTCTAAATTTCCAAGAAAATTCTACACACAGTGAACACAGATTCCCCACTGAGGAAAATCTACAACAACATCCGGAGTACATTTGAACCATAGAAAGAAAAATTATAAAACATAAACACTTTTTTTAGACAACATCACCTGATCAACAACAGTGCCTGATATTGAGCGTGGAGCAAAGTGGTGAAACTACAGCAGACAAAGCCCATTCACTCTCAACATGAAGTTCAAGAAGGCACCACAAAAGTACGAGCCACAAGTTACTCACACGCTTTAAGGCGGATGTCATAGAGATCACATTTTATGCACAGTTTTTTTTTTTTTTTAGCTTTTACTATGTTATAATGTTCCTTTATGGAGTTGTGTTTCATTTCATTTGGAATGGTCATCTCATTCTTAAAGGTTCTATATTACGCAAAACCGACTCTCATAAATAAATAAACGTATCACTTATCTCATCAAACACATACCTCGAATTGTGTTTTGTTTCATCCACACATGTTTGAGAAACCTGCATTACGCTGTCTTCATCTCCAAATGTTTCTAGTGAAGGTGTATGGAGTTTAAAAACACAGTGGGGCACTTTTGTATCACCACATGACATCACAAGGTGGAAGAGTGTTTTCTGTTTGAAAGAAGAACTCAGCTTAAATATGCAGGGTTGGTTTGTGTCTTAAACAACAAAACTTCAGGTATGTTTTTGATGAGGAAACAACATTATAACATAGATTAAAAAATAAAGTAATACGGGTCCATTAATTCTCTGATTCAACTCTCATCATATGCAATTAAAGCCTGAAATTTCTTAGTTTTAGAAGTTCATGCATTTTGCTTGTACTTGTAATAGTTATTCCAGCATTCAAAAAACATTATTTCTACAAAGAATAAATCTGTCGTGTCATATTTGAAATTGGTCAAAATGTTCAAAACAGTTGCAAAATGTTGACACCAATTTGTTGTTATAAGCGGATGACAAGATTGCCAAATCAAAACATTTAAATTGAAAGTGAAATACAAATTGTTAAAGATTGCATCTTGAAACATGAAATCTCAAAGCAAAGTTTTTTTTTTAAGTATCTAAAAAGCCAGAAGAAAGCATAACATGTTTCCTTCAAATGTGCAAAAACATTTTCTGTTATAGTTTATTGTTCGTCGCGTGTGCTTGTTTCCAAAAATCAAAAACATGAGATGATAAAAATGATGCAAATACGGCGGCTATGAAGGGTCATTCAGCTGCAAATGTAGAAAATGCATGCTAAAATGATACAGCAGGAACTAAAGCGGTACGCAGTCTTATATTGCAAACTCTTACTTAAGCTGGTGGTCATCATGTGATCAAATGGAAGTGAGAGTTTGAGTGCATCGTAAGGCTTCAGAAGATCAAATGAATACTAGTATTACAGGTGCTGAACTATTAACCATCTCAAGCTGTAGCCTACATGGCAAACATGGCTATATTTTTGTCACTGTGGCAAGATTTACAAGCGAGAAAGGATGCGAGCAATTTACAGCCAAATTGCAATATGGCCTTTTCTCACAGCTGATTGGTCCAGTTTGGTTGTGCAATCTCTAAATTAAAATATTTAACACCTAAAAGCTTTAACTCCTCCTCTCATAGCAATATATATTCAATTCCCTGTCCATTACTTAGATTAATTGAAAAAATAAAGGTAGTCCTGGGATCTCGTTTATAAAGGATACCTATGTACAAATATGTTTTGTATTCGACTTTCCGTGTTCAGTATATTTTGATCTATAAAAAGATAACTCGAAATGGAAACAAGCTTGCCTGGGATCAAGTATTCACACTACAATGATGTGAAACTGTTCATCGGTGAATCTCACCAAGATGGACATGACTGACAGGTGGTTTAGCCAATCAGGGACATGCATGGTCCAACAGGCTAGCCAGGCTGGCGCCACCTTGTGCCTCAGCTCAATCTCATTTCTCTCCAGCGACTAGGTCAGGAATTGGAATACACTACATGGTTTGCAAGAACCAGGGAAGTTGTAGACTGTGCACCGGCCAATCAGCAAAGAGCAGTGATTCGCCTGTCTGGGTCCCTTTCTGTGGTACAGCACAACAGTAAACAAAGCGGTCAAAATGATTGTAGACGAAGCCATACATTCTGTGTTGGCAACGATTGAGGATTTAAAGTTGGAACAAAAAAAAATGTTTGGTGAATTTTATCAAGTGGAAAGACTTTACTGCCTTTCTACCTATACGGGATTTGGTGCATTACATACGTCATGACCAAATAGCAGCGATTGGTTAAATTAAAAAAGTACCCGCCTACCGTCAAGCGAAAGAATCCTAATGCTGCGAGGTCAGACTGTTTCCACAATGTGAAACCAGCTGATGAATCAAGCTACCATCAGGCAGCTTATGAGGAAAAAATATGGATCTATAAAAACTGGATAAGATACTCCCCTTTAACCCCGGTGCAAGATCAGTTAGTGGCCTCTCCATAGATACAGTTGTTCCCAGGAGCTAAGGTCCAAAAGAATTCAAAGCATTTTTTGAGAAATCAAACTGCCTTTTTCTCTAGTTTAACAACATTTTGGCCCCACTTTAACTGTCACCGTGCTGATTGGTCAGGACTGATCGTGTGGTGCAAGTCATCACATGGCAGGAGGCGCTAGTTTTTAAATAAAAGTTTACCAACAAGTGCCTCAGTTTCTCATTCAAAAAAATGATTGCATGAGCATGTTTGGATCTGGTTCAAGATATAAAGGAGAGCAGTGTATCCAGACTGATATCACTCTGCATAAAAAATACAGAAAGCTATCATTCTAGATTTGCCAGGCAAGAAATGAGCTTTCCAAAAACACAACAAAATGAGATCTTTGCTCAGAGTGAAGTGAGGAAGTTTGAGTTTCGAGCTCTGAAAATTTTTGTAACAATTCTTTGTGAAGTTTTATAAATGAGACCCCAGACGATTAATTTTTAAAAACCAAACAGCAGCGGATAGAGCAGCCGATTTGACAAGACTATTAATAAATAAAACATTTCTTTGTGCTGATGCTGTATCTAACTGCATGCATCTCCTTCATTTCGGATGCACCCTCCTTTGCAGCACGATTGCATTATCACTATGTTGCTTGGTATCACAGTCACAGGCATATTCCAGGCATCCAGTGTAGCAAATGTGAAGAAAGAGAGAGAGAAACAGACAAAAAAACAAAACAATCTCTTAGTTCCTGTAGCTTTTGCGGCCCTCTCCCTCTTTCAGGAAAGTCCATATGAGCGTGTTGACGATGTCCGGCTGGTCTTGCTGCAGCCAGTGGCTCGCTCCGGAGATGATGTTGAGTCTGAAGTGGTTCCTGATGTAAACACGACACGCTTCGGCCATGTCCTGCTCCAGAAAGGCGTCACGCTCCCCCCACAGCAGCAACACCGGGGACCTGACGTGGTTATGGCTCAGAGGGAGGGAGCTGGGGGAAAAGACATTCAATTCTATTAAAATGCAGGTTAATAAGAATCCATTTTCATAATTAGCTTGAAGAATGTATCTATTTATACCATGATTTATGTATTATCATCTGTTCCATAGCCAGGCACTGCATTCATATTTGTTCATATTTGTATATAAACCTGTAAATACTGCATATATACTAATGTTGTAAGTTTGTACACCTGTGTTTTCGAATGTATGAGTGAAAGATGCACTCTTATTGTATCTTTTGTCATGTTTTATGAATTGTGTGTGGGTTATGTGGCTGGTTTTGGTCCAGCAGGGGACTAAGGATAGAAATTAATCTTTTTTGGGTTCTTTTTGTCTTTAAAAAGAACCCAAGAAGTTGAAGTACAAAAGAGGACAAAATGAACATCTTTGGCTTAAGTATATGTTTTTTTTCTTGTCCATTATCTTGTCTTTTAATATGCATTATCCCTTTAATGAATAAATACAAATACAAATAGACCATGCAATATGTTTTTATTTGTTTTTTAGCATGTAAAATATGCTTGTGGATATTGAAATGAAGAATAAACATTGAAATTACACCGACTGAGCAATGGGAGAGGTTTTTGTTTGTGCAACTGTTGTGTTAATGTGTCTGTTATTATTGTTAAAGATAAGCCTCACTGTTTACTTTTTATTCTATATATATAAAAAGCTTGTAACAAAACACTGAAATTACACTCTCACAGACAGGCCTCCAGTTTTCCGACTTGTTTTATGTGTTTTAATTGCTTTTGCTGACTGTCTTCAGTTCTGCTGTGAGAGTTTTGCAGATTCTGGACAGTGATGGTGGGGTTTGTCTTCTCCACCTCACCTCCAGCCACCTTCCCTTATTGAAGGAGATTGCCAGCACCTGTTCTGCCATTTTGTGTGCGTCTGTGTCTCTTTCATGTCAGCACTTTGTTTGTACGAGTACGTGTCTGACTTCGTATGTTTGTTGAGACACTCAGTTAGTTTAGTTTAGTTCTGTTTGGTGCCTTTTTGTTTGGTCACTCGATTCTGTTTGTGGGTTCATGTGGTTTTACTCTGGGACACTTGTGATTTAGTTTTGTTGTGTGTCCCTAAGTTTAGTCAGTTGTCTATGTGACCTATTTTTGGCACAGAACTCGTTATATGTAATCCTGTTATTTTGTTTCTTAGTTTAGCATGTTTTGTTAATTTACCCTGTTATTTAAACATTACTTAATTTATAAAATTTTTCTACCTTGGTTTTTTTTTGTTACTTCCCTGATCCCAACGAGCTGAGTCATAACAGTCCAAGTGTGATTAAAAAAGTAGATAATGTGTATTTTTATTTCCATACAAAATAACCAACTATGGAAAGAAACTGACAGCTCATGGTATTAGGTTTAAAATCACAGTTTGTACTCAACACTGTGACAAATTTAATACTCCATTTGACCACTAGAGAGAGCCAGCCTACCACCAGCTGTACCTGTACCACTGTTTGGAAACCCCAGGCAAAACATGGACACTATTTTTGACAGACAGACTGAAGTTTGAATATTTAAAATATATATAAATATATAAAATAAGTTAAATATATAAAAATAAGTGGTAAAACTGCCAAATATGTTGTGGTTTAGAACATAAATGTATTATCTATTATGATGGTATGGAAAATATTTATGATTTTTATTTGGCAGTCCAGTTACTCATATATCCTTGGGCTTCTTTAGTGCTGTTGCAAGCTTCATTGGTTGAAAATTCGTGGTTTGGTTGGCTGATGTGACTGGATTCTTAAAACGTGGACAGCACTGAAAATGCTCTATAAATGCAGTCCATTTCTTCTCACACTTTCTTATGGCTGGCAGGCTTTTGACAGACAGGCAGATGTCTAAATATTATTCCCCCTATATATCCCCATATAGAAATGCACTGTCTGTGTGAAACATTAACATGCTGCATCCGTTACCACAGTAAGTCTATGCGGCAATGGAGACAAAATGGCCTCCCAGTTTCTTGTTATTATTTGTCCTTGCCTGTGTCTGGTAATGTGCATTTGTGGAGACTCTAATTGGCCATGGGTCAGTGGAGCTTTGTTTTATGTGAGCAAGTAAAAAGGCTTTAGCAGGATCACTCATAGGCCTCTACAGTGTGGCTGCAGAGGGAAGCAGATGGCACACTCAGTCATGCATGTTCGGCTCACATGTCAAAACTACACATGCCCAGATATTGTTCTTCTGAATGGGATCTGTGTCACTGAGAAATATGAGACATTAACTTAATAGACAATAATGAAAACTAATAGGACAGAGAGTTGGTATATTGGGCATTTTATCATGGTGATTAGACTTTACACCTGGTTTAGTCCAAGTTTAGATCAGATTTTCTCCATCTCCATTATCCATTAGACCTGATTTAGTTGAGTTTACTATAGAGACGAAAAAGTAACTAGTAATTTAAGTAATTTAATACTTAAAATATTAAAGGACCCATATTATGTTATTTCTGATCCGTATTATAATGTTTCCTCATCAAAAACATACCTGGAGTTGTGTTTTGTTTCACTCACACTTGTTTCACTCACACAAACCCTGCATGTTTAGGCAGAAAACACCCTGTTCCACCCTGTGATGTCATGTGGTAATACAGGAAATGCTCCATTGTGCTTTTAAACTCCACACAAGTTCATCAGAATAATTTTGATCATTTCAGCACTGGAATTGCCAATCTCTACTGAAAAAAGGTAAAAGGAGCTGTTAACTTGAAAACTACATAGACATTGCAAGGAGGAACAGAACATTTTGAGCTTTGGTGATGTAGATCAATTCTCAAAGCTTGTGTCATGACCCTCAGGTGTGTAGTAAGAGATTTTTTTTGGGGTCACCTTGTCACGATCTGCATGTAGGTCTGCAATATACAGCTCTGACACATGAGAGAGCTAGTGAATATCCTGTCCTCAGTACGGCCAGTATTTCTATGCTTATTCCTTTCACTACTACATATATGTGTGAAATGAAATTTTCTGTGCCTGATATGCGTGTTGAGCTCTCCTTCTGCACTTCGGACTGGAACGTGCTACAAAAACGCTGACAGGCCCACCTATCATATTAGAAATGTTGAAATGTTAAGACATGTTTTGTATAATTTCTAATCTTTTTGAAATTATTTTATTCACTATTTTGTTACAGTATTGCTGGTTCAATTGAATGTTGAAACAAAAAAAAAAAGGGCTACATTTAATGTCCAAATAGGCAATTTATGGATCCCTTTTATTGCTGGTTCAATTACTGTTTTTCTTTGTTTAAAACTTAAGTAATACTACTTGTTCAGAGAGACACAATCACTCAGTCAACAATAAAATATACTCATTAATGTTCAATAATCTACGTTTAGTTTATGATTTACAAATAATGTCTATTAACTTGGGTTGCGAAGGTTTGTAACTTTTAAAATATGGGTCCCCAGAAAAAAACGTTTGGGAAACAGTCCAATAACGAAGGGTTATGCCAACATGTGTAAAATGAAGCAAACCCCAACTCCATGTTTTTGATGAGATAACAACATTCTAACATGGCTTACAGCTCACAAGAGTCAAGTTTATGTAACATAGGACCTTTAAATTATGTACGGTAAATGAAATGATGTACTGTATACAAACCAGGATGCCCTCTCTCTCTCTGATGTGTCTACTGAACTTTTACCTGAAGACATTCCTGTAGTAGTTGAGTGCTCCGGTCAGAGCTCCAGGCTGGGAGAGTGCGTACAGATAGGCCTCCATCTCCTCCACAGTCAACCAGCGCCCCTTCCTCCCAATGCCAGTGTTGCGGCTGGTGAACAGCGCCTTCACTGCCTACAAATCACAACAGAAACACTTTATTGATTTGGTCCTGGTGTAGAAGTAGAAACAGTCACTTGTAGACCCATTTTGACATGATTTAGCAGGCTGCTCCATTGATTTGGACTTGATTTTGGTGCATTCAAAGCTAGATTTGGTAAACTAAAGATGGGTGTTAAAGAACTGAGAATTGACAAGTGTACTTTTCTTTTATGGTGGAGCCTCATGCTTGACTTCATGCATGGCTCCATGGAGATTATATTGCTTTGCCTGGAAGGGGCAGACTCATTTTCTTCATATCTGCTTTTTTCTAATCATGGAAATGCGTTCTAATATGTACATTTAAATTATGTATTGCTATTCGTATATATAACAGTATAGCATGAGCTTAACATAGTATGGCATATTGCATACAACATATCTGTAACTTGGCCAAGTGGAGTCATCTGCTTGGCCCTATAGAGATGAATTTAACTATGGAGCATTCAGGGCAACATTTCCATGGAGACAAGCTGGCATACCCTCCACTAGTTACAAAAAAAGTGTCTCTTTAATGTGTAAATATTTGTTGTATTACTGAACATATATGAGTAAATTAATTGAGATTTAAGTATTTTTTGTAATTTAGTTTTTACATTATTTTTGCACACAAAATGTTAAACTTGATGATATTGATGATGACTTTAATGATATTGCTGCTATATATCCATAACCCTCGCCCTCCACTTCTATATTAAACTCTACAGCCTTAAGAGCAAAGTGATCTTATGTAACCCAGCTATGCAATATTTCAAATAAAACTTTCTGGTACACATATCTTGCAGAGAAATGACTTAGAGACAGGTTCAGTATGACTCTAGCCCTGCAGCAGTGATGCTTGGCCAGTGCGGTTCAGAGAAAGCCACTTAGATCAGCTTTTATTGGCCTCGCTGGATGTCCTGGCACTCACTTAGACTGCTGCCTCTGCGACATTACATGCTGCGCTATAGCTTGGAAGAATATGAAAGGAAAGCATATGGGCACTGAAAGCTACACTTAGTTAAACAAGACGATATATGACCATGTACAATTTGTAGTTTATTTATAAAACTCCTGCTTCTCTAAACAATTATCCAGTCAGAAACATTTATTTGGGTTTCCAGTTCTTACAACTAGAACCAAAACAAGAAATAAATAAAAAATTAAGACTCACAGCACTTGCATCATTAATCAGTGAGTGAATTCAAAAGGTTCTGAGTGTTCACATGAGGGAATGTCTGTCCATATACTGACAAGGAGAAAAACTTGGATCTATCCGCTATGTGCAAGTTAAATTGAGTTTATTTTTTCTGTCTTAAAATGCGAAAAAACAGTCCAAAACTTTTCCTCACTTTCCTTATGCATTCCAAGCATCATAATTATTCACCACATTGAGAGCTTTTCACAACTCTCAGAGCTGTTTTGCAGTGACGGTAAAGATAACAACAACTAGCATGCTAACACAGAATTCCTGGTTATACTTTCTCATACATGCATCCGGAATTTCGGACCTCCGGTCATCATGCAATGCATACTGGGAAAGGTCCTCTGAAAAAGTGAGCATCAAACCTCCATGTTTGATTTCCCAGTGGGACGAGTCTATTGACAAAGCTGATCTTTTCTAGTCTTTTGAACCATGTCACTTTTGTTTCTGGTACTGATATTGTCATATTTTAGTTATGGGATTCAGACATTGTAACTTTGTGGTTGCTGGATGTCCTAACAACGGAAAACAGCTTGGGAAATGGGCTTCGGATGTTTGTGAACTCCATAATTGCAAAAGGGAATCAGACCTGTGTGACTGCAAACCTCCTTTCAAACTGTTTCCCCTATCAAAGCAAAACCCTGATCCCTCAACTCAACCAGGGTTAAGAATTTAAAAAGTCAATGTCAAAGCGAAAGGCACCAGCTGTTCGCCAAGAAACATCTTCCACTGCAAAGCGACCAAGGCGTGATGTTGCTGTAAAGTGAAGCTCAGCCTGTTTGTTTTCTGTACTTCTCGAATAAACAAACGGGATTTTGGTTTGCTGGCGCTTCACATACAAAATGTTCGCTGCAAACTCGGAATGATTTCTTAGGCAGCCAAAGTTTAGCTTTTTGGTTCTTCCTGTGTATTAACCCTCTCCAGGCAGGCATTGCAGATTTGCAACTGCTAAATTCCAATTACATACTTACTCCACATCCATATTTTATGAGCTTTTTTTACTCAGGAGCCTTTTTTCCCATCCATGATGATAAACGTGGATGATGCAGACTGTGCAAGAATGGCTACACACAAACGGCCTGCCAGAAGTGCAAAATACTTTTTTTGTTCACAAAGGATAAAAAAGTCAGGATTGTATATTACTACCCCATATTATAATTTTCCCCAAATATCAGATTTTTCCTGATACTAAAAATTAATTTGAGCCTGAGAGGGTTAATACTGCCCATCGCCTTCGCCTTTCACTATTTTTAAATTCTGTTGGGAAGGGAAACAGTTTGAACGGAGGTTTGCAGTCACACAGATCTGATCCCCTTTTGCAGTTATAGATTTCGCAAACTTCCGAAGCCTGTTTTCCACTGTTAGGACATCCGAGTACCACACAATTATGAGGTCCGAATCCTATAACTAAAATATGACAATATCAGAACCAGAAACAAAAGCGATATGGTTCAAAAGACTTGAAAAGATCAGCTTTGACAATAGACGCATCCCACTGGGAAAACAAATATGGTGGTTTGATCCTCACTTTTTCGGAGGACCCTTCCCAGTATGCACTGCACGATGACCGGAAGTCCGAAATTCGGGATGCATGTATTAGATGCAAACAGCATGCAGCTGACATACATATATTTAGATCTCAAGAGCTGCTCATACAATATACTGTACCTGTACTGGGGCAAGACAGATTTTGCTCAAATACATCGGAAAAAAGCCTTTAAACATTGCTTTTTAGTGTAAGGTTTTTTGTCAGTTGCAATGATGGACGACTCTCCACGCCCAAACGCAGATCTGCCAAATGACCTAACAACTGACTTTGTTGTTTCTGGATAGTGTAGTCAAATTAACAGTGCTTTGGCTGTTATGAAGCACTATATGGATGAAATAAGGTGACTCTAAACTCCCATCTGAAATAAAGGGGAGTGTGAATCCTTCCATTAACTGGCACCTGTCCAGGGAGCAGACGGCCTCGTGCCATACGCAGCTGGGATACGCTCCAAACCACAGACACGGCAAGAAGGATCGCAAGTAATATCATAAATTGTAGAAGAATGAAGAGTGTCTTGCCGTTTAGACTGTATTAACAATTCTAAAAGGTAAACTCTAAATCAAATATGTTTTTCACTTGTCAAAATCACTTACACAATAACACAACAAGATGGATTTTTTTTCAGTCAATGATTTTTACCAGCACACTTGGAAATTTTCTACCTATCTTAAAAAAAATAATTGCTTGTTGACTTTGAGATGTGAAAACTAATTGATAAGATTGAAAATGTTGATTTAGGAAGACTTATTGATTGCCAAAAACATCTGACTATTGGCATCTGGAATTTTAGTTCCAAAGGTCTGAACAGGTTTAAGTCCCTGCATGACTTGGTAAAAATAAACACACACACACACACACACACACACACACACACACGCACACACAGATGCACACACACACAGCAGGGTTGTCCTTGACCTTGAGCCAGACTAACAGAAACATATAGCCAACATACAGAGGGAGAGAAGAGCGGAGGGAGAAAAAGAGGGAGAGAGAACGTGACAGAGAGGAGGAAAGAAAGAGGAGGAGAGAGGATGAGAGAGAGAAAGAGGGACGGTGGGGGGGCAAAGCAAAAGAAGAAAAAGGAGAGAGAGAGAAAGAGAGAGTGAGAGAAAGACAGAGACAGCAAGAGAAGAAAAATTACAGCGTGAGAGTGAGAGAAAGGGAGTGAGAGATGGACAAAGCAACAGAAGAAAACGAAAGGGAGAGAAAGAGGGAGAAAGGGAGAGAGGGTGGGACAAAGCAAGAGAAGAAAAATGATAGGGGGGAGAGAGAAAGATGGAGAGAGAGGCACAGCAAGAGAAGAAAAATTAGAGAGTGTGTGAGAGAGAAAGGGAGCATGAGGTGGACAAAGCAACAGAAGAAAACAAGAGGGAGAGAAAGAGGGAGAAGGCAGACACATAGCAAGAGAAGAAAAATTACAGAGTGAGAGAGAGAAAGATGGAGAGAAAGAGGGACAAAGCAAGAGAAAAAAGGGAAAGGGGGAAAGAGGGAAAGAGCGAGAGAGAGACAAGCACATAGCAAGAAAAATTACAGAGTGAGAGAGAGAAAGAGGGAGAAAAGCAAGAGAAGAAAAGAGGGAGAAAAGGAGGAAAGAGGTAGGAAGACAGGGAAAGGGTTACTGAAAAAGAAGAAAAAATTGATTGTGAGAGAGAAAAAGGGAGGGAGAGTGGGACAAAGCAAGAGGAGAAAATGAAAGGACGAGAGAGAATAAAAACGAGAAAAGGAGAGAGGAGGAGAGGGAGACAGAAGGGGACAGAGGACAGGAGCGGGACAGACCTTATAGTCGTTGATGGAAAGCATGAGCTCGGGGAATCGCGGCAGCTGGAAGAAAAAGAAGTGACTGCATTTGAGCAGCTGGCTCGGGTGTCTCACGGCGTAATCTGAAAGAGACACAGACACCACGGGACAAAAGGTCAATGGACAATTGTAGAGGAATTTAAATACAAAGGGCGACTATATTTAATGTAGGAGTAATAGTTGTAGCATGGACAGCTGATTTCTGACAGTTGCAATGGCTTTGTAAGTTAGTGTACCTTACAAGTGTGCACAGGATCATCCTCCAACTAGTTTGCTTGTCAAGTCCTGAATCATATCTCTTTACATTTTTATACACAGGAGTATCAGTCTGGTCCTCACTCCCTCTGTTACACCTCAAGCCAAAACCAAACATGATCATGCAATCAGACTTGTTTTTTTCATCTATGAATGAGAAACGAAGGAGCTCATTGGTTTTCAACAGAATGCATTTCTCTCACCTCAGAGTAACAGTTTAGGGTTTTACTGATAGATTGTGTTAGCCAGGGTGCTGCCATCTAGTGCCTCCGCTCAATTTCATTCCTCTCCAGCGACTAGGTCAGGAATCAGAATACACTAGATAGTTTGCAAGAACCCCGGAAGTTGTAGACCATGCACCGGCCAATCAGTGGAGAGTTGTGAAGCCATGACGTCAAGCTCAAGCGCCTGTCTGGGTCCCTTTTGTGGTACAGCACAACAGTAAACAAAGCGGTCGAGATGGGTGTACATGAAGCCATAAATTCCGTGTTGGCAACGATTCCTAAGATCGAGGATTTAAAGCCGGAACAAAGAGAATGTTTGGTGAATTTTATCAAGGGAAAAGACGTTATTGCCCTTCTTCCTAAGGAATTTGGCCCATTACATAAGTCACGACCAAATAGCAGTGATTGGTTAAATAAAAAAAAAAGTACCTGCCTACCATCGAGTGAACAAATCCTAATGCTGCGAGGTCAGACGGTTTCTTCAAAGTGAAACCGGCTGATGAATCAGGCAAAAATTCTGCAGCAATCTGTTTTTGTTAGAGAAATTGCATTTGTTAGAGCAAAACTCAATTTCTGTGGTATACTCAGGGCTCTCACTGCCAGCTCAGTGTACCACAGAAAATGAATTTCTGTAACAGCTTTTCAATCCCTTGCGATATTTTTTCCTTTCTTTTTTCTTTGTAAACAACCATTTTTCTTTTGACATGGATGGATCGTACATTTCTTTGATCGGCTTATCCACCTGTCAGTCATGCCCAATTGAACACTGGCAGTACTGGAGAAGTGTTTTCGAGATCAGGCAACCAGCTAGTAACTCCTGATCAAGATCTCATTTCAGACGCCCATTCAAAAGGTCGTTAAATGCAGGGGATAAAATTCAACCAATAATTTGCATAGAAATTATAGGTTAAACTTCTCCAAATGTAAATGAACACGGCACTCAGCATCTCTGTGCCTGCACCAGTTGAACCAGCTGTTGTGACTGCACAGCAGTGGCCTGTAATTAGCTTCCTCTCATTCGCCCCTTAAGGCTGGAGAGGATTTACCAGATGGATGCAAAAACTGAAGCCATAATACTCGCTAATGAATGATAATAATTATGGTAAGAGCCAAACAGTGCTGTGCTAATGAGTATGCTGTGGAAAAGGCACTCCGAAATTGAGTTCACAAGTCGGGAAAGACCAGCCCATGTTCTATTCAAGAACAGTTTTATTCAAGATGTTGTAACTTAAGAAGCTTGTGCCAGATCATTCTCAAAAACAAAAAAATATATAGCAACATTTCCAGTGTTTAATCCTGGTTATCTGATTGGCCATTTATTATTCAAATGCCTTTTCATTCTTGACTTTAAAGCCCTAGCCATCAGGGTTTCAGAATAAAATATTAGGACAGTTGCCATAGCAAGTTAACCTGGCAAACACCAGACTGATATGCACAGCACTATGAATCTGGAGTGGCGACTACTGTCAAAGAATATATGGAGCTGATGGGTCACAACAGCAGAATAGGCTGAGAAATCAAACTTTTGTTAAAGCTGGGAGAAAAGCAAATTCTTCCTGTACTGATTTTCAAAAACAAGTTCTAAAATGCCTTTCTGTGATTGTTCTGAACCATTGGTTAATGAGGCAATCACAACAGCAGGAGCTGGGCCAGATGGACTCTTGTGAGTTTGTGAACTTGCTGGCCACGTTGATAGCAATTTACAATAACAACATATTATCTTTTGAATGGTGAAAATTCCTCAAAATGTCACCATGTCATACCAGGAAGCTAAAACCCACAAATGGGGAAATTTGTCATTGCATTTGACCTGTCTTTCAAAATTTGCCCTTGAGCAGTGAGCAACAAAAACGTAGCACCCAGGATTCATCTCTAAATTTTTAACTATTAACCACATTCACATGGTCAGGAGCACCTACCTGAAAGACTTAGAGAATTAGGATTAACAAAAGACACCCACCCTGATACAGGAAGAACATGCAAACCCCCAAACAGAAAAGTCTCACCTGATCTGGGAACTGAACCCATTTTAGCCTTACCTGCGAACACTGAGGGGTGTGGGCAGTTGAGAACGATGAGTTTGGTGACCATCTCTGGATAGTAAATCGCAAAGAGCCAGGCCACGGTCCCTCCCCAGTCATGTCCCACCAGGCAGCATCTGTTATAGCCTGGACACAAGCGCAGAGAGTCACAGTAACAGAACAAGAGACACAATAACTCACAGTGAAATATTAAACAACGCCGGGCCTCCACAGATCGATACGGAGCTGCGCAATAAGACCTCAAATCAATAACAGGATTAAGTTAATATATTTTATGAATCCCCAGAGCTGTGCGTACATCATGTGTTAATGGGACTTTCGACTGATGAATCATAATAGGTTCAGAGATAGAATAATATACATTTGGCATACCTGTCAACCATGTTTTATGTATGTTTTTTGTATTGTATTACTTGTGTATATCATATTGAAAGGCCTTGAAGCAGTTTTTTTTTCCCATATATTTGAGTCAGCTATGTTATATTGCCCCAGTACAGGTGTATTGTAAAGGCAAATCTTGAGGTGTTAAAATTTGTCAACTGTGTGTTTTCTGCACCTTTCCATTGTCCATAATCAGGAAGCACATGTTAGCATGTGATCTGTTGTTAGAAAGAGAGAGAGAGAGATACTTTATTGATAACAAGACGCCACTCCATGCACTCTGGCCATTGAAATTTGTGAAAAGCACTTTAAAATGCATCATGGTGAACAATTACGATGTTCACAATGCAGTTAAGTGAGGAATAACTCTGTTTTAAAGTTTTAAATGAACTAGTTAAATTTTTCCTGCCCTCATCTATGGTCATGAGCTCTGGGTAATGACCGAAAGGACAAGATCGCGGATACAAGCGGTCGAAATGAGCTTCCTCTGCAGGGTGGCTGGGTGCTCCCTTAGAAATAGAGTGAGGAGCTTGGTCACACTGGAGGAGCTCTGAGTAGAGCCACTGCTCTTCCACGTCGAGAGGTGTTCCAGGCATGTCCCACCGGAAAGAGACCTCGTGGAAGACCCAGGACAAACTGGAGGGACTATGTCTCTGGACTGGCCTGGGAATGCCTCGGGGTCCCCCTGGAGGAGCTGGGGAAAGTGTCCGGGATGAGGGAAGTCTGGGAGCTCCTCTTTAGACTGCTGCCCCCGTGACCCGGCCCCGAATAAGCAGAAGAAAATGGATGGAGGGATAGTTCTATTTTTCACATTTTTAAGAAAAAATTAATGCCACATACAGTACCAGCTACTTAATAAAGAAAAACTGAAAACTAAATGTTATTTAGTAGTTTGTTTTAGTCTGTTTATAATATGGATCAAAACATTTGCTATGATATCAAAAGTACAGTCACTGCCAAATAGGAAATGTTCATGGGGCGCTTCTGGCTCCATTAAATCTGGTTCCATCTGACTTTACAGTATGTTGAAAAACTGTCACCCCTCTCTGTAACTGCTGCAATGAGCCTTGTCATTTTAGCCTCAAAATGTTCGTATTAACCTGCTTTACATGATCCTGATGTTTTTATTTTGTTGTTTTGTCCGTAAAAAAATCCTGTTCCTAATATGGAACTCTAAATTTGCTCCTATAACTTCTGGCCTCGTGAGCTTCATTTGACTGGAGCCGAATTTTATTGGCGACGTCATACTCCCTCAGTCTTCTTCTTTATATAGTCTATGAGATAGCCACATTTCTTGTGTTAAAAAAATAACTAGAAAAGGATTTTATATTCATTTTCCAGCGCAATCAATATAACCCCACAAGTCGATCATTCTTACTATAGAATTTCATGACCTCCAGCCAAAAGCAGAGCAAGGTTGAGTCCTCGGTGTCCGTGCTTTAATCCGCCTACACCTCTCCCAGTATACCTCTATATATCCAACATGGCATCCCTCTCTTAGCCTGCAGCTTTCACACATACGGTATATTTCTACAGGGATTACATTAGAGCCACCTCCATCAGAGCTGACACCATCACTTTTCATTTCAATAGCAGCAGAGGGAAGAAGCATGTCTTAAAAGAGGGTTCAAGAGTCCAAGTGCAGATTATGGACACGAGTCATGTAGTTCAAATTACAATATCAGTGTTATAGCAAAAGGTGTATTAAAGCCACACTGTGCTGATAGTGCGTCACTCTTTACAAAGCAGACCAGGCTATAAGAAAAAAAAATTTATATTTTGTAAAGTAGAAAGACCTTGCATTGACCAATACTACTACAAGCTTTGAAATTTTATTTTATTTTATGTCTGTATTCTGATTTATTTATGTTTTCATTTGAGTTGCATATTATCCCGTAAACAGCTTTATTTTTGTTGCACCACTTGTTTATTTATCACTTATTTTCTAAAATGATTATCCATACTAGGGCCGGGTATCATTAAAAAGTTGCCGATACAATTACCTTGATACATAGGCCACGATACGATACATATCCCGATACAGTGCACTTTCGATTTGATACGATTCAATACAATATATTTAAAATCGATTCGATATAGTTCAATGAAAAATAAAGGCTAAATGATAGCAGTGATACTAAAAGTCTTTGTTAAACCACTTCTTCTGCAAAGTTAATAAGAAACACCCCCATTTTAACAGTCAAAATAGTCAAAACAGTGAAAATATCAAATGTGTTGCATAAATGAGTTTCCTTCCTCTAAATAAGCAACAAGACTGTAGCACTGTAACAAAATAATTTAGTAAAATATACCAAAAAATACTCTTGGTGATATATCGATACAGCAACCCACGATATCGATAATGTATCATCACATTAAACAATATGATATATTGATATTTTGCTATTCTTGACACTCCTAATCCATACCATGTAGTTTGAAGCCTAAATTGACAAGTACTGCCATGTATTTGTTTGATTTTTAAGAAAGTAACTGCAGTCTGAATACCACATAATGGAAGAATACCTGTACCAGAGTAAAGCTACTCAAAATGAGTATTCGGAATATCTAAATATGTAAATAGTTTCATGATTTATTTAGTTACTTTCCAACAATGACTACTGTGATTTGGCTCTGTCAGTGTGAATAATGTTACTTACTAATAAAACTTCTCTCATATTTTTACCATTTAATTTAATAGATAAAGCATAACTGAGTAAAATGTTTTCTAAAACGTATTCAGAAAGTTTTTTTTTTTTCAGTACTACATTTTAGATTTTTCGATGTATTCAATTGGAACTTTCATTGTTACAAACAGACAAGTATGAAAAGCAGTCTCAGCAATACAGATACTTCAACAGAAAAAGTATGGATAGTTGACAAAGCACTTTTTCAATAAATATTTAACAGGCTGCTATTTGAGTTATTCACAGATCAGTGTATCTGCGGCGCAAGGCAACGGTACATGAGTCCATTCTGACTTTACTTCAAAAAGTGTGGTCAATATTTTATAAACAATATTTTGGACTTTTTCAAACTATTTGTTGTTGAGCAAAACATGTTCACTTTGAAGAGATGGCTTTGTCAGACTTATTTTGGCAGGACTTTAGACTTTTAGACCAGATGCCGTCTCTGTTTATCAGTAGGGCTGAACAAGTAATTGGTATTTTTGGTAAGCTTTAAAGCAAAACACAAATTATTTAGTATTAGATTGTCTTCTTGTAAAATACTTGTAAAAACGGCTAATCTTGGAGTATAAAGCTGCAAACAAACTGTGAAACTGCAAAATTCATTCACTGATTCGTGCATTATGTTGCATGTAAATGTGGCATCTCTGGCCACATTTACATGCACATCAATATAATCTGATCATTATCTGATTATTGAAATATCATGTAAACAGTTACATCTGAGTAATCTGATTTAACTCTGATCATTCATGAAATTTATGCTAAAAGGGAAAACTAATGTGGCAAAGATGAAAATGAAAGAGAAAATGATAAAAGATTGAAAGTTAAAATAATTGTGTGTTGTCCTTCAAATACAAATTACTTTAAAAATCCATTGAGTAAAAGACACATGGTCAGTTTACTTTTATTTAAAGAGCAAAAATCAGATATCATTATTAGGTTATAAAAATTTTATGTTAAAGGACCTATGTTACACTATTTTCTGATCTATGTTATAATGTTGTTTCATCACAAACACACCCGGAGTTGTGTTTTGTTTCATTCACACATGTCTAACACACAAATCCTGCATATTTAGACTGACTTCTTCTCTCAAACTGTTCCATCTTGTCATGTCATGTGGTAATACAGGAAGTGCTCCACTGTGTTTTTAAACTCAATACACCTTCACTAGAATCATTTGGATAATTTCAGACCTGACATTGACCATCTCAAATAAACCAAGGCCATAGAGGAGCTGTTAACTTGAAAACTACCACTTCATGACATCTCAAGATGGAGCAGAGCATTTTGAGATTTGGAGATGACAGATTAATAATATGGGGTTACTCATGTGTGAGACAAAACACAACTCCAGGTATGTTTTTGAGGAGGCTCAAAAGCTCACAAGGGTAAATTTTGTGTAATACTGGACCTTTAATCTGATTTTTACTGGCCATGTAAACCCAGTGTCAACTAAATCCATTCATAAACAGAAATCACTGTATGCAAAAATTGGAATTGGGATATTTTTTCCACCAAAATTGTGCTGCTATATTGTCCATATCTCTGCTGATGTCCACATAGCCCGAGGTTTAGTTCACTTTGCTGGCCATGTTTATCATTAATAGTGTCCACACCTCACGACAGCAGTGACTCAGAGGTGTGTCATGGCGCTCACTGGCCTAAGGCGCTTTGACTTTGGTAAACAACTTTATTTTGGACCTTGTCAATGCGCTGTCCATTTAACGTTTTTTTATTACTCTGCAGAGAAGGTGATGCAGGGACAGGGCTTAAAGAAATTGAGGTGAAAATAAATTTAGCAAGTAATAAAAGTGTCCAAGGCCGGTTTTGAATGTGGTGCTCATTTTGTGATTAAAGACGATTCCATGGTGTCTGTGTAATCCCTCAATCTTTCATATGTTACATCACAAAAAGAAAACTGAATTGTAAACTGGACAAACATTTTTAGTGAATATGTTGAGTCACGATTCAAGTATCTTAAAGAACCCTGTCAGATTTGAAGAAGCTACTTAGATGATATGACTTAGATATAATTCCATTACTGTACTCAGATTAATTGATCATTAATTAATCTTTGGATATAGCGTCTTTCAAGATATTCAAAACACTTTACAGCGCATTATTCATTCACTCCACACTCAAGTTACTACTGTAGATACATCCAATATGGCTACAAATCAGAGTATATTTATTACAGCCTATTTAATAAAGTCTTTGGACAAATGTGATTTTGGTTGTGATGTATTTGGTATGGACTGTTGGTACAATCAGGACATTGCTTGTTTAACGGTTTAGCAACATTGTTATAAATATATTATATAGCTTACAACTAGGGGTGTAACGATATAGAAGTCTCACGATACGATATCTTCACTGTATGAACCTCACAGTATGATATTTATTGAGATATCATGGGAAAGCTCACGATATGGTGGGGAGGCTCATAATTAGGGATGTAACGAAATCCAAATCTCTCAGTACGATATTTATTGTGATATTTTGAGGAGGCTGTGACCAAAACTGCTAATATGCAAGTTTTTCCTCTTAAAATGCCTTCACAAGTCTTAATCCAAAGAACTAAGACTTAAAAATGCTTAGAACTATTATTTCTTCTTGTAGTCTGTACTGAAATGGAGCAAAGGATCATGGTCTATGTAGTTCCCTCTGTCTTTTATTGCTGCACCATAACTCATAATTTAAGCAAAGAGACTTGTAATTTGATATATTGTGATGGTCCATGATATTACTGTGAGAACTTTGACGATACGATATCACGATATTTCGGTTATTGTTACATCCCTACATACAACGAAATAAACTATAATGTATATATATAGTTCACAGTTCCCATTAAAGAGAGTCTGGTCATTCTTTTGCAGATAGATGAGTCTTACCTAAGTACTCCACTATGTCTTTGACGTCAGTGATCAAGTGCTCAAATCTGTAGCTTTCAGTGGTCAGCGGTAAGTCGGACTCTCCATAGCCGCGCATGTCGATGGCTACCACCCGAAACTCACTCTTAAACTCTCTGAGCTGGTACCGCCAAGAGAACCTGCCAGAAGAAAAACAAAACAAAAAACAATCATTAGCAATACCTCCTAAGTTGTTTTATCTAGTTTAATTTTGAAATAGTACGTTGGAAATATCCTGTCGTAAGTAAAAATATTAAAAGTACAGTGTTTAAGTCATTTTTTTGAGTGAAAGGTAGAGCAAGTATCTGTACTTTTGATTTTTGAACTGGTTAAAAAGTATTTTCCGTATGGTTTGAGTGGTTATTTTTTTCACAATCATGGTGACATCCTGCCTAACGATTCCGAGTTCATGTGCCACTAAAATAAAAAATAAAAGCCGATGTTCTCGTTCTTTTCCTCAATGCAAAAACCTTTTCGGAAAATAATTTCTTTCTGACTAATACATGTCTTTGGATGTGCAAAAGAGCCAGAACGTGGGTTGGGTACAATTTGGCTTCCATTAGGAGACCAGCGAAGCACAGAAGACTTTAATTTTTGACAAGAAATTCAAATCCACCCTCTCCATCTGTGTGAAGGTCATCTCAGTATGATAGAACTGTTTGAGATTCAGTCCGCCCCCGATCATGTGCTAAGGACGACTCTTAATTGAAGATCTTGTCTCTTGAAGCATCCCTCTATCACGGCGCGCACCCCCGCTCTCCCCCTCCTCACCCATCTCCTCCTCATCATCTCCTTTCTCCTCCAGTGAGCAGCAAGATCACAGCTTCTTCTTGTGATGACTCAGCGATGATATTGCGTCTCACAACACATCCACATACATGAATGCAAAGTTAGAGCAATTTGTATTTCTATAGCAGGCATAATGGCACATGGTAGCAATTATTTAGTTTCGTTGTCATGTGTCAAGTTGTAAATTTCTACAATGTTCTCTACTGAACAAAAGCAGAGATTTGACTTTCTGATACCACCGTCCATTTGATGAATTTGTATGATAATGTGACCAGACAGATACTAAATTTTTCCACAATGTTAGGTGTTTTGGCTGCTTAAATTAAAGGAGCTGTATGTAGCCTGCTCTCTTACTTTTTTTTTAAGTTATTACAATCACAATTGAATCTCAGTTGCCAGTGTCTAAACTTGCATATAGATGACACACACAAGTTTTTCTCAATAAACAGACAGTCCATGCCTCACGTGAAAGCTCAAGACCTCCAGAATTCCCTCACTGAGCTGGAAAGGCTGCACTAGCACTGATTCGCTCAGAACCTTCAGATAAGAGAGGCATTTTAGTTTTTAAACTAAATGAATTTCAAAACTAAAACTGGCAACCAAAACAAGAGACTCATGTGAGGCTCAGTCTGCTTTCAGATTGGATAATCCACTAGAAAACCACTAAACTATAACAAAAAATAAATGCAATATTGTGTTCAATGTTTTTGTAATGAATAAATCAGGATTACAATTTGATTTGAACATGTCTACCTCGTATCTTACATACAGTTCCTTTAATATTGAAACATAAAATAGGAATTTGGTGAGATATTTTTTGATACATTATACATTATCTATGCAGTTTTAAATAAAAGTTTAAGTTTTTGTTTTTGAAAGGAATCAGCATAATATCGACGACTTATATAACGATAATGACATTTCAGAAACTGTTATTACTCAAATAGAAGACAAGAGGATGCTGTTATGTAGAGCTGTCATTGACTAAAGAAATTCTTGGTCACCTAAAGACATATCAAGCCTATTGATTAATCGACTAAAAAAGGGGTGTAGTAAACATTATATAGTTATGTTTGTATGTAACCATGTAACTGCACTCAAAATACTACAACTGCATTGGAGTTCATGCAAAAACAACTGTGCAAAAATGAAGATTCATGCTCAGATGTTCAGATAATCCACTCCTTACTTTCTCCTTTTTGCTCTTGTGCATAAAATTCCTAATAATCTAAATAAAATTATTAGCCGACTAATGCAAATTTAGGTCCACAAGACACTATAAAGAAAATAATAGTGTAAATGACCACTACTAAATGTATTTAAAAGGTGACTTCAGTAAATGTCAAGTATACAACCACCTCTACATGTTTAGCCCATTTTCCTCATGTTTTCTCTCCGTGACTCCTGTAAAGAATGTGTCCAGTGAAGCAGAAGCAGCTCCCACCGTTAATTAGGCCTGAGCCCGTCCCGCGGCCAGTCTAGTTTGGTGGAGATATGGGCAGCCTTACAGCCTCTGACAAGTCCTTTGGCCCAGATCCAGGAGCGATTGTGTGCAGGGCTTTTCACTTCACATCATCCACAGAGGACGGGGAATGTTTGGACCGCTTTCACGGGATGGCCGCTAAAGACACCATTTACAACTGCTGACGCTGGTGGGAATGTAGTTGTAAATGGTAAATAGAAAAGTTTGGAGTAATGTTTTGTTTTGTGGAGAGGTTTTATGAACTTGAAGGTGCACTGTGTGACAAACCAGATCAAGTTGCAGGTCAGATCTGTAGAGAAGCGACCCCGCTCACAGCCAGAAAGCACGGTTTTTTACTTGTTTTTGAACTTAAATGGAAGGTAGAACTGTTTAATGTCATACTGTGGAACATTCAAAGCAGAGCAATGATGTCTCCATAGCAACCAGCAGATGACAGACACCCAACCAAAAAGTTACATCATAAAATATTTAACATCTATCTGGAGAGACACATCTTCCACTAGACAAGATGAAACTGGGAGCATAAATAAAATAAAAATATATATAAATAGTGCAATTCAATAGACAATTTTGGCATCACAATGTATTTTTTTCATTCATGTTTTTTGTTTCATTAATCTATTTACCAATCCACCTATCAAATGCTCATAAATGTCGCTTCTACAATAGGAAAAAGTGATGTAAAGATCTATACTGACTGGTTAGGTTTTAGTAACATTTATTCACACAAGAATAAATTTATGTTTATCTCTAATAAAGTAGTGCTGGAACCTTTTTGTTTTCGATATGATATGATAAAAAAAAAAAAAAAAGGAGAGCCTTAGCTTGAGAGCCCGAAAGTCCACTGACCCGACTGAACGTAGAAGCAGTACAATGGGGTCAACATACCAGGGAATTCCCATGGCGCCAGACCGTGTTCTCCCACAAACAGCTGATCACATACATGGAATTTGTGAACACACACACTGTTATGATAAAGATAAACTTATCTTGTCATTATGAGTATGGATTCCAGCTTCATGTCTTCAGCTTTAGTCAACACAACCTGCTTTCCATCAGATATATTGACAGTTTTTTCACACTTGACTGACCATCTGATGAGTTTTATTTATGCACAGAGTATACTTCAAGGTTTTACCTCGCCATCAGAAATGAACTCCACTTTACAAAGTGTAGGGGAGTCGTGTTTCTATAATGAACAATCTGTAAGGTATATTACATGTGTGTGCTTTTATGGGCCCCTGGGGAACCGGGAGTGGCTTTAGCTCTAAATGGAAATACTCAGTGGATGTTTTAAAAGGGCACGATATGCAATTTTTCTGGTGAAGGGCCAACCACATGATATCATCTTCATGAAGATGTTAACCTGGAATGTTCCAAAGTAAAGCAATAAATAAATCTTTCTCGAGATACAAGTCTATATTCGTACCATACTCCATACAGATGTACAACTCACCCTTATGTAACAGATAACCCTGTGTTCTGTCATTAATCATATCATTGTTGCACTGTCTTTCTATAACCTCTTGTATATAGCTGAGATTTTATATTTTATTACTTTTTTCTAATTTATTTTGACTTGTATATATACATTTATATAATTATGTCTTATTTGACACTTGTCTCTTGCTCTTCTTTGCTACTTATTTCGAATTTATTATTACCATTTATATTTTTTACTCTTTGTTATATTATATTCTATTAGATTAGATTCAGCTTTATTTTCATTACATGTATAAATACAAGGTAACAAAATGTGGTTTAGCATCTAATCAGAAGTGTAAGGAGCAGCAAGTGCGATATATAGAGAATGAGCAGTATATACAATATAGACAATATACAGTATATTACAGTGTAGATTGTAGTGAATATATACAAATAAATATGGCAGTATGAACAGGAGGGAATTAGATATAATAAACGTGGGGGATATATAAGCAGATGTATACTATGAACAAATATACAGGGTGTGTTATAGAAAATATAAATATGTATGACATACATAAATGAGCAAAAGATATATGTAAACAGGTGCGCTGTAAATAAATAAATATAAAGTTATGTATCAGATGTAATATGAATATGTAAGTATGATAAGCAGAGATATACAGCATTGGTGATATATACATGTAGTTTGGATTATACTGTGTTGATCAATAAAGTTTGTCTAAGTCTAAGTTTTAAGTCACAGAGACAGCCATGGTGACAACACAAGGTCTTATTTAGCAATTCAAATATCTATAATTAAAGACTGTGAGATGCTGCACTGTGTAACATAACTTTTCCATGTAGACGAGCAGGTGGCGGACCATTCACGTGAAAAGTTGCACCCTTTTTCAAACTTGATACACTTTAATCAGAGCAGACATCAAAATGGCCATCTAATTTATCATCAATTCCACTTGTCATAGCTAGTCTTTTTCAGTTCAACATCTTAAACCAGATATGACATCCTAATATCGTCTCTGACCTACCAGAACTCAGGGAAGCCATGGAGGAAGAGCATGAGCGGCTTGCCTCTTTCTCCGGCCGCGACATAATGGAACCGAAGTCCAGATTCCTGCAAAAGACAGAAGAGAAATCACCATTTGTTTACATTAAGCAAACATCTGAGTTCAATCATTTTAGCAACAAGATCTACACAGTCATTACACAGACCCATATAAATAAACATGGCATAATAACATTACTGGGGGAAATGGGCTGCGTATTCTAAGTCTCCTCATGTGGAAAACTGGCTTATAGCATTTAATATGTGATGCTAAGTGGACAGTCCGACTCTGCTTGTGCCAATAAAGGATTACCATAACAAAGCTAATCCATAAAAGATTAACATGGCCTGAATGACTGGACATGTACACTAGAATATGCAGATCACGATGAGTAAATAATATGAAGCTATTTATATCTCAACTGTGCTACTTTTTATGGAGTATATTTAGTAACGTTTGTCCAAGTGATGCGCAGAGACAGCAAGACAAAAGTGTGTGTTTTAAAAGGGGTGGGTAAGTGCTTTGCTAAAAATATGATCCTTGCATCCTTATTTGAATTGCTAAATTATGCCAAATTACATCATATACTTTGAAGTTTGAAGTGGAAAAAGGAGCAATCCATCTAAAAAAATGGATTACTTTGCTATAGTCGAATTATACAGATTTTTGGCAATAGGCTATGCAATTCTCTCAGTGGATGCTTCAAATGGTAATCTAACGGCTGCATGAATTAAAGCTTTAGTTTAAAATGTACATAAGGTAGGCTATTTTTTTCAAAGTACGTTTCTAAGATAAGAAAAACTGCCACTGCTCCTGACTGCAATCAACCAACAAGTTTTTTTTTTTTTATGGCTGATACCGATTGTTTAGAATCCAGAGCAGCAGATTGCCGATAAGCTCTGCCGATATCTTTGGGCCAGTTATGTAAATTATGTAATTTAAATTGACTAAAAACTCTCACCACAGCCCTTTTTTCCCCACTACAAACCCATAAGACAGCAGTGTAGTCACATTTTCAACCGTTATCTGTTTGAATTAAAGTTTTCAAAGTAAGCTCTATGGGTATTTTTAGGTAGCCAGGCTGGTGCCACCTTGTGCCTCCACTTCATTTCTCTCCAGCGACTAGGTCAGGAATCGGAATACACTAGACAGTTCGCAGAAAAACCCCAGAAGTGAGAGTTCGGGCACCACCCAATCAGCGAAGAGCCATACATTCCCGAGATCGAGGATTTAAAGCCCCCCAAAGAGAATGTTTGGTGAATTTTATCAAGGGGAAAGACGTTATTGCCCTTCTTCCGACGGGATTTGGGAAAAGTTTAATATACCAGTTAACCTCGTTAGTGGCATATTACATACGTCTCGTCCAAATAGCAGCGATTGGTTAAATGAAAAAAAGTACCCGCCTACCGTCGAGTGAACGAATTCTAACACTGTGAGGTCAGACGGTTTCCATGAAGTGAAACCAGATGATGAATCAGGCAAATTTTTATGCTGCATGTCACCCAAAACAAAAAAAAAGCCTGTGCTGGAGATTTAAGGCAAACAGTCGATGCACTAAAAAGACCAAATATTGGGTTGATGAATCCATTTAACCCTAATGCGACATTGTAGAAATTAGCTCCAACACAACTTGATGCCACAGAAGGGAATATTGCATGGACATGTCTGAACAGGGCTTGACCCAAGACATCATGTTGTGGTGTCACTGAGATAAAAATTTGGGCACTGCAGTGCCTTTTTTGTCTTTGGACCCAGCACGCAGTTGCAGTTTTTGTTGGATATGCATGTCTCTATCTACCAGCACAGGAGGGAATGTTGCCTGATCAGCCAGTCCCTTCGACATTCTGGTGAAGTCCACTCATTTTTGTAAAGTTTTGTCAAAATGTGTGGTTCTGACTGGCCAGGTAAGAGGGAATGTGGACTCCTCTAACAAGTCATCTCATCTTAAAAGGTTTGTGATACTTGTAAAATATGAATAGCTCATTCTGCTATACATACTGTAGGTTAAAGCCTCCTATTATATATGTATTCAAAAGATATTAGTTTCAAAGTGTTATGAAAAGCATGGATAAGTCTACAGTGCTTCCATGAAACATCTCTACTTTTTAAACAGGTCATGGAAAAAGATTTAATATATGCACACATTTATGCTGAATGCAAATTTGTGACCTTTAGGTAACTTGGACAACACTACAATATGTATTATATGCAAAGAGTTAACTATTTTTATGTACGTTTGCACAATCTCAAGGTTCAAGATCGAATGAATAAAGTGTGTCAATATTGTTTTCATTAACCATCTCCATGGCCAATATATTTTCCTTCTTCCTATTATGCAAATTGCGCAAATAAGCAGTGTCAGAAATATTGCTTGCTCCTAAAAAAGTCTGGGAAGTATCCAATTTGAGCTGAGGTCCTGAGTCAGTTTTATATCTGCGAGTTGCCAAGTTTTTAATTAGACTTCCATTTGATTTATTTGTTTACTCAGATGTTAACTACTGCCATATTGCACCGTGTAGCAAACGCAATACTTCTACAGTACCTTCAGTGATTTAACTTCTTGTTTTGGACATAGCATCATTTAGGAATCATGCAATTACATGGAACTTTTTTTCTGAGGGAAAGTAGAGCACAATCCAGACTTGCGTACACAGTGAAGTTGGTGTATGCATTTCAAGAGATCGTGTCTTGCATAAACTTGGGTTTGCCATAACGCACGCTTCAGTGGTCCCCAGTCTGCAGCAGCGCTATCCTTTCAGCACCACCTGACGTCTCGACAACAAACACAGCACGTAGGCGAGTTCTACCTAACCAATAACAAGGCCTATTATTTTGGCTATTTAACTGCGACGCCACCACAACATTGTCAAAAGATCTGCACGCAGCCAAACAATGGGCAGACGGACTCACCTCAGCTTACCGACTAGACACGTCCAAGTGCGTTGTGCCTGCCGGTGCGTTGACTTACCTTGATGCGAACATAACAATGCGTGCCCAAGGACGTGTCATTCAAACAAGCCGGGGGAGTTTCGCGCACTGCCCACTGGAAAACTGTGGTCGGCCGCAGAACGATGCTCCACCAAAGTTTAAGCAGCGCTACGGCGGTGCACACTCCACAATAGGCGTAGATCAAGGACCAGTAGCCCACAACTTTGATCTGCAATGCGAGTCTTATTAAAAATATGATCAAGTTGTGGAGGACTCTAGCCATTTTTTTACATTGCCGCAGGAATCCGATTTTGGACTATACACGGGAGCAGCAATCGATCCGGTGGGTGTCAAGCGCTCTTGTGGCTCTGACAATGCTCCGAGCCCGGCGCATACGCACGACTGAGTGAAGGGAGGATCCCACGGCGGCAGCAGCAGCAGTGGCAGACCGACAACGTGATGAAGAGGAGGCTGAATGGGACTGTGGTGGTGGTGGTGGTGGTGGCGAGGAGGAGCGCATCACGTCCGATCTTTACGCGTGCGTGTGACAGCCTTTTTAGCAGGAGACTGTGTGCGGTTGTTGACTATACAAGGAAGGCATCAAGTGCGAGGAGAGGGGGAGAGAGTTAGGTCGTGATTGCGAAAGGGATACACACTAGTAGCCATTTCCGAGCGGCTGCGAGGCGCTGTGAGGTAAAGGAGGGAGCCAGTGAGAGAAAACCGAGCCACACAACCACGAGGGATGGCTTCTGCACGCTGTTATGGCAACACGGAGGAGAATGGAAAAGTCTATCACTCTAATGGTTTTATATTGAGCCAAGAGACAATAACAAAGGCCTACCCGTATAAACAAACTGGAAATAATCATTATTTTTACATTATGTGTTGCAGTTTGTAATAAAGCTCTAAATTACTTTATATTCCTATCGCCCCAAAGTGTAAAATTACTGGAAGTAGCTCAAATGGCTTGAACTGAAGCTAAGAAACTGTAAACTTCTAAAGATCTACATAAATCAGTGCAGTTCATTCATTGCTGGAGGGGCAGCCACACCCTCTTTTCTTCACAGTGGCACGCGCAGGACAGGGGCGGGGCTCATGGTTTGACACCAAGCGACTAGGAGCAGGTGGAGGCATATATTAGTATTAATTGGGGATTTATAATAATTGGTGACATAACAGCTTTGAAATGTTTTTTGTATTGGTGAGCTCTGTTTTCTATAATGCAGATCATTTTTGCTAACACTATCTTTCTAAACAGTGCCTTGATTTTTGGTGTGACCTTCCATACAAAATTTTACTGTACAGACTACCAGGATTTTTCATAAAGGTTCTAATGTTATTGTGGTCCCCAAGATTTGAGTCGCTCTAATTCTTCAAGGATCAGTACAAATAAGCAGTTGGATGGTAAAGCAAGATGCCAGATGCCTTACTTGCTGCAAAAATTTGCTTCTAACATTGTGATAAACTTGCTTTCTTCTTCAAATGAATAAACAAATAAAATCACAAATATGGTGAAGTAGTGAAAAATAACTTTATTCCTCAAGTAGAAAACTATAACATACAAACTAACATACAGAATACTTATGCTGTCCCAATCGTAACTTTGGAACTGTAGGTAGAATGGTTTTAAAGTGCGAGTAGGGAAAGATTAGCACAATAAAGTGATGCCATGTAGTATTGACAAATCAAAGTGTAGAAATCTTTTTAAAGTCCAAATATGCCCAAATAAAAAAACAAAACAAAACTATCAAGTGGCCTTTTATTAATGACTGAATTGTGTGATATGGTAAAACCTTGCTTATCCATCTCTAGATTTCAAGTAACTGTATTCTGGAAATATATAACATGAAAATTGTGTTGTCAAATTATATGTATATTTTTTACAGGATATGGCCACTTGTACAACACCAACATGCAAGTGCACCTTTGATTCACCAAATGAATACATTTTGTAGGTGTAAACAGTATAAATAATAATGAAAGGCAACATTTTATAATACAATTTTTATATTCTTTTACTTTGCAATAGATATTCTATTTTAACCACAATTCAGAGGTGTTATGGTGTCTGAAGATCATCAAGTATTTTCAAAGTTGTTTTTTTTTGCCTTGTTTTTGTTTAGTCCAAGTTGAGCTCAAAGCTAGTCATGATGTCTCTCTGCATTGACATATCAATACCACACATCTGTAGAAAGAAACAAAGAAATAATCATGACAATTATAAAACAGATATGGTATGTTTCTTGTTGCAATAATGACAGCCCAAACATTTTACTAGCTTAACTAAAACTTGACCCTAAACAAAGCACTCACCGCCTCTCTCCTGCGCCGTTCCTGCTCCCTCCTCCGTGCGATTTCTCGTTCCCTGTCCACGGGTGAGAGTGAGGGAACATCCTGGGGTTCCTGAGGGGACACTGGCTTACGGATCTCAACGTCTTTTAGGATTTCGGAGAGTGGGTCTAAGCCAATCCTCGGGGGTGAGGCAGGTTTTTCTGGAGACTGGTGCTTTTCATTTTTAAACGACCCTGCTGGAAGACTAAAACAAAGGTTTTAGATTTTAGGTTTGACTGATAATACATGAAGTCTGGCTAACATGCAGAACTGACACTCATTTTGTTGCCTAGTTTATAGAAGGCATGATGGTTTTCCACAAGTTTCAGTAACCACTGGACAATTTCCACAATTCAAAGACCTTAAACTGCACAGGACAGTGTTTTAAAATCAGTGTTTTAAAATCAGGCAAGTTGCAGATTTGGAAAAAAAGTTGAAAAGAAAAGTAGAAAAATCACTCATCACTCATAATCAGTACAAAAAATTAAATCTAAAATTCACGAATAATTTACGGAACACATTTTTCGGACAGATTAAACATTGATTTAACAGAATAAAGGAGTTGTCATTATTTTTTATTAGACTCATTGTAATTATTAGGTAACTAACAAGGTAATAATAATTACCTCTGCTACCCGTGTCCAAGTAAAATTATAAACATCACCAAAATTAAGATCCTGGCAAGAACATAAATATATTTCCATTAACTACGGTTTTGGGAAATTAGTAGTTTGACCTGGTATATGCACCTTAGCATGAAACCATATTACTTAAATGCATTAATAAAATACTAGTGAATATAATACATCCCCAGTTAAATTTGTGCTTTACCTGGTGTGCTCATTGGCTTCTTTCTCTATGTGTTTCTCCATTTGTCTTTTCTTTAGCTCCTTCTCTCGTTCCTCCTTCTCCATCGCAGCTTTCCTAAACTGCTGAAAACTCTCCATGGAAGACTTGATGGGGACTGAGGTGACAGACTCTCTCACTACTTTGGCCCAAGACTCAGCATTTTTCAAAACAATGTCCTAGAAAGGCATATAATAATATATCAGAATTGTACTATAAAAGATATGAAGAATGAGTAGTGCAAACCTTTTTGGTGAGTTGGGATTTGTCTTCCTCTGAGGTTTTACTTGTGTTGGTGCAAGTGAAATCCTCAGAATCTCTGAAATCTAATACAACACAGTATGTAGAGTGTGTTTGCCAAACAAAGTGAAATGTTGCAGCCCGTTGCTTAGTTCAGTGACTTACTGGCACTGCTCTGATCTTTCAGCTGCACTGGACTGTCGCTCAGAGGGGACAGCACAGGCTCTTGCTAAAACACAAAATGAATGTTATTTTATATACAATTATCAAAACTGTATGTCAAAATTAAACAAGCACTACATAAACAAATGAGAAGTGTTTTGATCCTAATCCAGGCGTCCTACAAACAAGGCCTCTTTGAAGATGGGAAAGAGTTAAATTGCATAGAGAGCAACAGTGGTTAGTAACACAGTACCCAGGACACAGAATGTGGCTGGGAGTGTAGACTGGGCCATTTCTTTTCTACAATGGGGGGTCCTGAATGCCTCGGGACCAAACCATGGCAACAATGGCTGATGGTAGAGTTTCCTCAAAATGGCATTTTACTTTAGTAACTGCAATTACATTCTACTATGTCATGGATTTAGTTTTACAGGAATATATGAAAGACATATACCTCAAATCTGGTAGATGCCCAGTCCAGAATGATCCCTGGAGAAACCATTGGAGATAAAAGCGTTGATAAATCTGTCAAAAAGGAAGCGATACGTATCGATCTGAGTCAAGCTACTGCGTCAGGCATTAGAAATGAGAAATGTACACAGCTATACACAAGGACAGTAATGTGGGGCAGAGAGCTGACACAGCAGTACGCAAAAAGCACCAGTAGCAGTTTAATAGAAGCAAAAACAGCATTTTATAAAACTTATTCAAAGTTCCCCATGTACTGACAACAGGGGTCTGACAGAAATGTTACCTGGGGGAGGTAGAGGCAGCTCATTACCGTTGCAGTCAGTCAGTCGCTGTTTAGGTAGTAAGTTTTTACTCTCTGTGACTGAAGAGTGCACAGAGGGGTACGTGTGTGGTCTGATCCGTCCAGTGCTCAGGTCTTTAGGTGCAGAGGTCTGTTTGCCAGTGCTACCACAGGGCCCTGTTGACTGGGAAAGAATCTTGATTTTAATGGTATATTATTTCATAATGCCACATTTAAAAAGATCTAAACGTACCTTTATCAAGTTTGATTTGCTCCATCTCTTTGCTGGTGACACTAAAAGGCATTCGTGCATAATTTTACAAATTAGAATATTTAATACACATTTAAATAATGTAAATATTTTCTTCTAGCTAAAGCATTACATTTCAGGCTGTTGAATGGATTAAAAAAAAACTACTTGAGCAGGTCTGTCTTCTAATATTAGGGATCAGATTTTGTGAGTGAAAAATACATTTGACATAAAAACTAGTTATTTGTCTTTTTGTGTGTCATGTGATATGTGATTTAAAAATCAAATTGAAAATAATCAAAGAAAAAAGTCCAGAATCTAGTGAAAAGTAATAAATTCTATAATGAAGCGCTGGCAGCTAACCTGTGTTAGAGTCGGAGCTCTCAGAGTCAGACTCACTGCTGGAGCTGGAGCTGCTGCTGCTCGCACTGAGGGCTGGTGCTCGGAGAAGCTGCGGGGGCAAAGATTTGGGAGCTGAAAACAATAAAATATACATTTCAGTCATATTATTAAAATGTACATAAACAGACCATTTCTTACACACCTACCAGGTGGCTTTTTATGTACTACAAAGTGATCTTTAGGGGCAACCTGGGTTTTCCACACATCTTTAAAAATACCATTCTGACTTTGTTCTGCTGGCTTGCATTGCTGTTTTCCTGTTAGAAGAAAAAAATATAGTACAAATTTAAAGTATGTAATGTAAACCATCAAAACAGCTTGGCAATATGTTAAATGAGGCAAACATACTATTCTTTTCTTTCTTCAGACATGATGAGACATATTTCTTCAGCTCTTGGAGGGTAGAGTTCTTGAGCACATCAAAGTCCACCTCGATCTCCTCCTGGGTGGTGTCTCTGTGACAGGCCTCTTTGTCGTGGATGATCTTCACCAGCTTCCCCATTCGGTCCCCAGGCAGACGGTTAATGTCAAGCTTCAGCTGTTTCTTCTCTTGGTAAGACATCGGCTTTGATAATTCATTCTCATACTTCAAGTATTTTCTGGAGTGCATGCAAACAATTGCATTAAAATATTTTTAACATGACATTATAATATAAAAAATCCATTCTTTGTCAGTAACATACAAGGACTTCTTCTTTTTCATTTGTTCTAGCAGAGACTTGTATTTCGATGATTTGCGTTTTGATTTTGAGATAGTTTTCGATTTTTTGTCCTTTTTTAACTTGTCCTTTTTTGACTTCATTCTTCTCAGGTGCTTGCTCATCTCTTTTAACTACAACCGAGACCAAAGCCTAAATGAGCACAGAGTTCAAAGTGACTGAGATACGCTGCAAAGAATACCCACCCACTCCTCCAGGTTGGCCAGCTGCGTAGTCACATCCTCAGTGGAGTTTTCGGTCTCTGAAGAGCTCTCGCTGTCTGAGCTCTCTGAGGTCAAATGATGTCCAACTCTGGATTCTGTTTCTTTCTTCAAATTCCCAACAGGAGCACCTAAACTTTCAGAATCCCCTGTGATTTTAAAATATCTTGCTTCAAATACGTCCTGTTCACAACAAGTTAACAGTCAGGATGTCTATTGGACTTAATGTGTATTACATTACATTATTATAGATACATAGCAGACCTGGAGCTTTCTGGCCATGTAGACCACCTCATCTGATGGCTGGTTGTATTTGTAGCAGTTCGAAAACATTAGTCTGATGTCAGCAGCAAACTCTTTGGCACGAGTGTACTGTCGTTCCTCCATTTTTTTCTGATGAAGGAAAACAGGGCTGTGTCCAAATTGCTCAAGAATATATTAAATAACATACACTGTCCCATATGTACCCGTACAGTGCCCAGGTCCATGGGCTGCTTAATAACTTCATGGTAGTCATGAAGGCCCAAAGCCACAGCGTCCACAGGGGTGTAGAAGGGCCAGGCGTAGGCATAGTGCCTCTTAGAGAAGAGCTCCTTCAGGATGTCATTACAGCTTCGGAGCTGTTCAGTCAGGCGGCCCTTTTTCACCTCTGAGGATGGAAGGTCTTTTTTTCGGGGCTTGATGGGTCGCCCGCTGCCTCTCCTCAGGGGACACATAGTGGAGGGTTCTCCTTGAGAATATCGTTCAGCCTTGGGCAGAGCTGGTGGCACTGCTGCCTCTGCCTTTCTCTTCAGACTCTTAATTGTCTGAATCAAACAGAGAAAACATTGAATTGCAAGATACTAGACATGTAAATAACACTGGACTTACAGCGGCCTCATGTAATTTGGGGATCTTTTTGGAAATATGATTATGAGAAGCCTCAGGGGGGACAACTGTTACCGTCTGTTGAACCACGACTTCAGATACAGAAGGTTTGTGCTTTGCTTCACCTGCACTGCCTAAACAAGACATTGTGGTTCAGAATTGGGATAGAGCAAGGAATTTAGTCATATTTTATACAATATAGAATATTATTATAAATTAATAATTTGTCTGCTCCACTTACATAAACTCTTGAGTTTGATAGCATCTTCTCCAATATATTCATTAACGTCACACTCATCTTTAGGCATTTTGGATATTTTTTGCAAAAAGAGTTTCTCCAAGGTTTGTGCCATAAAAACAATGTCATCCCCTGGCTGCAAAAAAACAAAACAAACAAAAAAAAGAACACATATCCTTTATGAATACAACCATATGTGAAGAAAACAGGAATGTCTTACAACACTTGTTTGATATAATCGTAAGGTTGAAAACTGTGGATTGTCACTTTAAAAAAATGTTTTATGTGTGGGTTGCCTACCCGATTGTACTTGTAGCAATTCGAGAACATAGTGTTAAAGTCTTGTAAACATTCAAGTGCTTTCCAATAGTACTTGTTCTGGAGACGCTTCTTGATGGTTCCTAGATCCATGGGATTTGTAATAATGTTATAATAATCCTGCAAAACAACAGACATAACGTAAACCTCAAGTCATTTCAATGGAATTCACAAACACAACACAACTTAAGTTGCCTCTAAGGGGTAAATAAAAAAAAATTGATTGAACACTGCAAATTTATCTATACAGAAAAACAACAGGAGAGTTTTACTGAAAAGACACTGCAGAGCAAATAACTGTAAAATCATTGGATACTTCTCTTGGTCTTCTCTGTCTGCGGTATATAATGGTGCAAAAAGTACTAACTGGTATATGTAGCTCCACAGCATCGACTGGCTGTCGAAAGGGCCATGAAAACTGATGTTTCCATAGTGCTTTAAGCACTATACGCTCCAAATACTGCAGCTGGTTAGTCACCCGCCCGGGCTTCTTTGGGTTCACAAACTCAGGAGGAGGGGGGTTCCTGATCACAACAGCACAGGCCTTCAAGTCCGACATGGTACGGGCATCAGGATCACCATCAAAGCATCCAATTTTCAAGTTTTCCTCAATATTGTTTTCTAGAAAACCTAAAGGGCACATGTTTTTAAAATTTCACAAAAGCCTATGAGATGACTGATGAGCAGAAATAAAGTCATATTATAATATCACTACAAACAACCACACGTCATCAAGATTGAAATCGTGGTAAATATGTTTAAGGGACATTTTTCTGGTGGAGGGACACAATGTTAATGTTGGTAGTTAAGTATAAACGCAGCAACATATTGATAGTGTGATATTGCAGGGTGTTTTATCCTGTGATCACTTTAATGCCTTGCATGAATTACTATAACGACTACATGAAAAAGAAAGTGAATGATAGACAGTTTGTGTATTTGTACTTTATTGTCAAATCCATTAGTAAACTTTAAAATTGGTAAAAGTCACATCAGACCAAAACAGAGCCACACATACAGAGTGCGATACGGGTTTGAGGGAAAAGTCTGGGTTTGTGTCCATGTCCAGAAACTTACTGAGGGAGGCGCATGTGGAGCCGCTCATAAACTTGACCCTACTATACAGAGGTGAGAATTAAGACTTCATTTGAAAGGGTGGGGATCGGTTCTTGATGTAAATTAAATCTGTTGGAGTGTAATATTTGAAAAATAATCATTATTTTGTAAAATGCAAATGCTGTTGCTATGGACTCGCCGCTACAATGCTAGCACAATGCTAATTAGGCTAACACTAACCTAAAATGTATAGATTTGCTTTGCGGTCAGTAAATAATCTAAATAAGACAAACCAAACACGACCTAAAAGTTGTAAACCAACACACTTGTTTGTTTAAACACAGATCGTAACATCAGCGCAGTGAAATTACCTGAGATCTGGTTAGTCGGTGCTCTGTCTGGTTCAGTACGTGAGCCCCGTGCGCGCGTCTGTTTTCAGTTTTATACTCGGCCTGTGCTGCAGAACTGATTGGCCCAAACGCTCTTCACGTGTTTCCCTGCTCTCTACCGCATGATCTCAGCATGATCTCAGAAAATCATCTAAACCTTAGAGAATCTCAGAAAATCATCTAAACCTCCAAGTTTGTGCAGAAATGATCGTTTGTTAAAATGACAGCGTGTCAAACAAGCAGCAGCCTTCGTTTCTTGGGCAGCACAAGATTTTGAGTTAACCTTGTAAATAAATTTGCGTGCTGCAGTGTGGGTCTGTTTGGGAAAGTGCAAAAGACCCTCCTCACACGAAGCCCGTCTCGGACTGACTGCTCCAGGCCCGGGTTTCAGGGATCCAGGGCTCCGCGCCCCGCACACCTGCGCCATGTCCAGCCTCCTGCACTCATCAGGGCGGAGCCGGGAGTTCAGAGCGCACAGGGGAGAGGAACGTTTAATATCCAACACAATAACAGAGTGCAGCGTGCAAGCACTGAACATACTTTTATTATGAAAATGTGTACAGTACACACGTTACTGTTAGGTTGACTACTTGTCCTACTACTAAATTCCCTTTTCCAGAAATAGTCTTACTCTACAGTTAAGCTATTAGTCTATATATTATATAGGCTACTTAGGCATATTACATCATGCCTAAGTAAACAAGAATGGGGTAGTTCATGAAGTAGGCCTAAAATATCAGGCAATTGCTGTTTTCATAAAGGATATAAAAAGTAGGTTAGGAGCACTCGGAGGAGAATTTGTCCACAAGATGGCACTATTGTCCAAAGCCACAGAATAGACTTTGGTTTAATATTTGTAATAGAGAAATAAATTCATAGAATAATCAGTTGATCACTGGTCCTATTTTGCACCAGGACTGTAAAACTGGAAAGAGAAAGACTTTGGGAAATGGTGTTTACAACAGTTTTTAATGGACATAAATAATGAGTTAGTGTTGTCCTGACAATCACAGGAAGCTGTTCAGAGAGCTCATAAAAGGAGAAAGGACCTCTCCCTGAGGCCCAAGTGTTTGAGCTGTAGCCTGTGTATGCTGCATGTTTGTCCTAGATATTCTACACCAGAATAATATGTTTGACATTGTAATGAATAATATACATACCTTAAAGGTGCTGTATTTGTTTTTTATTGTCTCAAAACATAAAAACAGAATGAGTTCATTTTAAATAGTTTGCAGTGTTCCAAAGTTATTCCTCACTTACCTTATGAATTCTGAACATCCTAATTATTTGCGACAATGAGTTTATAAGTGCTTTTCACAACTTTCATAGGACAAAGTAGGGTTTTGCCATTACCACGATGTAACAACAACTACCACGCTAAACCACTGATTCTTTGACAATAAAACACCATATGATTAGATGCTGACAGCACACAGTGGACATATTTTGACTTCAAGAGCTGTTTACAATATATCTGCACTGAGGCTAGACACATTTTGCAAAATGTGTACAAAATTATCCTTTCTTTATGAAGGTTATTTGGTTGTTAGTGTGAATATGAAAGAAGAATGGGAAACAATGTACAGTGTCTGCTGTTGCTTGTGGCTCCTGTAGGCAGTGCTCTAGAAATTTAAAAACTCAAGACTTTTAAGATAATTTTGGGACTAGGGAATGTAATGATAGAATAAGTAAGAATGTCATTCTGTCAAGTGTTCAGAAATCCTGTCTTACCAGAATTAAGTTTGTAAAAGTCAAGCTGAAAGATTTAAAATGAAATGAAAACATTTAAAATTACATTTTTGGATTATTAAAGTTAGCTTTTTATTATTATTAAAGCATGCCAAAAATCTAGTCACAATTTTACTTAATAAGTCCTCACTTTGCAGTGATTTGTTCTTGATTTTGTTTCTATAAAGTTTTTATTTTAACAGTTTGTCTAGTAAAAAGGCATGTTAAGGCATGTTGCAAAATCCACTGATCCACTAATACTGTCATCACAACACCAGTGTTTAAAATTTTTATTTTTTCTTTAGTTTTCTGAAAGGAGGAATACATTGGTATGGCAAGGAGTACAGCCTGAAGAGAGGGTTTCCAAACTCTCCAGCTGTAAATCTGAAGATCCAGCTGAAGAAGTTGGAGGAGGACTTCAAGAGCATCGAGTGAACTAAATTTGAAGAGAAACTCCAACAGGTGGAAGCTGAGAACAGCACACTGAAAAGAGAGGTCACTAGTGAATTACAGCTACGCATATCTGTGGAGAATGAGTGAGACGGTCTGTGGCCGCTCTCGAGAAAGTTCTGGAGGAACTGAAAGAAGTCCAAGCCACGGAGAGAAAACCCACAGCTATCAGAGAAGGTTCAACTCCTGGAGCAGAGGAAAAAGAACAAATGGCACAGGAGGCTATTCTCACACTCCACATACACTCCACATACATGTTTTTGTTTTGTTTGTAAGACTGCATGAATTAATGGGTTTCTGCTTCCTGTGTGTCCATGGGTTTCAGAATGATGAATAAAAAGGGCTGATGTCATAGTAATTTACAATTTAAAACAAAATAATTGGCTATATCTTTTGACACCCCTTTGATGGGTTTCAACTTTGCAAATTTTGAGGACTTTTCCCCATTCAAAAAATATATTTTTTTATTCATTTTTAATTGTTAAAAGTCAATATCCATTCAAACTAAATTTTGACAGTGATTATTCTGAAGATAGACAAAATATTGCAAAGTGATTTGTGTTTTTATTTCTAAAACAAGACAGAATAAGAAAACCATAACAGTTCCAGACAAAACAGATGAATTTTTGCCCTGTTGATGTGCCAAGTTGTTGTCTTTGGGGCCATCTAGTGGAGAAAAAAAGAGTTGCATGTGTATAAAGCTGCACAACTGCAAAACGACCTCCATATTTGGTAGGACAGGAATTTAAATGTGTTAATAAATACATATGGTTACGTACCTTTTTAAGGTTCATGCAGAAATTAAAACAGTTTGCCACGATTTTTACCTCGTAGACCTTTATAACTTATGATGCATGCATTTTTTTAAATTAAGAAACGTACATTACATGAAAAAAATATATTAAAATTGAAGGATATATTCTAATTTATAGGCTTTCAAGTGTCTTTTTCTATAATTCAGGACAGAAATTTTGCACAACTTTGACTTGCACATAACTGGAGCCTGGAGATTTGTCATCAGCTGCCTCCTCCTCCTCCTCCAGTTGAAGCCCGCCCCCAGATGATCCACAGCGTAAAACTAAACGGCACATATTCAACACATTAAACTCACAGATACGCTCCTCGCCTCATTTAGCCGTCTTCTGTGTTGTTTTCTAACCTGGAATAGTTTGGATGTCCGCCGGAAACCGTGGGATTTTTTGACATCCGCGTTCAGCACAGCAAGCAACTCCTGTCAAAGTTTACTTCTTGGGATTTTGCATGGTACGTACGCGCTCTTTCTATGGGCTAAAACTACTACAAACTTCAATCCATGCTGGTTTCTTGGCAGTTTACGCAGAAAATGGGGTTTGCTGTGAATGTTATATTAGATTTTATACCAGTATGATGAGGGAAAGTAGCGGTTTTTCTCTGCGATGCAAGTTGGAAATCTCGTCCGCAACAGCAGCTCAACATCTGTCCGTGAATCCTTTGACATTCCCCCGTATGAAGTGAAGTCGCTAAGCTTATCATCGTGCACTTTAGATCGCAAAATATTGTCTTTATGTAGTGGTATGACATGGAATTAGACATAGATGACCAAAGTGTAAGAAATAATCAGCCCACTGGAGGGTCCCAGGGCAGAGAAACAGCGTGGTCCGTAGTTGGATCAAATTTAGCAGGATTAAACGTGACTGCACTTTCTGACAGCCAGGAGTAAAGCAGGAGAGAAGAAATACTCGCCTAAAACACGTTTATCCTAATGCTTGTGGTGTGTGTTTGTTATAATTAAGGCTGCAGAAGGTAGTTCACGTACAAATGTTAGTTGTCATCATGCCAAACTCAAAGTTGGTGCATTTCTTTAAGGCAAACTGGCTTAAAGTTGAGTCCAGCAAAGCATTTATACGTATAGTGCATTGAATATGATTAAATTATAGGTATTGTCAGTTCATTAACATAGTATAATTTGCAGATTGCACTTCAGTTTGTATGCAACGACATGCTTGGAGTTGTAATTAAATGATTTATACCTCCTTATGTGGACAAGGGCATGTGTGCTCCTTAACAGCTGTACAAAGTGGTTGAGTCATAGTTTTGCTGTGTCACCCATTACTACTAGCCCACTCCTTATCACCAAACTGGCCTAAAATACTTTAAGAAAATAAATCTGCAGTGTCAATGTAATGGCTTTATAAATGGGCCGTTTGCAGTACAGTTTCTTCGGAGTACATAACCCTTAATGTGTCTTTACTTTGTTGCCAGATAGGATTGGCAGTGCAGCCTAATTGGCAGTTCTGATGTCTGTTAATATCCTATAATAAAAATGATTATAGCTTCTAGCCTATTCAGTGTGTTTGTTTAATACAGTGCAATAGTTGTGATCTGGTGATGTCGTTTGTGGCATGTGGACAATGCCGTTAGTAAAATGCATCATCTTATTGACAGTTGCAGCTTTTCAATTTTTCTATAAGAATTTCATTTGATTCACCAAGTAGTATTAAGTAATGGTAATGGATTTTTATTTGTTGTGTATGCGCACTGTTGGGAAGTATGTGAATGCACTGAATGTAAGTGTATATATTCAGTATATTAATTCAAGTGCAGTTACTTTCTCTTTCGGTGGTATTCAAAATAGAGTTACTTAAATTAAAAGGAATACACTGAAGTACTTTATCATGTAATTTTTGCTTTGTACTGCATGTTATTAGTAGGGCTGTGCAAAAATATAGAAATATCGATATATCAAATATCGATAGAGTATTGATATCATGGGCTGTTGTATCGATATATCGTGTATCGAGTATTTTTTGGTGTATTTTACAAAATTATTTTGTTACAGCACTACAGTTTTGTCGCTTTTTCAGTGAGAGGAAACTCATTCACACTGCAAAAAGGTTTGTCAAGACTTAAATTAAGAACATTTGACTTTATTTGAGTCGACTCTACCAATGGAATAAGTGTTTTTCTAAATTCAAGTGACATTCAATTTCATTTCTTATTTTAAGGATTGTTGTTTTTCTTATTTTAAGTATAGCAAGTTGTATTTTCATATTTTAAGTACAAAAAATCATATTCTGCTGATAGATAATTTAACTTGTCAAGTGGAATTTACTCAAATCATGATAAAACTTTCTTAATTCAAGTCATCTTAACTTGACCAGATTTTATTTTTTGTGGTGCATGTGACATATTTGACGTTTTCACTGTTTTGAGGATTAAAATGTGTGTGTTTCATATTGACTTTCCACAAGATGTAGTTTAACAAAGGCTTTTAGTATCACAGCCATGATTTAGCGATTGTTTTTAATCGAACCTTATCGAATCAATTTGAAATATATCATATGGAACTGAAAGTTCACTGTATCAAAATATGTATCATATCGTGGCCTGTGTATCGAGGTATGTATCGTATTGGCAACTTCTTAATGATACCCAGCCCTAGTTATTAGTGAGAAAAAAGAAAATGCCACTCTTGCAATGGGTGTGCATGCATTTTTTCCCTTCTAAATAGGCATAACTTTACTAAAATATAATGCAACTTGGTGTAAAAGTTCAGAATACAATAGTCTGATTGGACTAAGTAGTGAAATTACGTTACAAAATACGTTTTATTGCAAGTATTCAATATTCTGTAACTAAATGCATTTTCAAAGTATACCTCCCATCACTGTGTATGCAATATTTTTGAGGTCCACTTTTCTTATTTAAAGAGGGTCTACTTATTTGAGATTCTCTATTAGTTGTAGAAAGACTGGCTAACCTACTTGAGGTCGTCAATGGAGTT